ATATATATATATATATATATATATATATATATATATATATATATATATATATATATATATATATATATATATATATATATATTATATATATATATATATATATATATATATATATATATATATATATATATATTTATTTATTTATTTATTTATTTATTAGTGTGTGTGTAAATAAATCACTGTAGGTGTGCGTGATCCATGTATGAGAGATTAATCTTATATATTAACATTTAAATGCTTATACTGTATAATAAGGAAAATTAAAATGCTTAGACTGACATTCACGTATCATACGTCACGATTTTCTTTCCTTTACTAATCAAACATTTAATGTTTTCATGAAAAAGAGAAAACAATTGTTACCCAACGTTTTTTGTTATACCTCAGCCAAGCGACAAAAAAAATCAAGTGTACATTGTATTGTCTTGTGGCCACTCTCATTATTAGTGTTTATTAAACTACATCAGCCTCGACGCTCCACTGTTTACTCTGACTAGAATATTTCCTTCACCAGACTGTAAATCATGATAATTGAAGACGCATGTATGTCCATTTATATTTGTCTTACTGTCCATTCGTTAATCTTTTCTCTTGCTCCTTCCAAATCTCTCTAAATAAAGATAATCGGTTCATAAAGTATCAAAAGTCAAGAGATAATTTTGCCAAATAAGGATATTTTCTTTTATGTCATGAATTAATGGAATTCGTTAAGCATAAAATTTCATATACTGTATTGGGAGATTTATTTGCTCCAGTGCTTGACAAGTCTGGTCTTGAAAGAGCTCACACTCGGTGCCGTCACGACACTTTCTGGCAGATTGTTCCAAGAGTTCACAACCCTCACTCCGAAAAAGTTAACCCTCACAGTTTCTGGACTAGTGGCTTCTTCAGCCTTGAGCTGTGACCCCTTGTGGGGCGAGCTTCCGCCAGCTCCAGGTATGGACACTCGACTAAGTACAGTAGTGCCCTTCGAGATATTTATACACCTCAATTAGGTCGCCCCTTGCCTGTCTGTAGTATAAGCTAGACAATTGCAGGCGCTCTAATCTCTCAGGGTAGTTGAGGTGCCGAAGTGCTGGCACCACCCAGGTGGCTCTCTTTTGGACGTTTTCAATCAATTGACAGTTCCTAGCATATCTCGGGGGCCAGACGGAGTGACAGTATTCCAGGCGGGGATGCACCTCACTCTCAAAGATCGGTACGGACCGTCTAGATAATTATCTGAACGACCTTCTTATATAAGAACTAATAATCTAGTTGCCTGATTCACCTTCTTCTCACAATGGCCATGGAACTTCAGTTCATTGTCAATATACACACCTTGGTCCTTTTCGCATTGTTTCAATTAAAGCAGTTTCTTCCTCCTGTTGGGACATACGATGCGCCTCTTTACCGTTCGTATACGCCCCAGGTGAAGCCTCTTACACTCCGTGACATTGAATCTTAGCAGTCATTTCTTCGACCACTCTTGAAGCTCAGAGATCCCTCTGCAACTCCTCACAGTCTGCTTGGTTCTTAATTTCCCGAAATAACTTGGCATCATCCGCAAACATTTGTATAGACTAGGCATGTGCAGTTTCTGGCATGGCATTTGTGAAGCAAACAAACAACAGGGGGCCCAATACACTGCCCTGTGATACCCCGGTTCTCACGGGTACACATGACGATTTTGTGCAATTTATCACCACACACAGCTTGCGATCAAGGATAAAGTCTCCGATCCACGCTAGGACACTTCCCCGAATCCCGTCCTCTTTCATTGGGTACACTGTCGAAAGACTTGGCAAAATCTAGGTATATAGTATCGATATTACCACCCTGTTCCAGATTTTATTTGATTGATTTAATTTTTTATTATTATTTTTTGTTTTGTTTTTTTGTTTTACGGGGATTAGCCCGCCGGGCACAAGTCACTGACTCACTTCAGAGCCGGGGGGGGGGGGCAAAATAATATTTATAATTATAATTAATACAATATAACAAAAATTAAAAAATAATAACCATAAATAAATACAAAAAGTAAAATAAAATAAATCAATAGTGAGATCAGCAATCTGGGACTTTGTCACAAATTTTGTGATGCCATATGGCAGTAGAGTTAGAGTTTAATGGTAGACTCTACTGGATATTTGGACTCGACTGTGTTGTCTAATGATTAGACAACACATTTGAGTCCAAACATCCAGTACCTTGAGTAATTGTGTTAAGCAGGAGCGTCCTGTCATAAAACCGTGTTGGCAATCCCTTACAAGGTTGTTTCGTAGTAGATGTTCCATCATGACATCTCTTACATGCTCTCAAGTATGTACTGTATGTATCATTTACGTATCACTCTTGATTTGTTTAATTTCTTCCATTCCTGTATTTATTTTTGGCTCTTTTTTTTTCGGCCCCCGGGCCCCGATGTGGGTCGGTGACCTGTGCCTAGGTGGGCTAATCTCCGTAAAAAAAAAAAAATACTTTACATACTATGCTGGTCAGGCTCACTGGTCTATAGTTACTCGTGGAGTGTCGATCGCTCGTCTTGAAGATAGGATTTACATACTGTAAGCCATCTTCCAATCACTGGGGACCTTTCGCTCATCCAGGCATTTACAGAACAGGATTTTCAGGGGCTCAGTAAGCTCGTTGCACAACTCTCTTAGCACTCTGGGATTCACCATGTCAGGGCCCGGACTCTTATGAACCTTTAGCTTTGACAATTTATTTCTTATAACCTCTTTTGTGAACACAATGTGGATCAACGCTGTGTCGAACAGCCTGTCCTCAAACGCAGGAAGATTGTTCGCATCCTCTCTTGTGGACCGAGGAAAAGAAACTGTTCAATGCCTCCACTTTATCCTGGTCAGAATCTGCGTATAACTACCATCATCAAGCCTCAGATCCGACACTCCTACTCGCGTTTTTAATTTCGACTTTGCATAGCGGTAAAACGCCTTTGGGTTTGACTTGACCTCGTTTGCAACCAGCCTCTGGAACACATTTTCAGCCCTTCTACCCTCTGACTTTGCTTCGTTCCTGGATCTTGCATACATTCTCCTGTCGTGCTCATCGTTTGACCTAACCCACGCCTTGAATTTGAGTTTTCTTAACTTTGTCGACAGCCGCATGATTCATGTCTCCTTGTATTCCTAGAGACACTGGTTTGGTCTTGTAGTGGACGTCTCCCCTACAAACTGCGTAGCTGCACACCACCTGCTACCGTCTTCCCTAGCAACCAAGCGTATCCGCATTCCAATGCCCGCCGTATCCTAGCAACCGAGCCAAAAGGCCAGCGACTTCTCGGGTTTTCCCAACATGACTCATAGCGGCTGCTGGGTATATAAGCTCTGTCTCTCCATTGAGATTGATTCCGACCATTCTTCTTGAACAAGCAACACATCCTCCTCCGCCGCTGCCAGGCTGCCCCTAGCATCTCCTCGCCTGCCTGGCGGTCCTCGCTCCCGCCAGCGAGCATGGCGACCCACCAGCTGTCCTCTGAGCCTCCTCACCAACCAACTTTCATTCTGCCCATTTTCCTGAACAAGCAACATCTCCTCCAGCAAGCTCCTCGCTGTCCAACATGCACCTCCAGCACCAGACTGTCTATCATATAACTTATATTATACAAGAAAACCACATTAGAGTTTCCTTCCATCCTGAGTGCTAGACAACATTAACATCTCGATACCCCTACAGTCTTATGTATATAGCCTATTTCTCGATCAAATGGTTCGCTTTACTAGCTGTGATATTCAGCGTAGTGTCTGGGACAATACAGTAGAAATTAAGTTGCATTTCTTGCAAGTTTTGTATTTTTATATTCTAGAGGTAAGAAAGAAGTTTTATCCAGATTTTTTTTTCAAAGTTGCCCCTTCTCACTAATCGGACGCCCAGAACTGTTGTTACCAATAAAACTGATATATAATTAACTAAAATCGCCGTGAAAAAGTTAATGGAATATTGTAAAAATAAATAAATAAATAAATAATAATTATTATTATTATGGTGGTAAATACTTAATTCAAAGAATTTTACGTATTTTTGTCTCAAATTTTATTTATTATGTTTTTTAATTATTTCTTACTTTTACATTGGGAGTTTTATTTGTTTTGACAACTTTTTTAAATGTCACAACAGTGAATAGTCTACTTCAAGTAAAAGCATATTTCGAGTATACTTGTAGCAATATGTACGCTTTTATTATTGAGTAACTTATTATTGCTCAAAAAGATCCGTGGATGGGATAAACACTGCAAATATCAATAGACAAGCCGATCAGTGGCGAAGAGGATAAAAGTATAAAAATGCTGGTGCTACTATAGTTTGCGGTCTACCGAGCTGGAGTTGTGTCTACCGGGATATTTACAATGTAGCATTCATTAACATAACTTAACCTAGTGAGGTTAGGTTAAGATTTATTAGATTAAGTTAGGTTGGGTTAATAAGACGCTACAGTATAAATATCCCGGTAGATCAACTCCAGCTCGATAGACCGCATTCAGCTCGGTAGACCGCATAATAAAATAAAACCAAAATGCTTTTGTTGGCACTGGAGCAGGTTCAGATACATTCAGGAGCCGGTGCTGCCCAGCACCTGCCACTGCGTGACAGACGTGACCGATCGCCCAAGCGGCTAAGAAGGATAACAAAAAATATCAGAATAAAATATTACGGTAACAATATATTATGGATACAGTGTATTATTATTATTTTATTTTAAGCTGAGGTTTGCGATTTTTATTTTTCAAACTGAAGAATCCTGTAGCAAATACTGTTTCATACCTGTGCAGTATTGCCAGTCGCCAACACGTGTTGTTTGTATACACTGTTGTCATGACAACTATTGCTCAGTGCCACATCTTAAAATTTTGGTCATAACGAAAGTGAACACACTCACGATGCTTTATTTTTTAACTATCAAGTGATAATACAAAGTACTAAGTTTGAAAAAAAAAATTGCACATATCTTAAATTTGTTAGTGGATATGATTCAATAATGTAAAAACAACAAGTGGTGGCAACATTGCAGGAATACCTGAGTTGAGGCTCTTGACGTACGGAGTTTGTGTGACTCGAGTGGTTGGATCTTTGCTCCTCCTCATTCACTTGTTAACTTATCGGTATGTGCTCATATAATTACATGATTCCAAGTTAAGTGATTGGGTTTATTTTTGTAAGTTATATTGATATCTTAGAAATCATTGGGTAAAAAGCCTTGTTTGGTCTCCATAGAATTTTTAGGTTATTAACTACAGTATTGGTTTTATAAAGAAAAGTCTCATAATTAAGTCATAGTTCATTTGTGCCGTGTTGCAAAGACTTTCACTTGACCTGTTTACTGTACATGGTTCATATCAAAATAAATTAGGTCATGGGTAAGACTTAAAGAAAGTACTGGGGAGTAATAGGATTCCTCTCATTAAACTTTAGAATAATTATTTTTCATTTGTATGATCTTTACTGATGTGTTAAATGTGAAGTAAAGTTGGCCAACCATTATTACCTTCGATGTAGATATACAGTATAATTATACAATACTGTACAGTGTTTAATGAAGACCATCCCCTAATGGGTACAGGAGAAGACTGTAAAGATTTGTTTTAGGTTGAGCATGGAATTTCATATTTCTATTTATATAGGGATAAAGATCACAAAAAAAGAAAAATACTTTATTCTATTAAATTTCCTGTGCAAATTTATATTTTTCAAGTATTTTAACCGAAAAGACCTCCCCACTTACCAACAATATTGGTTGTTCTAAGTAGGCAGAGCTTTAAAGTTGAGGGAAAATGTGGGTGTAAAATACTGAAAAGAACACCAAGCAAACCTTTGAAAACCTTACTCGACTGACTAGTGCCCTCCGAGATGTTTATAAACTTAAATTAGGTCACCCTTTCCCTGTCTGTAGTATAAGCCAGGCAGTTGCAGGCATTTTCATCTCTGGTTAACTGAGGTGCCATAGTGCAGGCATCAGTCTTGTGGCTCTCTTTTGGACATTTTCAATCAACTCACAATCTCTAACATATCTCAGGGACCAGTCGGGGTGACAGTACAGTACTCCAGACGGGGAAGCACCTCACTCTTGAAGATCATTATGAGAGAAGGACCATCTAGATAACTGAAAGAACTTCTTATACTTTTTACTTTTATCCTCTCCACCACTGATCGGCTCGTTAGCCGATTGGGCGATCAATCACATCTGTTACGCACTGTTGGCAAGTACTGGGCATGTGCCGGCTCCTGAATGTACCTGAACCTGCTCCAGTGTTGGTCAAGTCTGGTCTTGAAAGAGCTTCCACTCGAGTTCACAACTCTCACTCAGAAAAAATTTGCCCTCACAGTTTTCTAGACCTGCGGCTTCTTCAGTCTTGAGCTGTGACCCCTTGTGGGACGAGCGTCTGCCAGTTCCAAGTGAGGACACTCGACTGAGTAGTGCCCCCTGAGATGCTTATACACCTCAGTTAGGTAACCCCTTGCCTGTCTGTAGTATAAGCTAGGCAAATTCAGGCGCTCCAATATCTCAGGGTAGTTGAGGTGCCAAAGCACAGGCACCAGTCTGGTGGCCCTCCTTTGAACATTTTCAACCAACTGACAGTTCCTAGTATATCTCGGGGACCAGGCGGGGTGACAGTACTCCAGATGGGGAAGCACTTCACTCTTAAAGATCGTTACGAGGGACGGACCATCTAGATATCTGAACGACCTTCTTATAAGACATAATAATTTATTTGCCCGATTTTATGGATTGGTCAGTGCTTCATTAGTACCTCCTGTAAGGAGAGCACACTTATTAGTCATTTTTTTTCTGATCTTATCTGTGTACAGGTTCCAACAATATGCACAATATACAGTACAGTGTTGCAACAGGATGCTATTTATATACAGTATCATATTTTCTTTTTAATCTGTCTTTCAGATTTAGCTAAGTAGTGTAACATTTATTGCCAAAAAATATTTTCATGTGTACAAATTTTGTAAAGCAAATTATTTCATAAACAAATGTAGTCACATGTACTCAATCAAAAAGTATCTTTACAGTTTTGTATTAGAAATATGACAGAACGGACATAGGATTTTGACAACAGGAGTCACAGTGTACATTTAGAAATTCATTGGACCCAGCTGTAAAGATGATTTTTAAGTTGTGTGTACATAGCTTGAAATTAAGTCTGTTTTCTCTTGATTGTGAGTGAGAAAATTTATGTACAGTACTGTATTGTAATCAATATTTTCAGAATATTTGAGCATTTATGGATACTCGACTGATATGTTGCTGTGACTAAGTGGGGGGACCTTCAACTGATGGTTAGTCATGGAGTCTGCAGATGTACGCAAGAATTTCATTTTGACCACAACTGGTATGTACTGTACAGTAGTTAATTAGCATTTTCTATTATCTGGGTAACTGAGGTGCCGTAGTGCAGGCACCAGTTTGGTGGCCCTCCTTTGGACATTTTTGATCAACTAACAGTCTCTAGCATATCTTGGGGGATCAGACGGGGTGACAGCAGGGACTGGTTAAGGCTTACGCCAAGTATGCCATGGAGTAGGGCTCCCCCAGATTTGGGGGCCCCCCTCCCCCAATCAGGGCCTGGTTATAGTGATCTTTCTTACTAATGGGTAGGATTAAAATCTGTATGAGGTCATGCCTTTCAGACAATAAATTAAGCAATTTTTGTATTCTTTCAACAGTTTGATCTCACACAATCATTAAATTTCAAAGAAGTTGTGAATATCTTTGCAACAATGAAGTCAAGGAAGTAAACTTTGGTGTCAGTGTTTGAGTTCTATAACCTTGTACTTCTTTTGTGAAATATTTGCAACTCTGCATAAAGTTATTATTACAGTATATGCATTAAGTGAAGTAACTTTTGTCATCTTGTGCTGAACTACAAATAATATATCAGAAGAAAACTATCTTGTAAATGTACTTGTATAAGTTCTATACCCCTGTATTTCAATTTCAATATTATTCTAAACTAATAATTTATTTTTATAAAGTATTTGTTATCATGATTAGAGCTATTATAATACTGTGTTCACATTAAGTGTACTAATTTTATCGTCTTGTGCTGAATTATAAATAAAGAAATGCTTCTAGTAGACTAATTCCAATCATATTTTAATTTACTGAGACCGAAAGAAAATATAGAGTTGATAATGAATAGGGCCCTCCTAACCTTAACCAGGCCCTGGGTGACAGTACTCCAGACGTGGAAGCACCTGTCTAATCCTAATTTCCATGAACTTTTAGGAAATGCTGTAATGGGTGGTGGTAATACAGTATTGTGTACAGCATTAGGATGCGTGCCTCTCATCATTGCATCTTGGGTTCAATCCCTGGGTCAATGTGACCCCCCAAAAAATTACAGGTCTTTTCCAGGTACTGCAGTGTCCTCCTGTATTAACTGGATGGTGGACAATGAAGGACAGATTTACCAGGAACAATGGGAGTATCAAACAAGTTACTGGCTTTGTTCCCCATCAATGCTGTAAATTATAATTAGAAAAAATGCATACAAATTATGTAAGAATATTAACTATTCTCTCTGAACATACTGCAGTGCTCAAGTGCTAATGCCATCACATGAGCATGCTAGTTGCACCAGAAAATTAGGTATGGAAAGTAATTGACAATAAGGGAATATTGTACGAGTATATAAAAATACTGTATCTTTAACACCTGATACTACAATGTAAAAGAATGCATTATACTGAACCTCTCAATTGCATTATACTGAACCTCACAGTCTCCAAGTTCTTGTGAGGTTGGAACAAAACAATGATAATGCTAAGTGGCAATGCCCAATATTGCTTTGCTGACCTCATTTGAAAATCATATTTTGAAATATATTTTCTAATATAACTTTTATTCTATTATTTAGTATAACGGTGGCTAAGTGCTAGATTGGAGAGTAAGAGAGTAGTGATTCTTAAAAACATCTGGAGCTAATCAGTTTGTTATAAAGTATATCAAGTCATATTAATGGTATGATAGTAATTACAGTTGTGACAGTTGAAGAGTGTACAGTACAGTATCTCTAACTAATATTATTTTGTGTGTTTTTAACATGAATTTATCCTATTTAATTTCATTGAAGTATAGAATATTCTCTAAGTTAGTTATCCATCAAGATTTTTTTGTATTTTTAAATGAAATATTGTTTTTTGTGCCTTTATTGGTGGGATTTTATTACATTTCTCCTCAAAAGAAAATCATACAGAAGGAAGTGAAATAATTTTTTTTCTGTCTCCTTCTTCACAGGAAATTACTTCGGTTTGTCCCTAACTGATCCTCTGCTCCTGGCACTTCAAGATGACCAAAGTGTTAACACTTTTCTGGACTCTGGCAACTGTCAGCTCCTCGGTGCCCACATGGTTCCTGATGAGGGTCGGGTTGTATTCAACACCAAGGTACTGTATTGATTAATCCTCAGACACTCCTTCTAGGTATGTGGTGTCATGCCATGATTTGTTGTATCATTATTTATGACACTGCATAAATAGTGTGATTGCTATTGTGAACTGATTACAATTGTAATGTTAGTTATCTGTAGATAATCATACGATTCATAATACTCTCAATAGTCCATAAAACATTACATTTTAGTGAGTCAATTTCAAAATGTTTTCTGCAATACACGTATCAGAGAAAACAAAGTTAAATGACACTTTGTTTATGTTAAGCCCTGAAGTATAAATTATTCATACCCCTAAATGTCTGGCAATAAGATATGCTGTATATACCAATGGATAAATGAGGCCTTCAAGATTATTTGAGTACAGAATATGTTGAACACCTTAATTGTCTGTGACTATTGTGTAAAGTGAGCAGATCTGAGACTCCAACTAATCAAGCTTCACGAATTTGTGTCCTTGCCTTAATGTAATATTTTGTCAAAATTTAATTGCATTTACTGTATGTATCCTGTGAGTATCACAGAATGTCATGAATACACTGAATGTTCTGAAATGTTGCAGTTGACAAAACTTGACAAAGCAATTAATCATTTGAGATTTCATTTGAAAAATTCAATGGCCATGGGGCCTAAAACTAAATCCAATCTGTGTTTTGTAACTGGCTTATTGTGAACCAGTAAGAGCTCAGATATTGATTAGATTATAAATGCTATACTTAAGCAATGAATGTAGACCCTAAGCAATGCTACTTGTCGTAGAACGATGTGTTTCCAAGATGGATAAACTGTCTGTAAAATCCAGACCGTGTAATCTCTATCTGCTATACACTTGGAGCGCAGTGCCAGAATCTCACTTCTCAACCTGCATTCCCCGTTTCTACTAGGTATATGCCTCGAGTCAAACATTGATCATTGTATTGTCTTGATGTGATGTAGTTAACATTTGTCTGAATATTCGAGTAGTCCTGCTAAAGTAAGGGAACATCTTGTCATGTTTAACATTGTCTTATGCCATTCATTTCTTTCCAAAAGAATTATTTTAAGTATTTGTTTACACTGATTTCTCAATGTGCATTCCCCGTATCTACCAGGTCCTGCACTGTGTGTGTGTGTAGAATGGACGCTATTTTCAGAGGAAGCAAAGTGAGGGACACGATGTCCAATTCCATCTGAGAACTGCGTTGAGGCTCCTGTGTTCAGCAGAGCATGAACCATGGTGCATCTCTGTGTGTGTGTGTGTGTGTGTGTCATGATGGACAGGTTATAAGTATTGTATCAGAATCAGGTATAGTACTAAGACTGAATAAATTAATACAATCATGATCTCTGTTTGTTATGGATGCTTAGTGAATCTTCTATGATGACGGTTGATGTGTTGATGTTGGGCACGTCTTGTTGTTAGTGCTAGTTAATTAACAGTTTTATCTATAGGCAAGGTGATTAATGGTGCTATAATTAATCGTCCAATTGTGAGTGTTACTTAAAGGTGCTTCTAGTGATCACTATATACTTGAGTCACTGTAATAGAATATTGCCAATGAGCTGTTATCCTTCTACTCAAGTTTTATGACAGTTAATTGAAGATGGTTTATTTTTCTGATGACAGAGTAAGACCAAATAGTGTTTTTATTTTTGTACAAGTGTTAAATAGCATTGATGGTTCAAGATGTTAAAAATAACAAAACTTGCTTTTAATAAACAGTAAATATGTATAATCTTGGTATCACTCTTCATTCCTTCTCATATTGGAATGCTTTTAAGTAGAGGAGCATCTGTATGCCCACAGAACAAAACATAAGACAAAATATTGAGAGAAATAATATATGGCAGTATAATTAATAATAATAATAATTTATCACTTTACATTTGTTCATTAATGTACAAGTACCTGTATTTTATGTGAAAATAATGTTAATGATTGCTTTTATTTCTGACAGGTTGACTCCACGTTGAAAAAGGACAAGCTGCTCGTGTTCTTCAAGGTGAAGCCTGATGTAATAACTGGCGACAACCTTGCTGATGTATTTGTGTCCTCTATGATTGACTCGCCCGTTTCCTCCCTCTACCACTCCCTTCAAAAACTGTATGCACCAATATTGTTAAAGGTAAAGTTTAAGCCAAGAGTATTAATCTGTTTACACTGTGAATTGATAAGAACTGAAGTATACTTTGCATTGTTTTTTAATGGAGGCTACAATGAAGTGTGTAATAATAATAATAATAATAATAATTAACGGTTTATTGAAAGAGCTTGGCAGCCAGAAGGCTGAAAATATACAGTTACATATTTGGGGAATGGGTTACGAATTACAAATAATATACAAGTACATAAGTGACACAAATAAGACATATAGTAACTTAGATGGGGATCAGCTCAAACTACAGTTCATTTCAACATAGTGACAGTGTAGGGAGCAGTGTTTACTGGGAGTGAATACACTGATTTATTACATGTTATTGATAATTTTTACAATGGTTGGGACTGGGCTGTTCTTATAGCGATCAGTTCGTGCACGTATGGGCTGGATGCGGTTGTGGTGTCGAACAGCAATTCTCGGACAGGGGATCTCAGGTGGTAGTAGGGGCCGGTGTCGGGGATGGTGTAGAAGCTTCTTACCAAATTTGCAGATGAGGCCGTGGTGATGGTCAGTGAGAGTCGAAAGGGTCAGTGTGTTGAGCGCTTCTTGATATGTGGAGTAGGAAGGGGAGAGAATAATCTTGCATGCCCTCTTTTGCACTTTTTCTAGGTGTTTACGTTGTGTGGCATTTAGGGAGGAAGACCAGGTGGGGGAGGCATAGGTGAGCTTGGGAAGTATGAATGTTGTGTATACACTGAGGAGCTCGTGTGCGGGAACTCCGAGGGACTTGAGTCGGCGGAGGAGGTGGAGACGGAAACTGGAGGATTTGACAACTTCACTGACGTGTGGTTTCCAATTTAGTTTGTTGTCTATGGTGACGCCGAGGAGCTTCGTGGAATCTACAACCTGGAGTGTGTTCGGACCTAGGGTAATGGAAGGAGGTGGGACAATGTCGGAGGAGAGGTTGATGTGCATAACCATGGTCTTGGTATGGTTGATGGTGACATGGTTGTTGGTGGCCCAGTTTTGGAGACTGTTCAATAAATCCTGAAGGGCGGTATAGTTGGGAGCAGAATTGTTGACGCTGATCCCAATGGTGGAGTCGTCGACATATTTCCAGCGAGCAGGGGTTTCTCTTAGGGCATCATTGATGAGCATAAGGAAGCAGAGTGGTCCCATCTTGGTGCCTTGGGGGACGCCACAGGTGAGTGACTGAAAGGTGGAGACAGCCCCTCGGAAGCGTACAGCTTGGCGTCGGTCACTGAGGAAGTCTGTAAGCCATGGTATGAGATTTCTCCGAAGCCCGAGGTCAATAGCTTTGTTTATGATTATATTGTGGTCGACTAGGTCGAACGCTTTAGTGAAATCAATGAAGGCGACAGCTACAGACGTTTTTCGTTTCTCGAGATGGCGGTATATGTAATCGAGAAAGCTGACAAGACAGTGAGTGGTGGAGGAAGTTTTCATGTTGCCAAATTGCTGAGGGTCTACGACTCCTGCAATATCAGCATAAGCCCAGTCAAACACAAAACTTTCACAGATTAGGCTGGGTATTGGGGTGATTGCAATAGGTCGTAGCTGATTTAAGGATTGTGGGCTGGTTGACTTGGGCACTGGTGATACATAAGAGGTCTTCCAGTCAGCTGGGCATCTGGCTTGACTGAGAGAAGCATTGATGATGGAGCAGAGGGGTTTAGCAAGCTCCGGGGAGAACTCCTTGAATAGTTTCATTGGTAAGTCAATGGGGGTGGTAGAGCGTTTTAATTTTAGTTTGTCCAGGCGTTTTGCTACGTCAAATTCTTCTACTAAGTCAGTGGGAAGGGGGGCTGGTAGGTAAGCAGGGAGAGTGGTTGTGTCAAGCCGTGGGAGCGTCTGGCATATAGTAGCGAAATGGTTATTTGTTTGCTCAGCTGCGTCAACATTAGTGAGATGGCTGAGGAAGGGGAGGGGATGTGTCATATTGTTTAGTCCACAGAGTTCTTTAAGCTTACCATACCATTGACTGATGTTGGTCTGCTTCAGGTGTTGTAATTTGGTTGGGTAGTGGGACTTCTTTGCAGTGCGTATTTCGCGGATGACTCTGTTGCGAAGTGACCTGTAGCGGATGTGGTCATTGAGATGAAAGGCTCTGTCTCTCTGTTGCATAAGTCTTTTGATCCGAGGTGTGATCCAGGGCAAGTCAGCTGGGTGAGATCTGACGGACTTCTCGGGGAAGAAGTGGTGGTGAGCTTCGGTGGTGGTGTTGGTATAATTTATCCATTTGGTTTCCACGTCATCCACGCTGAGTACTTCAGTCCAGGGATAGTGAACTATCCACTGTCCAAAGAGGCGTACTGCAGAGTCAGTAATCGGCCTGTAGGTCTTGATGTAGGGTCTCTGTACTTGAGTGGGAGTGGCAGCAGGGGACCAGAGCACTGATAAGTGTGTGCTACACCCAATAGGAGGCAGTGGTTGAGGAGGTTGGTACTGGTCCGCTAAGTCAGTTAAGATAAGGTCAAGGGTGTTTTGACCGTGTGTGGGGAAGCTCACAACTTGTGATAGTGATAGCTGGTCCTGGATATCAGTGGTGTCAATTTCATTTAAATCCCCACATAATACTAACTTGGCACATGGGTACCTAACTCTGAGGTGGTCTGAGGTGGTGATGAGATGATTGATAAGAGTGTCTCTGGTGGGTGATCGAGGCGGATGGTATGCTACACAGATTATAATGGAGGCAGTGTTGCGTGGGTGTGCCCGCACGTGTGCGTGTGTGTGTGTGTGTGTGTGTGTGTGTGTGTGTGTGTGTGTGTGTGTGTGTGTGCGTGCATGCGTGCGTGCGTGTCTTGTGTGTGTGTTATGTGTATCATGATGGAGAAAACTTACTTCTGCCTCTGTAATGTGTGAGAAACAAACTTGAAGTTGAGGTGACAATAAAGTAATGGGATTACAGCTCCTCCCCGAATTATGACCTACTCGACTTACGACCACCCGGACATACAACCGCCTCAGTCATACCAAAATTTTGTCAAATTACGTATTTTCGAGTCCCAACGTCAGTGATTGCGCTGTGTACTGACAAAAAAAGATTTTGTAATTCACTTTAAATTGGCTGGCAAGCTTAAAAGTGAGAGTTTTGTGGTGCTGAGAAGAAAAAGAGACACCCATTTTAGATTTTCTATGTATTATTTAAGCATTTTCGACTTACGACCATTTCGACTTACGACCTGGATTTGGGTCCCTAACCCCGTCGTAAGTCGGGGAGGAGCTGTAATTATAGAAAATGTGGGAGTATAATGCAAGAAACAAGCGAGTGTGAGTGTTTTATGCTGAATATACTTACAATACTGAAATCTTCTACAGGTACCTCTTCTGGTTATTTATTGTACTCATTAAAAATTAATGATTTTCAGTGTTTATCTTGCTTTTTACCCAACCTGTCTCCTTCATTTACTGGCTTTTACTGTTAAGTTTTTCTGTTGTATTGTCACAGTTTCTTGACTAGTTATAGTAACAATTCTTATTCTTAACAGGATTCTGAATGGAGTGGTACATTAGATCCTAAGCTTCAGTCTCTGCTAACAGAGTTATCAGATGGCCTGGGAAGCCTTCTTCGAAAACAAGATCCAAATGTGTCGAGTGAATTTGGTCATGCATCCACAAGATTAGCAGGTGAGAATGTTAACTTGCTTACTTTTACACCTTCATCATTTGTCAGATTTTGATCCAATTGGACAGCTCCACAGTTTTTGGACTTTTGACTCTTAGCATGTTTGAGTTCCTTTAATTTACCAGAACAGGTACTTGACTTTGTGTCATTGCAGGTTTAGCATAGACTATAAGTTACACTCAGTGTTGTCACAACATTTATTGGTGGATTATTCCATAATTTTACAACTCTTCACCCAAAAAAAATTTAGTTTCGCAGTATTCTTTGTTCATAGTTTCATAAATTCGAGAATGTCTATTCATTTTCTTGTAAGTGGTGTGCCCTTACCCATCATTTAAGGTTAATTTCATCTCGACACCACAATCCCTCCACCATTAGTGCTGCTCATGACTACTCTCTTACACACACACACACACACACTGACACTCACTTTTTCTCTGTGCATAAAATTTATTTTGAAATTTAGTGAATATAAAGTACTAAGCCCAGGTAATTCCTGATAATGTGTAATTCGTTTTATGCATGGCAGGGATCTTGAGCTTCAAGGACGAAACTGACTACTGGGCCGACACTGCCAACAATCCTATGAGCCGTGAGGAAAAAGAAATGGCGCAGAGTTTTTACCATTGTCTTGAACCAGTCTCCAAAGAATTCAGGTGAGTACAGTAAGTCCTCGCTTAACGTCGTGGTTACGTTCTTGAAAAACACAGCGTTAACAGAAACAACGTAAACAGAATCAATTTTCCCCATAAGAAATAGATAAAATACGCTAGTTATGTTCCCCAGCCTCTCTCTGCCCCATAAAATACATTACATATAGGTAAATTCAATGGAATTTTTATAGAAAATATATGGAAAGGGAGCGTTGTGGGTCAGCAGAGGCAGCCGGGCTAGTTGCTAGGCGAGGCTTGAAGGCAGCCAAGTGTAAAGCAGCCAGCATCTATGCAAATGGTGCCGCTGGTGGCTGGCTGTGTTAAACTTCAATTTAGCTCTTCCTTAATTCTTTTTATCTGCATATTTTCTTTTAGATAGTATTTAATTTGTTTTTAATGTGTTGGGTAGTAAATTATAGTAGCTGTGTACTATTTATCATTAGTTAGGTAGTTTTTTCTTGTTTATGAGCCGATTTCGTAGTTTTGGGGGTGTGATATTGGGGTATTTTTGTCATTGGGAACTGAACCCTATTTTTCCCATTTTTCAATTCAAGATATGAAAATTCTCCTGATAAACAGCTTTTTGGAACCTAGCCCATTCGTAACTAGAGATACCTGTACTGTACTGGTATTTATTAAGTTCTCTTACAGTGGGTTGGATGCTGTTGCCATGGTGGATGCTGAAGACATCTTGGAAAATGCTCAGAACTGTTTGGATGAATTGTGGAGGTTTGACTTCCCCCAGGCTCGTATGTCACACTTGTTGGGTGTCATAGCTAATCAACTGTCTCTCTATGTACAGGTATGTTTCATCATTCAGGTGTAATGTATTTTCTGATAGACACTCATTATTAGAGAGAAGATACATTTGTGTAAAAAAAAGAGTCCCCCAAAATGTTTTAAAATGCTACAAAACATGTTTTTTATTTATTTTTTTAGTGTAGTACAGTACATAATGATAATAAGTATAATTAAATAAACACTTTCTCTTACAACTCTACACCTTCATTAAACATAATTAACATATGAAATATAAGAATACAGAACAAATTTCCTTTGTTTAATTTTCCACATACTGTACTAGAGTATTACATGAGAGTAAACTGGCTGAGTTACTGTGTGCGTGATGGCAGTGTGAGTGATGAGTGTACAGTACTGTGCTTGTCTTAAGTTGAGTTTGAGGAGTATGTTGGAGGATGATAGTACATTAAAGCTTATTTGTAGACTTAATAACATTTCAAGGGTTAAAGAATAATTGAATAAATTTGAGAAATCAACTAAGCATAGTGTTAGTAAAAAATCTGCTTTATTTTAGCATATTTCATTATTTCAGTAATCTTTCTATTAGCCAGAATAATTGATGCATGTTCATTCTGAGTGAGAGAGATTTCCAGATATGGAGACAAATTTTCTCATCCTTGAAAAAAAATTGCATATCCCCGGAATTTTTCTGGGTACAGGTATCTCGTTTAGTGATCGCTCACATATTAATATTTTGGTTTAGCGATTTAAAATTTTTAACACCCTTTGTTATTAATGATTGTCAATTTTCGATTTAGCGATCTTCAACTCTCTGGGAAAAATTCGGGAGGGAAGTTGGAAAAACTGGGGATTCTGTGCTCCAAGTGCGCATCATTACAATAATACAGTAATAATTAAATGTATGTAACACATTGTGAGGCAAGATGATATGTAGATGATGTTCTGAAAGTGTAAGGGTTGCACTGGTAAATGAAGTAAAAACCCACATTGGAGAAATAAAAGATGAAATTTTGGATCTGGTATATTAGGACCCTCTTCAGCCAACTAACAGAGCAAAGCAAGGGAGAAAGACCTAGAACAAAGGAATCAGGTCACATGACATGTCTCCTGAGTTGGGGTAGAGTGGGGATGAGGGATAATCTTGATGACAGTACTGTATTCAGGAACAGATACGGGGCCCACTGACCTGATCCTGAATATTGTATTGTACTGTCATCAAGAAGATTATCCATAATCCCCTGCCATCCACTGTTTACTTTATATCCCTTTCATTTTTTTTGATGATTGCTTTTGTTAAATGACCCCCTCCCCCCTCCATGTTACAACATGTATATTTTCAGACTTTTGGTTGCTGCTCCTTTTTCAGTAAACCGTTATTATTACAGTATTTTCATTACACACACACACACACACACCGATAGATATAAAAATAGCACCATCCCATCTATTGTTAAAATAATAAACAACTCCTGATTTATGTACTGTACAGCCCTGTAAATGTATTCAATGCATATTATATCATTATGTCTAAATCAAATGTAAGTCTATATTTTCAGCCACCGGCTGCAACTCTATTAATAAACCTTTTATTATTATTATTATTATTACACACACCCACTTCAGTAGCAGTAGATAAAGAGGATTGACAATTAAGACAAGGTTTTAGTGGGGTAGGTAGTCATCTCTCTCGGCTAAATATATATTAAAATGTACTGTATTCATGCCTCCAAGAATGGTGAGATTGATAATATTTTTTTGTTTTGGAAATGACTTGATAAACACAAATTTGAATATGAGAAAGCATATCTTAGACCTTTATGACTTTTAGCATGAACTTCGCTGCATTTTTGTCAGTTATGTTGTAGAAATAGTGTAGAGGTGAACCAAATGGAAAACTAGGGCTTTTTCATGAGTTGCATAATGTACCTCAGTTGAACACATCTGTTACAGTATTAAGATTGAATGAATGAAAACAGATGGTAGGAAAAGTCTTTGTGATTGCTCTTGATTTTGACAAGCTTGCTTTATAATGGGAAGTACATGAAAGAATGAAAATTCTCTTTATATACATATAATTTTTCATTGTGTAAATTATGGATATTTTAATTATAACTTCAGAGCAAAGTTGGAGAAGAGGATATTTGGGGTGGACAGTACAATCAAGTGGAGAAAAGTCTTTCTGAAGGCATCTCCATCTGTGACCGCTGGGTTGACACCTGTCACAAACTTACTTCTATGTTTTGGAAAAGTGTGGCAGATCAGATGTGGGAAGGCAAACCATTCATTCCAGATTATTGCAAGAATGTTTCAAAACGCCTAAATGAGATACTTAGTCTACGCACCTTGCACAAACAACTAACAAGGCTGTTATCTCTTAGTGAACAGGAGGACCTCAAAACTGCAGAGGCCTTTAAACCATTTACAGGTTTAAAACCAGTACAGTACAATCCGTACACAGAGCCATTATGGCAGGCAGCAGTGCGGCAATTTGAAAATTCCTTGAAACCTGCAGAACAACGAATTGCTGGTAAGCTAAGAGCTCAGCTCCGAAATATGAATTCAAGTGCTTACCAGCTTATGCAAGAGTTTAAGCGATATAAGGAACTGATCAAACGAGACAGTATCCAAAAGGAACTTGTAGCTGAACGAGAAATGTTATTAAGTGAACTTAGCAGCTATGTCAGAGCAACTCAAGCAGACTTTAACAACACATCAGTCAATGGACCTAGGCGAATGACAAATGTTCCAGAGGTGGTCAGCAATATCTATTGGGTCAAACCTATTCATGCAAAGGTCCTGGATATTGGTAAGTGGTTACGACTGTGCCTGATGTTCTGAAACTTTTGAATTCTCCCTTTCTTAATACAGAACCCTAATTGTAATTCATCTGCACTGGTCAGCCTCCTATTACAGTACTGTACTGGTATCTCCTACTAATTACATCTGTACTATGTATTGTTGTCATAGACTTCCTTTATATAAAGTAGCTTGGTATGTAAACTCATTGAACACCCTACATCTTCAAGTGCAAAATTTCTAGTCATTGCTAACTACTCATGCATTTTACAGTACAGTAATAATTTAAGGCTTCCTCATTATTTTTTTTTTCACAGGTAAAACAGCAGATACCTTATTGATGGACTTGATTGGCTATGAGGAACTGAAGCGGAACATTGGTGAATTTTGTGTGGAGCTGGAGGAGTACCACAATGACCAGTTTAACTCATGGTCTCGAGAAATGCTACATATGATAGACACACAAGAACTTAGGTACCTTTATTACATTTTGTATTCAGTATGTTTTTAACCAAAGTATGCCCATATAACAGTACTGTATATGACCAGCTTCCAACCTCTCTTACTGGTCAGAGTGGCAGCCATAAAGATTTCCTTTAATGGCCTCCTCCTCATTAGTCTGTAACACATAATCAATGTACTACCACTGTTATGTAAAAATGAATATGAATTCAGTCAGTATGAAATCTGCAGATTATAGATAGGCAAGTTATGAATATAAGGATGTGCATGTGGAAACTTTTTCTTTCTATATCAGTCTTTTCCATTGTCTTGCACCACTCCCATACCATTTGTGCCTTTTCTTGAGGAGTAAAAATTATTCAGTACTGTAGATAGATAAATGACTTTCAATTTTAATAATTTTCACTGTTATTCTGTTATATGGATTATGTGTTCCTAATGCTGATGATTTTGTATTATTTCAGCCTGGCAACGGACTCACCTGTGTTGTCCTTCAGTAAAGGTAGACTTTTGCGAGTGAATTATAACCCACGTCTGGTGGGTCTGGTGAGGGAAGTTAGTCAACTCTCCATCCTGGGACATAATATTCATCCAAATATCATCAAAATGGCAAAGCTTGCCCAAAAATTTGTGAAGCAGGCCAAAGCCTTGGAGGAGGTAAGAATATTTTTTGAGGATTTCTAGCCCCTTGTCTCTTGGTACCTTATTGACCTTTCACACTGTTGAAGCCTGTACAAAACCTTCCCTTACTGTGCCTCCTCAAGAGAGAAACAAAGAAATAGAGATACTGTAGTGACGTCTATTTCCCATACATACTTGTCAATCCTTATCCACTTTATCAACTGTATTTCTGTGTTCTTATGCTTGCATTTTTTCTTTCAGTATAAATTTTCATACATTCTTCTTTGTTTACTCTTCCTTCATACCCAGATCATGTTCTTATTAAACTTCTTCATTCAACTGTACCTCTGTTTATCCTCATCCCAAGAGCCATATCCCATTTTTTAAATATCCATCATAGTTTTTTGCAGTTTTAATATATACTCAAAATATACTTTATGGGGTATTGTATAGTGTGACATTATTTTTGTATTCTTATCAATTATAAAGGCAAAATATATTTTCAGATCGCCAATTTCCACAACACAATAGGAGACCAGATGATCCCGTCGCAGAGGCCAATGATGCTGGAGGCAGCACTTGCGCTCTCAGGTCTGGTACAGGAGCAGACCACCATCACCTGGTCCAACACTGAGCAGCTAGATGCTTATATAGCCAAGCTTAAGATTGCCACAAAGAGACTGGCTCAAGAGAACAAACAACTGGCCCAGTGCCATCTCTTGATCAAAGAGAGGGTGAGTGCAATCATGGTCTGGTAGTACAGTATATAGGTAATTACAGTAATGATAGAGAGGTAGTTCACTAAACCCTTACAAATTTGACATCTTCAGTGCTCTAGGTTGATCGAATTAACCTGAAATATCAAATTATCCCAATTTATTGAAATTACCCCAGAAAAGAAAAATTAAGCCCGCATATATATTTAAAGGCATTTTACAGAGTGCCGTCACTGCCATGTAATGAAGTGAAGTGGGGAGTGGGAAAGTTAAGGTATCTAGGAGTCTTATACAAGTGGCCATGTCATTGTTTGAGGCTTTCAGGACCATTGTCTTTATTAACAATTAATCAGTTTGATTGCTAAGAAAGTTAATGAAAGATTTGTTATTACCAGGTATTGGCGCTCATGAACACAGATTTGTTGCGTCACCAGTCTAAGTGGAAGGAGTTACTGAAGGAGATGCGATCCATAATGCATCAGCTACAGGAAAAAGGCTTTGCTGACCAGAAATCTTGGTGCTCTCACTGGGATCGCCAGTTGTACAAGGCTTTGGAACATCAGTATCAGTTGGGTCTTGAAGCTCTCAACCAACACCTGCCAGAGTTGAAGGTGGAAATCACATTCAGGTGTGTGTAATGACACTGGCTTATTGTTATCTATTTGGAACCTCTGTATGAGAGTGTGTATATAAACAAATAATTAAGATGGGTGCTAGTTGGGTACCTCTCTTATAACCCCTCAGTAAAATATGGACTTAACGTTGATGTTTCATTCATTGAAGAACAATTTAAAGTATGATTGTTACGGTACTTGTCTTTGATATTATACTTGAAGTATTTTGTCTGGAATTGTTGTCTGTGTAAATTATTCTTGTCTTGTGGATAGTTACGTGACACACCAGCACACCTGATGCACTGCCATGCCTGACAGGTTCCTCTCTGTTTTCTAGAGTTATGCTGTGGATGCACACACTTGCACAGATAATTACACAGATGATACTGGTCATCTTACTCAACTGACCTGGTTGTATTGAGTAATAAGATAGCTAGGTAGTTATTGTATATGTGTAATTAAGTGTGATTCTCAACTTTTTATGGTATATTATTTGTAAATTAATGGCTTGCAGACAGCAGAGGCTTCAGTTTCTTCCGCCAATGGAAGAAATTCGCATGAAATATTATGGACAGTTGAAACGTTTCCTGGCCATCCCATTCCAATTTAAGGTATTGTGATTCTTTTAACCTTTCCTTCTACATAAAAATAACTAAGGGGCATTTGATTACCGGTAATTATTGAAAAGGTGTACTAATATGGAAATATACAAAGATTATTGTGTTGTTGAATGCTATCTGAAGTGTATTGTATTTGTATTTCATAGGGTGTTAATGAGGTGAATGAACATCCAGTGTTCCCAACCATTGTGGACCGTAATGCTCATCGCTTCTCACAGTTATTTCAACGAGCAGAAGAATTGTTTGAAAGACTAGAGAATATCAAAGAACGTTTTGCAGATTTATGTGCTCTTGGTTCTTGTGATGTGGAACAGCTGGTTGAGAAATATTGTAGAACCGCTGAAGACTGGGACCGGTAAGGATGTGCACATGATTCTAATGGTTTCTTTCTGGTTCACAACATAAAGACAATCTTATAAACATGAAGTTGGTGTAACCAAGTATTGTTCCCCAAATTGAAATGCTGTATCATTGATATTTGAATGTTAATAGTCACCTTGACTTTTGACACACCATCTGGGAACATAAACTTGTGTAAACTTCACTTTGAATTCCTCATATATCTCTCAACTGTATCCTTAGTCCTGGGTAATATGCAAGAAGTGTTATCGTGAGTGACCCTACCAAGCAGTGAAGGTCTTCTCCGGGTACTACAGGTTCTTCCTGTACTACCACCGGACAATAAAGATCCTAACAAAGTAACAGAGTATAGACCTGAATGGCTTGTAAGCTGATAAGTGGTGAATTGATAAAAATCAAAATCATAAAAGTGGTTCATTAATCTATTGGTAGATAAGAATAAAACTTTTTATGAAATATACTAATCCACTCATTTACATATGCTGTACAGTACATTAGCTATGTAGTCAGTCAGCTTGATACAAAATTATTTTATGCATGCCTGTATTCTACACTTGACCTTAACACTCAGTACACTTTACCTGTAACCTTAAGTCTTCCTCAGTTTTAAGATTATTCATGTTGGTACATAAATTATGACAGTGCTGTGATTGCCTTGGATTTTTTATACAGTACAGTATTGTTTTAATAATTCATATAAAATTTTTTACCTGAAATTTCTCTCTATCTTTCAGAAACTTCCGAGCATCAAAAGCAAAGGGTCAAGAGATTGGAAAATTACCAGGTACAGAGGAGAGGATAGACTGCTTCAGCATAAGTTTTCAACCTCTCAGAGTGGAGTTAGAGATAATGAATCGTCGTTACTGGGACATCCTTGTACAGTCACTTCATAATGCAATCATAAAAGATATCAACACCATTGAAAAGTTTACAGAGGATGCCATTGACGTGAGTGGTTATGTTATACAGTACTGTATCTTAAATTAAGATGCTTTTGGGTTTCTTGCAATTTTTACATTCATATGCATGGAAATAATACTAGCTAATGATGAAAGAAAACTTAGGAGTACATACTTTATAAAATTGCAGTATGATAGATACCATATACCTGTGGGTGTGTGTGTTACAAAAGCAAGGTGTGGAGGTGTTTGTGTTACTGTACAGAAGCACACTAGAAATACCCATTAACGAGTCTGATACGTGATATAACAGGGGTCTACTGTCTAAACAGGAGCAAAAAGTTGCTTTTAATGGCAAATATGTATAGTGAAATACTGTACTGCTAAGTGATCACAAGCTACTGTACTGTATATGTCTTTACTTCTCCCTCTTCATGGCCTGTTCTGCCATTAACAAGTGAATATTGTTTTCATGCTTGTTTGTTTTACAATACCAAAACTGCATTGGGTGTCGTAAAATTTGGTGAGCAGATTAAGTTTTTCAGTGGCCCTTCCACCTCTAAACCTTATTATTTTCCAATGTTCAATTTATTGACTAAATTCAATATCTTTAAGACATTTTATGATTCCTGTGCAGTACTGTAATTGTAAAATAAGTAAAACCTATAAATACAATGTACTGTACTGTATAAACAAAGAATGGAACAACTTCCAGAAAACCTTGCAGCATGTGGTATGAAATGGGCCTTGACAGAGTTCTTTTAATGGGAATTTGCTTTTGTCAATAAAATAATAAAACAATAATGATAATAATAATAATAATAATAATAACACTAATGATAATAATAATAATAATAATAATAATAATAACACTAATGATAATAATAATAATAATAATAATAATAATAATAATAATAATAATAATAATACAGTAATAATAAAGAACCATAAAGAAATGCAAAAATGAAAAAAGATCAATAGTGAGAAGCAATACCGTATATGTATGTTGAGTTATCAAAGTAAGAGAAACAATTGATACCCTGCAATTGTGTAAATGAGGCAGAAAGTCAGATCAGCAACCTGGGACTTGGTCACAATTTTTGTGATGCCATATAGCAGCAGGGTCTACCATTAGACAACACGTTATGCTTCCACTATCTTCCCAGGCGTTAGTACTATACCTCCCTGTTTGGTAGCTGCCTACTACCTACTACAAAGAGCTTTCAAGAATAGAGGAATAAATGTATATGAATTGCCAGCTGTGAAGGAATTGCCAATTATTTTTTCTTTTAGTTGCCTTCAGAAATTTTTACATTTTTGTTTTGTTTATATTCCTTCTTACTAATGATAATGAAGAATCAGAAAACAAATGTAATGTTCAGTACAGTATTTTCATGATGTATTGAAGCCATTTCATACTTTACAATGACAGGTTCTCAAGAGACAACCACAAACTGTAGAAGAGATTGCTAATGCAAGCAACAAGCATGCAGAATATGCAAAGCTAACTGAAGAAATGGTAGAGCTATTCAATGAAGCAGAACGCAAGAACAAGACTTTAGCCAGCTGGACGAAGGAGAGAGTGGAGCAGGTGTCCCGAGTCACCATGCAGTGGGATAATTTCAAGACCCTCATGGAGAATCATGAACAAATTGTTGCAAAACAGGTAGGCCAACTGTACTGTATGTAATGTTTTATATTTACTTATATCACACTTTGTGTATGAAGGTGGATAAAGGAATGCAGAATCCTTATGAATGGGTAGAAATGGCTTGAGAGTGTGGTTCCCCAATAGAGTAGAGAAAGATAGGAAATGGCTGAATTAAAGATTAATACCATACACATATATTCACACAGATGAACTAATATAATTAATTATCTACTTATTCATGTATAAGTGACTGTGGCTTAGTGGTAGAGCATTTGCAAAAATAATGTGTGTTTCATGCCGGCTGGAGGAATAGTATCCCTCCTTTAATGCTGAGTTAGGCTTCAAATTACATATGTGATGTTTTTTGGTAATCAGCATTTTTTGTAACTTTATTGACAAATATATGACCTCTAATTGACTTGTAAAATATTGGTGTGGGCATAAAACACCTTCATTGATAGTTTAGTTTGTTCAGAGATTTGTCGGAGTCATATGTCCTTTTGTGATGGCTACCTCAACATTTCTCCATCACAGATTGAAGCTATTAAAGGTAATCTGGAGAGCCAAACTAACAGCTTCAACAGTGAGGTAGAGAAGTTTGGAATGAGGTGGTTTCAGCTTCGTCCACAAGAGGATAAGGTGGATGGTGATGTTGACAATATGCAGGCAGCCATCTCTTTTATAGCAGAGAAACGCCTGGAGTGGAACCAGCTCATGGAGACACGAGACAGCTTGAGGCAAGTGACTTGTGTGCTAACAACAGAAATTTAACCTGTGAGATGAAAGTTGGCCATTCATAGTATGTGTGTCTGTCTGTTCTCCATCTGAAAATTTCAACCCATTCATTTCAGTTCCAAAAAATCTGCTTTTAGGTGTATAGGTCCTTAAGCATAATATTTTGGATGGTAGTGAGTATTTTCATGCTTCTTGTTTTGCATAAATAGATAGACAGAGTGATTATTATTGTGTTCATACCTTCCTTCACTGTTTTCATAAACCCTTTTTGAATGTGCATTAAGGATGGTGGATGAATTTCTTTAAGGCCAATGACTAACACTTATGGTGATGAGAAATGCAGAATTCCACAAGATAACTTGGTTACAAGAAGTTGTATTCCATTAATTAGTGTGGCATAACATAAATTAAATAACTAATGATTTTGTGCAAAATCTACAGAAATGTAGAAACTACAGTACTCGAGAAAAAACGCACACACATTGTCATGATCAATTTCTTAAAACAGTTAATCTGTTTCACTAGATTTAGTGTTGCACTCCTTTGTAGTGGGGTACCTTTCGTACGATACTATGCTTTAACAGGACCCCTGCTATGTGTAGCAGATACAATGGTAAAACTATGAAATGGAGGAAGTAAACAGATTACAGCAGATTAAGCAAATACTGCTGTATTTATTTTTTTAACAGCTGTTTAGTTCCATGTGTTTAAATTATTGAAACTACCATATTGTGGTGTAGGTTCTTGTCAAGGAATAAATTGAATCACTTTGTTTACAGAAAGGACTATGAGCACTTCAACATGGGGGAACCATTCTTTCCTGAAATCGATGGCATTGAAGCAGACTTAAATAAGCATGAACAAACTTGGGGCTTGTTTGATGAATTCAACACCAGCATGCAAGAATTTTCTGATGAAGAATGGATTGTTTTTCGAAGTAAAACATATAAATTTGAGGAGTTTTTAAACAATTGGGGTGAGTTGAAATGTACTGTGGAAAACCTTTTCTATCTATCAGTTATCATTCCTCCTCTCCCACTTTGTGAGGTGGATTGATGGATCCAGAAATCTCAAAGAAAGAGGGATAAGAGGGAAGAGTGATGTAAGACAGGAAAAGGCTAAGACATAGAGTAGAAAAAGAAAGATTGCTACCTTAGTAAACTTACTTTTCATAAAGTTATGACAGTTTGTTATCAAATAAATTTAGTAGTGCATGCTTGAATAGCAAGAATTAGTAAGTTAGATCATCAACACAGTTGGTAACTAGGGCTCTGGACCAGGGTATGGACCGGTCTTAGGGTCCTCAGGTAAAGCTGAATTCCCATAAACATTCCTGTAATTTGAATCATTCTTTTGTTCAACTAGAGGAGGCATGAATAATTTAGAACTGGTAATATTTTATGTATTATATTATAGCAGTTAGAGAGAGTGAATGGTGACATGATATTCTTACTTCTGGCCACTCTACTAGAGCAGGAAATGACTTCTTTGATTAAAAAAACTATTACACAAACCTGCTTTGTGTCTAGCAGGTTTGTGTATGTAGTTATTACCCGGATCAAGAAGTACATCACAGTATGTTGATATATTTTTTAGAACTATATTTAGCATATATAGTTTGTTTTGTATTCCAGGTGAAAAGCTGCGGTTATCTGGAGAAACAACTTCTGTGACTGTACGTCTTATTCATGAACTAGAAAAGTACAAAACAATAATTCCTGTATTGAAGTATGTACGTGGGGAAGTATTTTCGGAGAAGCACTGGATTGAGATGTACAGCCTGCTGGGGATACCCACTAATTTATCCGTTGATAAACTCACTTTTGGCCATTTTTTGAAGGTAAACAAAGTCTTAGCATATAGAAGCTTATTGTTAATGTTGGTAAAAACAATTTAACCCATTCCACACCACATGGCACAGCTGGCATGTGGGTGTAGCTGTGACGACAAAGTAGATATCAAATGGAGTTACTGGAATAGGTAGTGAGGAAGGGATTTTTCTATTTCTTAATGATATCCTTGTTTGAGTGAGTCTTGAAAAGAAGTTCAAATTATTTTCAGTGATAGAGAAAAGAATACAGTTTTGTCTCTATAATGGGATAATCTCACAAGTAGTAATTTATCAGAAATTTACACATTGTTATGAAGAATTTTCTGGCACACAAGCTTCTTATTATCTGATATATCTTCTTGTTGTTTTAGTCTTTTCCTTTAACTTTCTACACTTATCATCTACCACTTCCCCTGATCACACACTTATCATCTACCACTTCCCCTGATCACACACTTTTCATCTACCACTTCCCCTGATCATACACTTTTCATCTACCACTTCCCCTGATCATACACTTTTCATCTACCACTTCCCCTGATCATACACTTTTCATCTACCACTTCCCCTGATCATACACTTATCTTGCACCACTTCCTCTGATCATACACTTCTCATGTACCTCTTCCCCTGATCATACACTTATCTTGTAACACTTTCCCTGATCATACACTTATCTTGTACCACTTCCCCTGATCATATGCTTATATTGTACCACTTCTCTTGATCTTTAGTTTTGTCTCTGAATATTTCAGTAGCTCTTGATCCATCTTACATGATAGTGGGAGAACAGATAGTGTAGTAGAGAGAAATATTGTACAGGACCAGTATGTGGAAATTCATTCATTTGGTTATTCTTAAATTTTGACATGAATCATTATTGGAGAAATTTTAAATTCTTGTATAAAATAAACATTATGGTTTCTTCAAATTGAATGAGATAACAAATTCTTGGGTATAGGGGCCACATTCATGTGAAGCCTCATTTTCCACAACAACCAGCTTTGTACATACAACTAACGCTGTCAGCTCTGTATGTACCCAGACGACTAACACTGTCAGGTGTTTATTAACCCAGACATCTGAACTGGATGTACTCTATTATCTCATTAAGTCCATAATCTTATGCTCTTGTAGTTTTATAGTACAGTATATGTTTATTAAAAACCTTGCATAAAATATAATGTGAAATCACTGATTATAAAAAGAGGTTTTTAATAAATTGTCTTAATGAATTACCATAAAACTGTGTTATTTAATATACTGTAGTATCTCCTTTTAGATTTCTACATTTCAACAAAATGCTTTATTTCTCTAGGTGCGTGATGCACTACTACAACATAATGAAGCATTGAAGGAGATGAATTCCAAAGCTGCAGGTGAAATTGTAATCCGTCAAGCGTTGGGAGAGCTGGATGTGTGGGAAGTGGATGCTCGTTTCAATCTTGTTCCTCACATAGACTCGGCTGGCAACCAGATCATGCTCATCAAAGAGTGGAAGGACATCATTAACAAGGTGAGAAGATCGCTTTAACTTAGTCTTTATATTGGTTGAAAGTTAAGGTATCCTTAGGAAACTGACCTTAGCCATCACATAGCAGTAAATGGTGTTAATTTTTTAAAATTGTAAAACTGATTGATCGTATATACTGTAGATCCATCTTATGACGGTCAACACCTGCACCACCTATGAGGGCTATGTAAATTAAATAGTAATGATATCCTAATGTGTTTTGACAGGTTGGGGATCATCAGAGTCTGCTCCAGTCCCTGAAGGATTCAACATATTTTTCAGCATTTGCAGATCGTGCTCGAGTGTGGGAACAACGTCTAGCTGATCTGGATGAATATCTAACCAATCTAAATCAGATTCAGGTAAAGATTTCTACAGTTGAATATTTAAAGTTCATGTTCATAAGATTTTTTGTCTAATAATTTTACTGTTCGTGATTTGGTAGCGGATATATTTTATATTACACAGCGTAAATGGGTATATCTGGAGCCCATTTTTGGCCGAGGTGCTTTACCCAATGAACAGGGTCGTTTCCGAAGAGTAGATGATGACTTCAAATCCATCATGTCAGATGTTGCCAGAGACAACAAAGTGGTGTCCCTCTGTCGCATCAATGGTATTCGCAACACACTCGCTACACTGCTTGATCAACTGGCCAGGTAGGATGCAAAGTTTCAGTTTGTCTCACTTGCTTGAACATCTACAGTATTTCTAAAACATGCATGTTGGACATTAACTCCCAATTTATGTATCTTCACAGCAGAACTTTGAATATGTGACTATATATACAGTACCAGGGTACAGTATTTCCAAGTAATAGTAACTAAGGTCATACCTTGTGTAGAATTTGTCCCTTTTACTTAATTCATAAAGAATACAGGAGTAATTAGAAATAAAATTACTGGAAATACCAACATTCATGAAACAAACATACCCTTTTCCCTTTCATTTGTGAACTTTACCCCATAATTTTGTCCAAGAACTCTGAATCAGTGAGCATCTTAGTGTCTTTATCTTTACCACTTGTCAGTTCACTAACCAGTCAGGCAATTCTGTTATGCACTCTTTGCCAGTACTGGGCACGTAGGGCTGAGTCCATTACTTGCCAACAGTTTTTATATGGAGTTGTATCTAGATATGGCATGATATAAAGGGTTACAAAATTATTGGTTTCTTTTTCTTTTTCGTATTGTTAATATTTAACCAAATTAAAGGTGTGTCAATGAGTAGCGAGGTTGTCTAGTGCTTTCTCTAACAATGTAGCTCTGTCTTCTTCGTGGTGAAACTCAGCTTTTAAACTAAGAAACTAAATGTCATTAGATCTCCTCTAATAAGTTCTAATATTGACATTGTAATTGCTACTAACCTTTCTTTGTATTGTGACTGACTGTGGTAGATGTCAGAAGAGTCTCAATGAGTTCTTGGAGGAGAAAAGATCTGCTTTTCCCCGCTTCTACTTTATTGGTGATGATGACCTGCTGGAGATCTTGGGTCAAGCTACTAACCCAGAGGTCATTCAGGTACTTATCTTGCTCCTTGTAATGCATAGTACATTTATAGCTAAACCCCCATAGCTAGTTACTGTAGAAAAAAGTGTAAATCTAAATTAGCAGATAAGATATTATTTTCAGTACTGAGGTTTATGCTGGATGAAGGATTTATGCTCTTCATCTGTTTCTCTAACATTACTCACTGCCATAGTTGGTAGACTAGTGGGTGGGTCTGCAGCAGGTGTTCAGAAAATATAAGGAAAGAGTTGTGAAGCATCTTTAAAGAAGAAAGTGAAGGAATAAATAAGACTACAGTATTCTTATCATCAGACAAGTATTTTTAGCAATAGAATCTTTATTGCTTAGTTATGATTATGGAAATATTTATCACTTGCTTTAGTTGTGTCATTAGTCTGTCTTACTTAAATAATTCTTCTTCAGTCACACCTCAAGAAACTTTTTGCTGGAATCCATTTTGTGAGGTTTGATGAAAATAATTCACATATTGTGGCCATGAAGAGTTTAGAAGGGGAAGATGTTCCTCTTAAAAGGCCAGTTGAAATCACCACACAAGTTGAAGTGAGTACTGTCCTGTGTTGTGTTGTAATATTGTATGATAAATATTGGCTAATGGCTTCAGAATAATTCCCATCATGTAGTGGTGGATTAAGATCCCAGTGGTCCCCAGAACTTTAGGGGCCTCAAAGGAAATCAGAACTAAGGTCATATGAAGAAGAACAAGATTAAGAGTTGTATTACTTAATACAGTAATACTTATATGGTTTGATTATTAGGACTGGTTAAGACAACTGAGTGAGGAAATGAAGATGACTCTGCGACAGCTGTTGAGTGAGTGTCTGGAAGAAGGCCGCAGTGATGCAGGGATGGATCCACTCAAGTCACCCTCTCAGGTAATCTGCTTGTGTTTCTGGTCTGAATATAACAATGGTTTGAGAATTTAAGTGATCTGCAATGATTTGTGAGTTCTAGTGACCTGAAAGTATAAAATTTGCCTTACAGTATTTTAATAATTCACATGAACTTGAGAATATAGCCATGAATGAGTTAGTACAGTCTGGAAGTCTGTTTTTTGTTAATTTGGAAGTTGCTGTGTCTTTGTTAATACACAGTATGCATATCTAGGTTTCTGGTGATATATTTCCTTGAATTGGTTCTGATTAACAGTAAAACCTTTCAACCAATTTCAGGTTATTTTGATCACCCATACAGAAAAGTCCTCTTTTTTTTCTCTCTCTCAAATGATTGTTGTACTTAAAGTTGATTTAGGTAATATGCATAAGACTACAGTATACAGTATGCAGTTTACCATATAATACCTTTCTTATCAGCTTTTCACTTTGCATGTTATTAAGACACAAATGATTTATTTTACTTATTTTGGACCAGATCTTATGTTTAGCTGATGCCATCCTCTTCACGGAACGGTGTGACGAATCTATCCGAGAAGGACGTCTCACCAACTACAAGAAAGAATTAGAGGCGAGTGTTTTTATATTTCTTATAATGTATTTTCTTTCTTTATTATTTCAACACCTAGCTTCTTACTCGCCATTCAGGTAGTCGATCAGTTACTTTGGTACAACCTATATTGCTCAGTGTTTGTATGGTACAGGAGGAAACTGGAGTACCCAGAGGAAACTTTGATGATCGGTACGGTCACACTGTATAACACCCTTCTCACATCTGACCTAGGCTGGGAATTGAACCCAAGACATAGATATTTTTGCTACAGCATTCTCCTTCCAAAACAATATCCAATGTTATCCATCTGGTTTATCCTTGTCACTTCACATGACCCATCATCTCACATGTGTAGAGGCTGTGACCTCTAGTAGGGCAGACATCCACTAATTCCAGGTATGAACACTCAACTGAGTAATGTCCTCTTAGTTGTTTATAAAATTATATTAAATCACTCCTGGACTCTCAATAGTATAAGCTTTTCAACTGCAGGCAATCTAGTACCGAATTATGGGAGTGCAAACACCAGTTTGGTGACTCTCCTTTGGACGTTCTCAATCAGTACTGTACTCCCAATAGGGAAGCACCTCACTTTTGAAGAGTGTTATGAGGGATGGACTATCTATTGTATGTATGTGAATGACCTTCATGTAAGTCATACTAGCTTCATTGTTTTATTTACATTCTTCTCACACTGGTCCAAGAACTTCATTTCATTATCAGCTTATGTACTCACCCAGATCTTTTTTACATTTAGTCTTAGTTATTGATGTTTTTGCATCACATTGGGACATGTGATATGCCTCCTTACTATTGGTATGACCTAAGTATATAATTTGCATTTTGTGATGTTCATTCATAACAGCCATACCTTTTACCATTCAAGAATCTGACATAGTTCTTCCTTTAATACTTCACAGTTAGTTTAGTTCTCAATTTCCTTAAATAACTTAGCACCTTCCTCAAACATTTGCATGGAGGAGTGTATAGTTTCTGGCATATCATTTATGAAACAAACAACAGTCCCTGCACTCTGTCCTGTGGTACCCCACTTATCATGGCTACAAATGAAAATTTTATGCCATTAATCACCACACACTGCTTGCAGTCCAGAAGAAAGTGTCTGATCCTTACTCGGGCATTCCCCCAAATTTTTTGCCCTTCCAGTTAAGTTTTAGCCTTTCATGAGGTATGCTATCAAGTCTAGGTAAATATTGTCAGCATTGCTACTTCACTCCAGAAGCTGTCCACATATCCACCACCTTAAGTAATTGCATCAAGCAGGAGCATCCAGGCATAAAACCATGCTGGTACAGTATTCCTTTACAAGGTTATTTCCGAGTAGATGTTCCAATTTGGCATTGTGTATAATGCTCTCTAGTACTTTACATACTATGCTGTGCATGGTCAGATTCACTGACCTGTAATTGTTTGTGCAGTGGTAGTCACCCTGTTTGAGTACAGTATATGACTCAGGTATGCCATTCCCCAGTCACTGGAGACCTCTTGCTCATCCATGCATCTGCAGAACAGGATTTTAAGTGGTTATGCAAGTTCATTGCACAACTCTCTTAACCCTCTGGGGTGCACACTATCAGGGCCTGGGCTCTTATGAACCTTGAGCTTTAACAGTTTAGTTCAAATACTGTACTCTAATAAGAACTCAATGTGTTTTAGTGGTGTGTCAAACTATTTTTCCTCAAATGCAAAGAGACTGTTTGCATCCTCTCTTGTGAACACTGAAGAAAAGAATTTATTTAATGCCTCTGCCTTATCCTTAGTCTATCGTGGACTAATGTACAACAGGATGAACTGAAAGTACCCTGTGATCAAACTAACGACCCTTTGGATGGGTGAACACCATACATTATTCACTTGGCTGCTGCACTCTTTTGTAGAATAGACCTCATTATTCTCTGCATCATAAAGAGACAACCAAGAAATGTGAAGGTGCTATTACTATTTTTGTGGCATTGCATAAATTATTTTATACCAGTACATTATTTGTTGGATCAAGGTTAATAGAACAGTAGATATATATTACTGCACTATTTGTCACATCCTGATTCATCTCTGATTCTACCTTAACTACACCTAACTGAAATATAGTTTATACAGTTTCTCTTTTCCATTTCAGACCAAGCTAGAGTCTTACACTAGTGTAGACCTGAGCTCAGATGGAACACCAGAGGGCAAGACAGATAGCCATGTGCTGGAGCTCAAGTTAAAAGCCCTCATCCTAGACACCATCCACAACATTGATGTTGTAGAAATTTTGATGCAGAACAACACAACCTCTGTCTCAGACTGGGCCTGGCAGAAACAGCTAAGGTGCACTTTTATCATATGAATAAGATGTGAGACAAGATCAGTTTGGATTACACTTAAACCCTTCTAATTCAACATTATCGGCACTCTACCCATGTCAAATTACCCAAACGATCCAAATCATCCTAAATGTCCAAATTCATTTTGCAAATTTTGACCTTTGGTTGAGATAGTGGAGCTTTTTCAGCAACTCAAGAGGATTATTTGGCTAGTACAAAAAAAGAAAAATGGTTTTTTGCATGAAATTCAGGGATTTAATTTATTCACAAGTAAGACAAATTATTCTTACAGTTTACTGTGAAATTCTTTTGACATCTGACCTAGTTCAGTTGAGATATTGCACAGCTGACATGCTCCTCAATGATTGTCAGCCAATGTGTCTTTATTACTCTACCTTATATCTGCATGTATGTAAGGTAAAATGTGGTCAGCTCTAAGGGAAAACTACATTTTCCCACATAAAAGATGAATGTTCCAATGGAATTAATGCAAAAATAAATAGAACAGTAATACTGTATAAAATATAGAGCTATTCAGCTTGCTTGACTCCCACCTGCACAAGTACTTTGAGGCAAAGCATCCCTCAAGGGCTATGCCTGAGAGTTATTCTTTTGTATAGGACAAATTTCAGCTTGTCGGACATGTAGATAAATCTGACAATTCTGTTGCAATTTGGTCATTTGGATCTAATGTAAAAAAATTGCCGAGTAATTTGGCATTGCATAGAATGTCTATATTAACATGACGTCTGAATTAATGAAAGGGAAAGTAGAGTGTTAAGTGCAAATATGATTTAGAGACAGGTATTTAAATACTTGATGCTAAATGTTCTGAGTAAGGAGTAAACATCATTTAATTTCAACCAAATATATTACCCAGTACTTAATTTTGTTATTATCTTTGTTGTGAAATATTGAATGAATTGGATATGAAATAAAATTATCAGTTGATCACTTTCAACTGACCGTTATCCTTATTTTGTGGGTTAACAGTTGTTCATTGTTAATCACAGATGGTTGAGTAAGATACTGTACTGTATTTACAAATACTGGACTAATTCGTATACCTGTACAGATGAGAAGTTCTTTTAACAATTTACAGTAGTGATGTTTATACAGGTTCTATGTTGGTGAAGGGGGCTCAGCTTATATGAAAATGGTGGATGCTCAGTTTGACTACACATTTGAATACCAAGGAAATACTCCTAAGTTGGTACATACACCCTTAACTGACAAGTGCTACTTAACTCTTACACAGGTATGTTATGTTCTTCCATGATCATTAACTTTAAATAATATGTAAGAATGAGTCTTATGTATTAATTAAGAATTACATTTATTTAGTATTTTGAAGTGTAGGTTTGTAACATACTTTAGTTTATTAGTAATACAATAAATTATATAATATTTTGTAATGAACTGCATATTCATTTCCAGGGGATGCACATGGGAATGGGAGGAAATCCATATGGCCCCGCTGGGACTGGTAAAACAGAATCAGTAAAAGCACTTGGTGGTCTATTTGGACGTCAAGTTTTAGTGTTTAACTGTGATGAAGGAATAGATGTCAAGTCTATGGGTCGAATATTTGTTGGTTTGGTGAAGTGTGGTGCTTGGGGCTGCTTTGATGAATTCAACCGTTTGGAAGAAGCAGTTTTATCAGCTGTATCTATGCAGATCCAGACTATCCAGGCCACTCTGAAGTCTCAAGGATCATCCACTTCATTACTAGGGAAAGAGGTAAGATATACAACATGAGAAGTCAAAATACAGACCAGAGCTAAAGATCATGAAGCACAAAATTAAGAAAATTAAAGGTTTTAAAAAATACTTCACTTCTGGAGATTCCTTGAGAAATGATTGAAGGACTAGGGAGTGTTGAGGTCCTCATATACTGTAATTGTACATATGACCGCTCAACTTCTTTAAAAAATTTAGCACATGGAAAAGATTTATAGACTTTAAGATTTTGCAAAAACTATTTCATTTTTTATTTTTTTATATGATTATACAATATAATTCAGCCAACTTCAGTGATAAGTTTTGGTTGATAAAAATAATTGGTTTTTTGTTGACTTTGAAAACGCTGTGAATAACAAATTGATAAAAATTTCGAACATTTACAATAGAGAACCAGAGAAGATGATCAAATCCTATATTCTACCTGGTTTAAATAAATTGTTTTGCCTAATTGTAATTGAAGTTTCAAAAGACTGATACTGTAATTAAAAAACAGTATTTAGATATATTGAAAATTCTGATTAAGTACAGTAAACTCTCTCTAACCTGGACTTGCTGAGCCCAGATCCCCTTGCAAACTGGACTGGGGTCCAGCACCGGACACATGTGTCCCCAACCCAGAAAAACACAACCAAAATCTGGTTAGTATGGGGAAAAGTTCTCGCATACGGGAGGTGCCACCGTGGTGGAGGTGGTTGCTGAGGATCATTAAAATGAAGTATCTAAAAAATATAAATAGCGTACAGTACATAGAGTCACCAAAATTACTAGTGAAAACATAACCATTTCTCCACCTTCTGTAACGTACATTGTAAGTGTTATTCAATCACTTCCTGCCTCATCACCTCAAGAACTAACTACCTTTTGATAAGATTATAATTGATAAGTACAGTACAAACCCCGACTTACGACGGGGTTAGGGACCCAAATCCAGGTCGTAAGTCCGATATGGTCGGAATGATAATTTTTTTTAATAAAAAATCTACAATGAAATACAGTACAGTAAAAGTAATGAATAATGATGAATGGATACAGTACAGTGAAAGTAATAAATAATATGAATGGATACAGTGTGACTGAGCACTTAACCTTTAATAGTCACTGAATGCACATGGGGCCCCCATAATTTTCTAATTATACATGGAGACTACATTAACTGGAAACGTTTCGGTATAGAAAATGCGTGTGTCATTTAAAAAAAAAAAAAATAAATAAATATCTATATCTGAGGCGGTCGTAAGTCCCGACGGTCGTAAGTCCACGTAGTCGTAAGTCGGGGTCTAGGGTACTTTATTATTGACGTGTACTATGTGCTTCTATTTTTTTAAGCAGAAATTATAGTGCAGTAAACCATATGAAACACTCTGCTACTTTGTACGATTCTCATCACTTCCATTGTATTAGGACGTTTCCATGAGAAAAAACCTGGGTGACCACAATAATGCATGGCAAGGCACCGCGAGAAACTGATTGATTGTGTCAAAACAACAATGCAAGCCCATACAGGCATTATGGGAAACTTCCTTCATCTAGCTAGATGGAGAAGTAAATATTGGCACAAATTCGTTCCACTAAATTGAACTTATGCGAAAAGGAAATCTGTTATAAGGTCTGATTGTGGTGCAGTATATTGTACAGATATATGTAGAGATAGAGAAATGTGATTTATGATAAATTTCCCCCAAATCAAGAATCATCTCCATATCTGATCTTTGGAGTGGGTAACCCAAAGTTCACTCACACAGCTAAGACAGTTTTCTTTTATGTGAGTTTCTTCTTGATTAAATGTCATCTTGAATGAATGGATCTCAATTAGTAATATGTAATACTTTTCTAATATAAATTAAGAAGTTATTTTGGTTTTAAGCTTGATTTGTGGGATACTGTACTTTTTTTTTTTTTACAGGGGTTAGCCCACCTGGGCACAGGTCACTGACCCACATTGGAGCCTGGGGGCAAAAATATAATCATAATAATACAGGTTGACAATCCCTCATCCGAAATCCTTGAGACCAGAGGCATTTCGGATTTCGGAATTTGTCGGTTTTCAGAATGTTTTTTTTTTTTTTAGCCCACCCGGGCACAAGTCACTGACCCACATTGGGGCCTGGAAGGCGAAAATATAGTAATAATAATAATAATAATAATAATAATAATAATAATAATAATTCATAGGTCTAGGTCGTGTTTCTCACTTTTTATCTTTTTTCATTCTTCTATTTCTGTATTATTATTATTATTATTATTTTATTAATACAGTATTATTGTTGTTATTATTATTATTAATTTTATTATTATATTTTCTTATTATTATTATTGTTATTATTATTATTTTATTTTGGTGTATTTTTTATTAAAATCTTTATTTACTATGAATAATTATTATAATTAGTATTACTATTATATTTTCGCCCCCCAGGCCCTGATGTGGGTCAGTGATCTATGCCTGGGTGGGCTAATCCCTGTTTAAAAAAAATAAAATACAGTTAACCCTCACTTTACGCGGTCCCACATTCCGCGTTTCCACGTTTATGCGGTGCCCTGCCGGAACCCAGGATGCTCACGTTCCGCGGTGAGTGTACCCCTTTACGCGGAGAGCGGCTGGCGAGCCGCGCCATTTTTGGATCCAAACCTCCCGCCATCCGCCATGTTGTGTAAGCGGCGCGAACATGGTGCGCACAAGGTCGCCCAGTCATCAAAACATTACCAGTTCTTCACCCGCCACCCACCACAGCCGGCCCAAGTCAGTGATAGTGATAATTATGGTGAGGATATGGACTTATATGGACTTTGGGGAGTTTGACAAAGAGGCCCTGCAAGCCTCTGTGGTGGATAGTGATACAATTGATACAAGTGACACAGGTGAGGGCCAATAATCTGCCCTCTGCCTCGGAACCAACCGCCCATCCCCGTGTGCCCAGCCATTTTTTCTACTAATGTAAGTGTTAAAAAACCTAATATTATTGATATTTCTCTTAATTATTAATTGTGTGTGCATACCATCATAAAGTTAAGATAATATTTTTACTACAACATAGTTGTGTGTCGTCAAAAAGTGGAGTTTGGGGATCGGCCTGGACTCCATTTCAATTAATCCCATATGTTATGTTATTCACTTTACGCATTTCTCACTTTACGCGGGACCCTCCGGGTTACATTAACCGCGTAAAGTGAGGGTTAACTGTAAATAAAAATTGCTCCACAAAAAAACTTTCGGTTTTCAGAGCTTTTCGGAATTTCGGATAAAGGGCTGTCAACCTGTAATAATATTAAAAAATATATATATATATAAAAAAAATACAAAATTAAAATTAAATAATAATAATAATAATAATAATAATAATAATAATAATAAAGATCAATTCATAGTGAGAAACAATATATGTATATTGTGTTGTCAAAGTGAGAGAAACAATTGAGACCCTGCAATTGTGTGTCAGATCAGCAACCTGGGACTTGGCCACAATTTTGTTGATGCCATATGGCAGCAGGGTCTACCATTAGACAACATATTATGCTTCCAATATCTTCCCAGGCGGTAGTACCTCCCTGTTTTATAGCTTCCTACTACCTGCTATTTTCAAGATCAATTATTCAAATGAATATCATGATTGAGAATATTTTGAAGCCCTGTGGTGGATGGGGATTACATTAATAAAACAATTGATGCTCTTGGTCTGGCCATCCTGTTATTAGGGTAAAATGCCTTGCAGGAGTAATAAAAAAAAAAACTAAGAGAATTTCTTTGTTTATAATAATAAGATTCTCCTATAATACCATTTTACTTGTACTTTCAGGTGCCAGTTGATCCCAACTCTGGAATCTTCATAACAATGAACCCAGCAGGCAAAGGCTATGGCGGCCGTCAAAAACTGCCAGATAACTTAAAACAGCTGTTCAGGCCTGTTGCCATGGCCCGTCCTGACAATGAACTAATTGCTGAAGTCATTCTGTTTAGTGAGGGTTTCAAGAATGCCAAAAGTCTTGGACGAAAGCTTGTTGCAATCTTCAACTTGTCAAAAGAGCTCCTCACCCCACAGCAACACTATGACTGGGGTCTACGAGCTCTCAAGACTGTGTTAAAAGGCTCGGGTAACTTGCTGCAGACTTACAGGTTGGCAAATTATTCTTTGTATGCATCATATTTTATTATTATGGCATGCTTTATACTTTACATAAAGACTATTTTCCAAAGTGCAGATTTGTTATAGAATATTTGAATTTTACAGACGCTCATTGTCTGAAGAGGAAAAATCATCAGAAGTAAATGTACCAGCAAATACAGAATCAGAGTTAGTGGTTCAAGCTCTGCGCCTCAACACCCTCTCAAAACTCACCTTCTCTGACAGCTCAAGGTACAGTACTTGATTTTTCTCTCTAATTTAAACAGTAGTTGTAAATATAGAAATGTGGATAACTGGGATTTGCAAACTGTTATGAAAATAATGTTGTGATAAATCTTGCATAGCTATTATCACATACAATACTAAAAGGCAATTTGTGAAGTGATTAATAAGTTTTCAAACGGTATCCCATTAGGTTTGATGAACTGGTGCAAGATGTGTTCCCGGATGTTAAGTTCAGAGGTGTTGGTTATGAGGACTTGGCAAAAATTTTACAAGAAACATTTATAGAGATGAGTCTTATACCCAATGATCGGCAGATCAAAAAAGCTCTGGAGCTTTATGAACAACTTCAGCAGCGTATGGGAGTAGTAATAGTTGGTCCTTCAGGATCTGGCAAAACAACTCTGTGGCAGACATTATGCAGTGCTCTCCTGAAATTAGATAAGAAAGTAAAAAAATATGTTATGAATCCTAAAGCTATGCCACGGCAGCAGCTTCTTGGCCATATAGACCATGACACAAGAGAGTGGTCAGATGGTGTGCTTACTGCTTCTGCGAGACAAGTTGTTCGGGAACCACCGGACGTAACTTCATGGATCATTTGTGATGGTGACATAGATCCTGAATGGATTGAGTCCCTGAATTCTGTTTTAGATGATAATCGTCTCTTAACCATGCCATCAGGAGAGAGGATACAGTTTGGTCCAAATGTGAACTTCCTCTTTGAAACTCATGATCTGTCGTCTGCCTCACCTGCTACAATATCTCGCATGGGCATGATCTTTTTAAGTGATGAAGACACCAATATTCATGCAGTTGTTAATGCATGGCTTGACTCACAGGGAGAAGAAGTGAAGCGCTACCTGGAGCCATACATTGAGCAGTACTTCCACCAAGCTATTACTTGGGTGTTGAAGGCTGGTGAAGCTCAAGTTGACACTACTCTAGTTGGATGGGTACTGAATGGCCTCTCTCACCTTAATGAAGTCACCAGTAAAGCTCACTTTGCCTTGGCTCTCGTGCGGGGTCTAGGAGGCAATCTGCCAGAGACCACAAGGGAAGCTTTTGCTCGTGAGGTTTATTCCTGGGTGGGTGAACACATACCAGACCAACGCAAGCCTCTTAACATCTATTATGATCCTACCCGTGACCGCTTAGAATCCTACACCTCTGACTCCACAGACCAAGTTGTTATCAATGCTACTGAAGTGTCTCTAATATTAACAGCTGATGCAAAATGCTCGCTGGACTACTTCATGCCATGGCTACAGTTGGAGACAAGCCAGCCATTCATCCTTGTTGGTCCAGAAGGCTGTGGAAAAAGGTATGTTTACTCCTATAGTTGACTATTATGATGGCTGAGAAGCTTTGCATTCTTAAGATTTTACAGTAATTTCTTTGACCCATTGAATACAGCTGTACTTTCCTCATTCTTAAGTAGCTTTTCTCTGTTAGCTGACAAGCTCTGAATTACCTGTATGTGAAGATTCTGAGTAAAAAGTGAGAAAGGAGACTGGATGAAGAAATACTTACTCCAACTCTTTCATATGAATGTGAGTTTCAAGTGTTTCAGAGTGAGATCAATAGAGATGGATAGTTTGAGAAGCATAATGAGGGTTTAGAAATTACTTCGAGTAAAGAATGAGGATAGAGAATTTGTGGGGTAAAAAAATCTGGAGTTTTGGAAGGATAAAGCAGGAAAAAGAATTGGTTAGTAAGAATTTGGCAGTATTATTGAAGGCATGAATGCGAAAGGAAGCCGGAGAAAGAGGTGGATGAACTACAGTACAGTGCAGATTTTGTGGTAGGTATTACTTGATGTTTATTTGTGGATCATGAACAATAGTCATTTTTCATGTGGTGCAGTAGTGGTAAAATACCATAAGGTATCCGATGACTTGACTTAGTACTGTATACACAATAAAATTATATGGAGTGATGTGAATAAGTGTGGATGCTCAGACTAATTTTACATACTGAATTGTGCATGTACAGTATGTCAAAGATATGAGCAAATATGTTTGAATATTTATACTTCTGTCTTTGCACTTTTGTGTGTGTGTGTTTGTGTGTGTGCGTGCATGCGTTCGTGCATGTGCCACTTGCCACTTTCCCCATTTGTCTTGCACAACTTTCCCTTAAATTTCTTTGCTTCTTGGAAGTCTTGCATACCTTGACCCACCTCACACAAGAGTTGGAAAGGAGTAAAAGTTATATGTGCATAGAAATAAGAAAGTTTTGAATAATTTTACAGCTGCCAGCACTTGTTTATTTATCCACCGCTTAAGTTAATAATAAGGTGACATTGGATACCAAAGGTTTTTTGTTTTATATACTAATACTGTACAACATTTGTTTCTCTTTCCTGTCCAGTTTTATTGTAGGAAGGAATAAGTTTAATTTAGTATGTACTGTACAGTATTTCCAAAAAATTGGTCATAGAATTGTTTGATAATAAAATTCTGTATCTCCATCATTGATGACTAATTACTAAATGAGGAGAAGGAAGAGTTTGTGTGGAGTATCCCTACTTGAGGTTTCTTCCTTTTACTGTTGTTTTCTAATCCTGTCTTGCTGTCCTGTTTTAAAATATTTCTTCCCTTTTTGGTGTCTATACCCCTTGATCTGCCCCATATGAGAGAGGATAAAGATAATATATATGTTGCTAAATATAAATACAGTATTGAGAAATTGTTGCCATAAAATATTAATTTTAATAATACAGTATTGTGGTTGGTAATAGAAGATACTATTTATTTGGGTATTAGCTTGCTGCTGCACCACTGCTTCTCTAGACTGCGCAGTACCCAGGTGACCATGATTCACTGCAGCGCCTACACTGCTCCTCAACATGTTCTTCAGAAGCTTTCCCAAGTAAGATTTATAAATAGTTCATTACTTGCTAATCTTCATCATCCCTTCTCACCTTTCTAGCTATTCAGAGGGTTGCTCAGCCATTAGGCTCTCACCACCTCCTGGTACAGTGCTAGGTATGCTGTATACTGTGCTGGTTGATCTCTCATTGTTATTATAACTAAGTCAATTATATCTAAGATATGGCAACACATACTCAACTTTGCCATCTTACATTTTCTGTTTCTTGTAGCATCATGCAAGAAAAATATGCAGGGTAACTACTGTACTGTATTTTTTACTTCCATGAAGGTTCTTCTATTTATGGGACATCAACTCTTTTTCTGTAGTTTTTATGTTTATATTACATGTTAAGTGCCATGCTTATTGACAGTGTTTAATTATAAGTGATATCTCTGTTAGCCGGAACAATTGATGCAGAGCACTTCCGGGAATGAGAGATTTCTGGGTAACTAGACGACTCTCGAACCCGGAAAAATACCCCCCATCCCCGTAATTTTCTGGGTACTGGAATTATTATCTTGGAATTTCTGGAAAATGCACCTGATTTTTATCTCTCAAACCCGGAAAAAACTCTCCCATCCCTTGAATTTTCTGGGTATCGGGAAAATTTTCTCATAATTTTCCGGAAAATATACCCCTCGGAAAATTTTAATTCCGGCTATTGGAGAGCTCCATATTTGAGGAATTCCAGCTCACGGAGATATTACTGTACAGTAGTACCCCGATTTACGCGGTCAATTGAACCCACGGGGTACCGCGGAAAGTGAAAACCGCGTAAAGTGAACAACAGAACATATGGGATTAATTCCAATAGAGACTGGCCCGACCCCCAAATTCCACTTTTTCCGACACAATACCTATGTTGTAGTAAAAATATCATCTTAATTTTATGATCGTATGCATACACAATTAATATTTAAGAGAAATACAGTCGCCAGGTTAATGTCCATTCAAATAATGAACTCAACCCCCCCCCACCTCACCTCTCTCTTCCCAAGCTCGCTGGCTCCTCCCTCTCTGAGAAATGTTTGGGTGAAAACACTAGATTTTAAGGTATAGTAATAAATAATACCTCAGACTAAAGTTAGCATAATATAATTGACATTTCTGGATTCCTTGCAGGTCAAGGAATATTTTGAATGTAAACTTCATATATTTTGCACAAAAGATAAAATATTTGCTTTGTGTAAACCAAATTATTACATTAGATCTAAAATTTGTATGTCTAATGCAAAATCCATGATGTTTATATTCAAAATGATCATCATATTGTAAGAATTCCAGCAATGTAAATTATATTCTGGCCGGGTAATTTGTATGAATTTTATGAGCTAAATAAAAAAATTATACTTCACCCGCGTATATGAGTAGATGCACCGCGTAAAATGAAATTCCGGTTCTGGCGAGGTACCGCGTAAATGTAGAATAAATGTAGAATCGCGTAAAGCGAAACTGTGTAAATCGGGGTATTACTGTATTAATATTACCAGTAAATATTGCACTGCACAGTATATTCCATTGAATAATGAATATAGCATTATAGTTCATTTGATGATTCAAACCACCCTGAGACTGTAAGTTTTATTATTTGCTTGAGAGCATTTTGTGAAGTGAATAAGATGTAAAAATATGAAATCTAGTAATAGAAAAATGGGGAAATGGAAGGACCATTGGCCAGAGGGCCAATCAGCATTTGCAAAGGTGGTGAAGCATGGACAAATTGAGTGAATGGAGATTGGAATATTTCTAATATTTTTAAAAAGAGCATTTAACCTTTTAGAGGGTAATGTAGCTTCTAGGTACAAATTATATTTTGGTTAATTTAGTACTGGATGGTAGGAGAAAACTAAGAAAGTGGTGTGGTGAAGTAGGCACTGGATAGGGAGGCGGACAAACATCCAAGAAGTCATGGTTTATAGGGATGGACATGTTGCAAGTGGGTGATGCTGATTAATACAAAACAGGAGAAGTAAATGAGATGGAAATCATGGGGTCATGTTATATGAAAGGAGACCATAGAAAAACACCTGTGTTAGAGCAGTTAAAAAGAATGATAAGCCAGTCTGTGTTTCCCCTAATTCTCACTATTTTGTCATGTGAAAAAAAGGTTCAAGAATGAAAAAATAAAAACTCTCCCAACAAATTGGTGCATTTTTTCTACCGGCTTTGGATAAGTGTACTATACGTACTAACATATTTACCCATACCACTATCTCAACAGATGTGTATGGTCATATCCACCAACACCGGGCGTGTGTACCGACCAAAAGACTGTGAGAAACTCATTGTTTACCTTAAGGACCTCAACCTCCCTAAGCCTGATAAGTGGGGCACTTGTCAACTCATTACCTTCCTCCAGCAGGTAGTAGTCGTACTTGACTTACAGTAGGTAAAGAATTCAGTTATAACAACTAATGCATTCCATTGAGTCTTTTCTCTCTCTCCCTGTAGTGGTCATTGTTAAGATCACTTGTGTTCAGTCAATAAGGCTGCCTGGAACATATTTTATACTTAGATTTAAAACTACCATCAGGCTCTTAACCATTTTCTCCAGCCTTGTTTTTAGGTAACACTGTATGTGATATAACTAGAGGAAAGTTTGACATACACATTTAATTATGATTTGTGGAGTTGACATCATTAAAGATTTTGCTTTACACTTTAATTTTTTATGTTTTACACTAATTGCTTCTGCAGGTAGTGACTTACAAAGGGTTCTATGACCACAATCTGGAGTGGGTTGGACTAGAAGGTGTGCAGGTGGTAGCATCCATGACTAGTGGCTCAGCACTAGGACGACACAAGCTCTCAACACGTTTTACTTCTATTGTCAGAATTGCTTCTATTGGGTATGTTCATTTTTAAAGTATGTCTTTCAATTCTTTTCAGTGAATATACAAGAAATTAAAGTGATTATATCTTAGAAATCCTCTTGTTTTTATTACTTTCAGGTAACTGCAAGTGACTTGTGAGAACATTATCACAAAACACCATTTCAGCCCTTCAGAGAGGGTGTATATTTTATTGGCAGGTTACACTATCTAGGCAGACAATGTCTGGTGACCAAAATATAGTAAAATTTAGTACTTTTATCTCTTTCATTTTAGATAAATGTAATTCTATGAACCAATGGACTTAGGATCATTACTGTAATTTGATAGGATCAATCTGGTTCATTGGGCTATCTGCTCCTAAAGTTTCTCCTGTAAGACAAGAAAGTTCATTCTTTTACCTGTTAGTTTTTTGGCAGATTTCATGTAATCATCATACCGTTTATCTTGTTGACACTACTGGTAACAACAATATTATAACTTCTGTTGTTTAAAAATTTGTATTCTTTACTTTATTTTATCCTCTTTTGTCACTTTTCAGCTGACTAACTAATCAGGCAGTTGGTGAGCTCTCTATTATACACTGTTGGCAAGTACAGTAAAACCCCACACTTCATTGTTTGTGCACAATGGAAGTTTATATTTTTTACAGACCCTTATATATATAATTTTTTACACTCCTTACATCTTGTGGTGTATTGTTGCCTTGTATACTCCAGTAGCTTTATGTTCATAATTCTGTTAAGAAAATTTAAAAATTTTGTGTTGCACAGATACCCAGAGCGTGAGCAGCTAGTGAGTGTGTATAGTGCTTATTTACAATCTGTACTGGAGACCATGTGTCCTGAACACCCTGCCTGGGGATCACAGACCAAGGCTCAGCAATTAGCCACATCCATGGTCAATGTCTACCAAAATGTAAGTTCATAGATTTTATCATTTGAAGTCTCTGGACCTGCACTTACATATGCATCTTTGTTTGTACCCTGTACTATTTTCTCTGTATTGAACATATGTTATCAAAGTCTTTTATCAGTTTTTGTATGTTAAAAGTTATCTAGGAAATATACAGTAGGTTTATTTTCAATAGAACAGGCAACCCTTTAATTAAATAGTATAGTACAGGTACACCACCGATTTTCCGGGAACTGATGGTCCGGCACCTCCTTTAGTCCGGACAGAATTACAAGAGGGCACTTAACTTCCGTCCCTCCCTCCCAGCCAGAGTGAAGGTAGTTTTAGGCTTAAAGTTTTTATCTTATAAAATGTAGCTGACTAGACTTAGCAGAATATAACTTGCATTGCTGGAATCCTTGTAAGATAGTGATTAATTTGAGTATGAATATCACATAGTTTGCACAAGAGATCAAAAATTTAGTCTAGTGTAGTACATTTGAGTACAAATTGTGTACTGTACAGTCATGTTGCTCAAAATTATGGCTTTTTCACATTTAATTTATGTCTAATATTTGTTTAATTTAAGTTTCCAGCAGTCCATGGTGCTTTAGAGATGCAGGAGGTGTAAAATTAGTGGGTCAGAGGTGTATTGTTGAATTATTATTACCTGACCTCGGTTGGTCCGGCAAAACGGATTATCCGACAAGGATTTGAAAACAAGGGTGCAGGAAAATCGGTGGTGTACCTGTATTTATATTGTTTTGATTTTAAAAGGATAATGGTAATATTCCTTTTATTATTTCTTTTGAAAAATGATATGTAGAAAATGAATGTACAGTATTTCATAAGTCATTACTCCATCGTGACAGGTGCGTGATTCCTTCAGTGTTGATGACTACAGCCACTATTTGTTCACCCCACGTGACCTCACACGCTGGGTCCTGGGACTATTACGTTATCAGATTCCCTCAAGTGATGCTACCCTTCAACCACTCATGGAGGTTAGAAATTATGTCTTTACCACAAAGAAACTTTGAGATATTTTAAATTATTTCAGTTTTATAATTTCTGTTTCTTCTTACATTATTGTATTAAGGTTTATCCAATTTTGCCTGTAAGATAGTTTTTAGTTTTGTGATAGTTTTAGGGTCTTTTAACTTTTGGGATAATTATCAAAGTGTTTGCTTCATTTTTAACCTTTAAACCTGAATGTCTCTTACATTATGTTTCTTTTTGCTTTTGTCATTATAGTCCCAGAATTTTCCGGGTACTGGGGTAAGTTTTCCGAGAGTTTAAACTACGCTTTTCACACAGACAGACACTATCGCACATCCCAGGAATGTTTCTGGGTGCTGGGGAAAGTTTTTGATAAGTCTAAGCTTGGCATCTCTCATGGACAGACACAAACCTGTATTTATTTACACAAACAGCTACCAAACAGGGAGGTACTACCACCTAGGAAGATATTGGAAGCATAATGTGTTGCCTGATGGTAGATCCTGCTGCCATATGGCATCACGAAAATTGTGACCAAGTCCCAGGTTTCTGATCTGACTTTATGCCACATTTAAACACTATTGCTGGGTCTCAATTGTTTCTCTTACTTTGACAACACAACATACATACGTACTGTATATTGTTTATCACTACTGATCTTTTTTCATTTGTGTACTGTATATTAAAATTTATCCAGTCATATAACCAAATGACTGTCAACTAACTAAAGAAAACTGATAGTAATTATATTTTGCTTTTTCCGTAGGTTTGGGTATATGAAGCTTGCAGACTATTCCGTGACAAGCTTGCTGAAGATGAAGACATACAGAAGTTTGACTTAATTATTATATCAACTGTTCAGTCAGACTGGGGCATGGATCTCCGTGACCACTTGGTTGACACATATTATGTCACTCCTGCAGCTGGTGTTGTATGTACCACCATATTTCTCTAATGTTTATATACTTTTTGGCCGTCTTATTTGTACAGTATATATTTCCTCCAATTTTCTTTAATCTATGGTTAGGAAGTGGAGATTCCTATCAGGACTTAAGGCCTTGTGTTTATGATTACTGAACTTCTTTCAGTCAAGGGTCTTCTCATATGGGTTCAAATCCATTGTTTCCTAACTAGAAGATCTGTTGCCAGTCTTTAGATGTGAAGAAATTTTTCATTCAATTTTGGGCAACAGGTGACTGCTGGAGCACCTCTGCCTATGCATGGTTATGAACTTGGCCACATGAGCATGGAGGACTGGAATGAGATGGTGGAACGTTCCGTAATGCAGTACAGCAGGGAAAAACAAGAACTTCATTTACTTGTCTTCACTGAGGTAAATTGTTATGTACATGAGCTTTCTTCAACCTGTTACCTTCCTAACTGATGTTATTAACAAGTTAGCATGAACAAATAAGAATGGACTTAACCGAACTTGGTTTGTAGAATTATCACAAGATCTTAGAGGAGTACAGTGTTCTGTTGTCCATCTTTTATATACTGTCTTATGGCCTTTTTTTAACTTCACAGCAGATGGGGACATGGCTACCTTTTTAGCATCATTAGTTAGCTCTGTGAATGCCTTTCTTTACTGATTAACTAACCAGTTTAGAGAGTTTTCGCCTTTATCTCCTGGTTGTTCAACTCGGGGCCTCCTTGTTGATTCTCTGGCCGATGTAATCCTTGAGCTTCTCATTAATCGGGGTTATAGTACAGTATTACTATTTCTTAGTCATCTTTGTTGTCTTTTTTTCAGAAGTTTCTGAAGTTTCAAATAATCTCTATTCAGTTTTTTTTTATGTCTTTCATGGTAAGCCTAACCTTTTAGATTACCAGATTACTCTATTACTGTTCTTCCAGGTGCTGGAGGCCATGGCACGGGTTGACCGAATTTTAACTTCCCCTGGAGGTTCATTACTACTGGCTGGCAGGTCAGGTGTTGGCCGCAGAACAGCCGTTTCTGTTATTGCCCACTTGCATGGTATTAGGGTTGTCTCACCAGCTATGAGTCTGGGATACAATACTAAGAACTTCAAAAATGACTTAAAGCAGGTATGAAAATGATTATATCTTTACCACTATTACTTATTTTTATACTTTTGTTTATGCCCATACTTTCTTAATTAAACTTTCTCTCTTGTTCATACTTGTTTAAGCAACCCTTATTCTATTCAAGTATTATTTCTTAGTGTATTTCAGTGATATTTCCCATACACTAATTCTTTTATTGACTAACTAACATGTGGAATTCTTCCCTGACTTCTTTGGTTTTAAATATTTGAAAATATTATCCTCTACAGTATATGTTTTGAGAAAATTGTGATGGGCAACCCAGAATATGGGAACTGATGAGTGATAACACAATGTACTGTAGATAGATGAAAAATTCTGAGTGATGGAATGAACATTTGAGAAGGACCTCAGAGGAAAGGATGGTAAAGAGGGATTACTGTATACTGTAATTGCAATGTACCAGGTACATTGGATAGAAGCAGATTTCCAAACTGGGAGGGAAAAGTGGAACAAAACACTAAGGAGAGAATGGGGAAAGGAATAAGGAGGATGGTAACTGAGCAACCTGGAGGCTCTTCACTAGTGGCTACCCCATCTTAGGAAAGCTCCTTTGGAGAGGGTGGTGTTGCAGATAAGAGGTAAATAATCTGGATATCATCAGGTTGTTTTATGCTGTATACAGTATCTATACTGCACTGTGTTTGGATATAATGAGAGAGAACTGATGGCTTCTGCTTCTGTTCTATGATTACGTTGCTCTTCAAACTCATTTTTAGAGCTAAACTGACCATAGATACCAGAGGTCAGTTTTTATCTGGAATAAATCATTAATGATCTTCTGGACTTTTTACGGTAATGTTATGAATAAAGAACAGAGAGGCATTTTATTAATTGATTCTGTAAGTGTTTCTCATATGATTAAGTTTCTTATAAACCCTTGAACTGTCTTTTTGTTTCTGACAGACACAGTTAATATAATTCCAGGGTTAATGTATTTTTCTCTCAATCTAAGCAAGGAATTGTGTGAAGCTAGTTTAAGACTTCATATAGAGATAGCCTCTGGTTAGTGGTTTTGAGTATGTTTTAGTCTCTTATAGTTGAGATTTAGGGACACTTAGCCCTATCTTTCAGAATAACCCACAGTGTGTCCCATATTGGTGTCATGTTTGTTTAGGTAATACCTTTACGTAGCAATTTGCTCTTAGGCTCTCTTGAGCTTATACTTCAGGAAGCTACAGGTGTCTCCTCCATACCACTTATTTTCTCCCCCAAAATGCTCCAAGTAACATGCATATGGCAACACTTTTCCAAAAACTTGATCTTGTTGGTTATGATACTGTCATTGTGCAAAACTGAATCAACAAGTAGGAATACTCTATGCAAAGACACAAACAGTTCCTCAAATCTTCAACTTGCTTACACAGTACACAAAAGTGAACTCTTAGCCATCAGATTGGTTGTGTTTATAAGTCTGGTTATTAAAAGTACAGTTTTATATCTCAGGTGATGCAGAGTGCAGGTGTTGAGGGTGAACAAGTACTGCTGCTGCTGGAGGACCACCATCTGGTCAGCTCAGCCTTCCTTGAAATTATCAACTCACTCTTGATGGCTGGAGAGGTAATCACCCTTGTACTGGATGTTACTGTAAATTAATGTGATTGATAAAATAGATGATACTGGAACATTTATCTGACTTATTTTAAGTGCTAATTAGAACTGCCTATACCGTAACTGGTACCGTATATTTAATTTTGAGTGTCCAGTATACAATTTATTAATTTTTTGTAAATACAAGGGTCTAATATAATTGATGATACATTAATACAACTCCAAGTATAGTACCATTATTCTTTAATTTATTTATGTAGTATATTTTGACAGCATGGTTAGGTACATTTGTAGGTTAAACTCCTAGAAAAAATATCTGATATGAAATAATGGAATTGTAACAGAGCTTATATGTACTATTTGGGGGGCATTTTGTAATGAATATAAAAGAAAAATAAGAAGTCTGTTAGGAAGACTCCTGAGCCTTATAATGTGTGATAGAAAATTCAGTAGGTTTGTGTTTACTAATGATCATTTTGGATGTAAGCGTCATGCTATTTGTTACATAATTATAGATATTTATTTGTTTATACAGTATAACCTTCAATGACACTGAACCAAGTGATTTATGGGAATTATTAGGTATATTCAATGGCGTCTTGATCAGCTCCATACTGCAGTATGCTTGTGCGTGTTTGTTTGGCTTAGCAAATTTAGTAACTGTTGTGTATGTCAGTGCAATAATGTGGGATAATTCTATGTTTATGATGTAGAAAAAGAGAGGACAACAAAGTTGTTGCATCAAACTTTTAAAATGAGTGTATCATGGAGTTATAACAGAACTGGTTTGTCAGGTTCCTGGACTTTACACTCCTGAAGAACTTGACCCACTTCTCATGCCGCTGCGAGACCAGGCAGCTCATGAAAATTTCAGGGGCTCCCAGTATGCGTACTTTGCTTCAAGTAAGTAATGATTATAGATACAGTACTGTATTATAGTTTCTGTTAGCTTGGTTTTAATTTTGACCATACTGTGTGTATGCATGTGTGTGTGTGTGCTCACATGCGTGCATGTGTGTGCACATCCCTGCCCATACAAAACAACATTAATTCCCCAGACATAAATAATAATGTAAATATTGTAAATAAAGTGATGTTAGACTATATAGGATACTGAAATTAATGTAAAAAATGGGATATTATTTACAAATTATTGTGATAAATATATTGGGATTCCATTCATAAGTGAGGGTGTTTATAAGTTGCCCATTCATAACTCGGGAACTGTCTATACTGTACCATATTAAGAGTGGTTATCTAAGCTAAAAATAAAATGCAGCACATGTACAGGAATAGACCCTCAAATTTGGGACCTTTGGGACCAATCCTGAACCTTGATGAATTTTTTTTTGTTTTCCTGGGTCCTAGGTCATGAGTGTTAGCCCTTGGTTTTTAAATTAAGATGGCAGGCCGTCAACATGAAGTGTGTAGAACTGGCTAAGTGGACACAGATTCATTAATACTTTCTGCCATGAGAAGCAAACATTGCTTCTGATCTCCACCCCCCCCCCCTTATGTGGAGGCACTAGGAGGGATAGACATTTGTAAGATCAGACCCTAGCTGTCAAATGGGGTGTGATGTGGTGAATTAGAAACTTTAAAATGGCCACTGCATTAGAAGAGCTGCCCGAAAACTGACAGCCATTATCAGTGTATGTTTGCTGTAGGGACAATGGTCATCATCAGTGGACGTTACGTATCCCTTGCATGCCATTGTTGTAAGTAGGGTAGCAGAGTAGATAATCCTTAGCTGTTGTATGTTAACTAAATTTCCTCCCAACTACCATAAGTAAAATAAAGGTCCTGCTTGGTAAACATTGAGGTTTTTGGAATGTTTGAGTCATATTACTTGGTTGTCCCTAATAGGGAGTTAAGGGATTCATTTGTATACTTTGTTTGGGAGTTGGGGATATGAGGGAGTGTTTGTGTGGAATGTTTTTACTTGATATTATAGCACTTTCCTATTACTGTACAGTACTTTGTATATTTGTATCACTTCTCTCCTTTGCTATTTCTTCCCTATCTTATAGTGTCTGCTTCCCTTGATCCACCACATTATTATAAAGAGTGTACGGGAGGAGTAAAGATGGTAGATAGACAGATAGAAAAAATATATATTTTGCTAAAACTTAAAGCACCTACTTTATTATTATTATTATATATATATATTTTTTTTAAGGGGAATAGCCCACCCGGGCACAGGTCATCGACCCAAAATGGAGCGGGGGGGGGAAATAAGATTAAAAAGAAATTAAAAATAGAAAAGGAAATACAGGGATACTATATTAATCTACACCACGAAGATGCCGGAAAACCAGTTGCCTCCTGGGTTTTGTATGATGTGATGAAATTTGAAGACTGATTTCAGGCTTATAAAAATATCTGAAGGTCATTGTTAAGGGAGGAGAAGAAATTTGCTTTTGCCTCATCCCAGCTGTGTTTTCCAGGAGTGTTGAGAAACTTGCATATCGCTTTGATCATGGACTCAAGCAACCAGGAGTTTTCAGCCCAGTGTGAGAGTAACCCAGCATTGTACAAGCAGTGCTCTGTACTCTGGATGGAGGGTTGGGCACAGAAGACTATGATTCAGGTGTGTAACACAGAGTAAAGGGATCACCAAGCTTGAATTTTTAGCTTTGCTGTAAAATTGTTGTCAATTGTGCTTCAAAATTCATTGAATCAGTGATATTTTATGTATATACTGCATTTTGCAGATTTTTTGTTGAGAACAAACGATAATTCCCCTAAATTACACTGACATGTTCCAGATATCTGCTGTCCTGTTTGAATATCAAGTGCAGTAATAAACATATGATTGCATATGTAATCTTGTTTACATGTACCATCATGACTGCACCTCTTTGGATGCTGTCACCCTTGAGTTTTTACTGTAGTGATCCCTGAAAGTTTCTTAAGCTTACCTACAGCCTGTTGTATAAAATAAGTTTCAAAACAATAAAATCCGCTTCTGTATCTGCTTGAAATCAGGAAACCTTGATTTAGGTGAAATACAAAGTACCTCATTACTACAGCTGAATCCTCATTAGTGTACAGTATTATTATTATCTGAGTGTAAATTTAACATCCAGGTAGTAGTGGATAGGTTGGCCTCACCTATCTCTACAGTCATTACGTACTGTATTGTGGGAAAAATAAACGTGTCTTTTATCCCAATGTGGTTTGTTTTCTTTGACCACACATTCACACTGAAGAACATGTTGAATGATGTGTCAAATGTTCACACCTCCCCACTGTACTACTATTAATAATTTCCATTAACCCATTCTGTAGCTCTCTTGTGCTCCTGCATCATCCCCCTCCTACTAGTTCATCATTAAGATTATAATTCCTAAATATTTTTTATCCATTTGCTGTTGCTGATATTCACAAATATCAACCCTGATTCATCTCAGATCCCAGATATGCTTTTGAGTGACAATGAGAAAGACAAGAGGAATGGTCCAGAGTTCTTAAACTCATTCTTAGCTGTACACGAGAGCCTGCCGACCCATCTTGCCACGCCTCGCCGCTACCTTGGCCTTCTCCACACTTACCGTTCAATTCATAATACCAAGAAGGAAGGGGTTTTACAGAGGCAGCAGCATCTGAAGGTAAAAGTTTTGCGTAATATGTTGATACAGTATTAGTTGTTAGTAAAGGATAATGATTTCATGTTAATTATAATTCTAAGTAGAGTTATACTAGGAATTGTACTTTGTCAGGCTGGTGTAGCCAAGCTGAATGAAGCTCAGGAGGTGGTGAGTCACCTCAAGGCTGAAGCAGCTGAAAAGGAAGCTGTTCTGGCAGAGAAGCAAGCAGAAGCCACCCATTCTCTCCAGCTCATCACTGACACCATGAAAAGGGCTAATGACCAGAAAGTTCAGATGGTATCATTGAAAGACCAAACACTGCTGGAAAACAAGAAGATAGCTGAAAGGTAGGTACAGTACAAGTCATAGCCATATACTACTGTATAGATATTAAACTTGCAATCCTCCCGGTTGATCCTCCTGTTCTTGTACAGCAGTTCCACAACACCATGGGATATCATTCAGCATAAATATGTTTCCAATATTCTAATTACACACTCTTGATCCTATAAATGCATTTAAGGTACCACATGCTTATGAACATTCTGCAAACTATATTTGTAGAATCATAAATAAATGCTTTGCAAAGGGTAATTTTGTGCAGTCTGAGAAACATGATTTATTGCATTCACTTTTTAAGAAACCTGGTCTTGATACTGAAAATATATCAAATTATTGTTTGGTCTCTAATCTCTCATCCTTATCACAGATCATAGAGTGTGTTCTGCTGGATCAGTTACTTCCTTTGTTAGAGGGAAATCCCTCTGATCCAGTCAGCCAATAGGAAGCACCATTCAACTAAAACTGTCTTTTGTAAAATTCATAACGATTTGGTAATTAGCACTTGCATGGGAAAGTCATCCCTTCTGGTTCTGCTGGATCTCTCTGTAGCCTTTGACACAGTGGGTCATTATCTATGCTTTAGGATCTTTGGTCATTCGGTGTCCGTGATGATACACTCTCACTGCTTGAGTTTTATTTGTCAAAGCAATCTCGGTGTGTGATGGTTGGGGTAGCCATTTCAGACCCAGTCCCTTAGCAGTTTGGAGTCCCGCAGGGATCAGTTTTGGGACCACTTCTGTTTACAGTCTATACCGGTAGTCTTGCATCTATGCTGGATGTTCATGGTGTTGCCTACCATTTCGATGCCGATGATACACAGTTTTATATGCAAATGGTAAATGTCAAGAATAGTGAGGAGATTATGAAATTCTTGATGTCTGATATTAAAATTTGGTTGGCTAGGAAAAAACTTAAGCTGAATGATGGTAAAACCAAGATTATCGTCATCCAAAGATATAGGAGGGGTGACAGTACAGATGACTTTGGCTCTTTGAACTTTGGGGAAGTACATATTCATCCTGTCGATCCTGTTCATAATTTTGGAGTGTACTTTGACTGAAAACTGAATTTTAAAGAGCATATAAATTTAGTGGTTAAGAGTTGCAAAATTCATACTCGGAATCTATATGCTGTGTCTTGTGACACTGCAGTAGTATTTCATTCACTTATTTTTTCTCTGGTTGACTATTGTATCTCATTAAGGGTGTGCCTACCAGTACTAGTACAGAGATAAACAATACTGTGACTTGTTTAAATCGTCCATAATATCTTGATATTGTAGAAAATGGTGGAGCTCATGTGGAATTTGTCCATTATGTTGCTTAGCATGTCTCAAGCATTCATCTGACCAAGAACATTGAGCTTCTCTACAGGTATATTGCTGCCTTTCTTACCACCAGAATACTCCTGGAAGTCTTTCAGAGAATATTGGTAACGAAAGGTACCAAGTGCACAGTTAACTTCATTCATTAAAGATTTTTTGCAACCTTATATACTGGTAACAGAAATTTAAGCCCACAAAGAGGCAATATTAGCTACATTTCATTCATCTGAGAGCTGATCATATAAACAATAATTCAGTACAGGGTATAAGAATATATGCCTGCAAGGGCCCCTCCAGAAGCCTCAGCCATATTTAGAACCTTAGGTGACTGTAATATGTATACACGTATTCCAGTGGATTGTTCTGTTGAAAAAAATACTGCTAAAACCTTCGGTTTTGGTGGCCAACAACTACAAAAAATGGAGTACAATATTTGTTACATTCCTATACAGCCCAAAAAATTGCCGAAACATGTAGAAAACCTTAATATTTATTGGAAATGAGAGTACATTAATGTGTTGAACATCAGTAAATCCATTAACTGTTGAGTCGCACACTTATGAGGATCACTGCATTATATTGAATGTGGACTGACAAGGAATTAAAAATGTTTTATCTCAGGAGGAACTTCATAGTAATAGGAGGTACTGTACTACTTGTAAAGAATGGCTTGGGGCCTTGGGGTTATACAGTACAGGTATTCTCACATATCACCTAAGAATGGCTGGGGGTCTTAGGGATACATTCTCACTTATCACCCACTATTGGTGACAAGTTTAGACATATGAAAGTCCTGGTTACTGGTCAGTTTTTAATGTCTTAAAGTGATGAATGGATAATTTTTCGTGGTGTTTTTCAATCGACAGGAAAATTGAAATTGATGAAGAGTTAGCAGAGATTGAGCCACTTGTGAGGGAAGCTAAAGAGGCTGTAGGTAACATCAAGGCAGATGCTCTGAGTGAGATAAGGTAACTTAATACAGTACTGTACTATGCTATGACAGTATTCAGTCTTTATGGTCTTGTCACTTCATATTTTTTTTTAAATATTCATGAATGAAGTACAGTACTTGAACACCTGATAACTCAACTAAGTGTGTAAAATGTTGTCAATTGATATGAAGCTTTGTATTGGTAAATCAGTGTTGAGGTTAGGAATTCACAATTTATCCTATACCTGTACTTTTAAGTTGGTAAAAACTAAAATACACTGCACAGCATATATGTAGAACTTGAGAAAAAAATTTGTGTTTATCCATATATTTATTGTTGTTAACTTAGAAACAGAACTAACTATTTTGATCATTTGGTTTTCATGAATAAGACTTTTAAATACTGATAATATTTTCTGTAGGTCCCTACGAGCACCACCTGTGGTGATACGAGATATTCTGGAGGGTGTACTGCGCCTCATGGGGGTTCAAGACACTTCATGGAACTCCATGAAAACTTTCCTGGCCCAAAGAGGCATCAAGGAAGAAATAAGGTTTGTCTCGGGAAATTCAATCATGGCTTCGTATTTATTATTTTGCAACTTGATTCTTTAGAATACAGTAATTAGTTGATTGTGTTTCTTTATTCTTATCAGTTTCTGTGTCCCTTTGTCTTGTTTCTTGCATATTAAAATAGGATGTTGGACTTTATAATACAAACTGCTAGTGACAGACTCATGTAAGTAGTCTTTTGATTTACATTAGATGGCAGCTCTTGGGATGTGTTAGATCAGGTCAAGTAAAGTTAAGTCAGATCAGGGCTACATTTCACCTTTATCCCATTGCCAGCTTACTGGATTCTGTCACTATCTGTCTGGCAGTCTGTCAATAGGTAGGCATTCATTGTGAAGATCCCTAAATCAGGCAAACTAATACTGTAAATATTAGAATTTTTTATTAAAATTCTGTACATACGTAGTCATTTGTGATATAATTAAATACATTATATGAAGAATTAATTTTAAATTCACCAAAGTCTTTGAAATTCATAGCCTTGAAAAGTAGTTGTATGTCTGGCTCCAAATATCTTGTGAGTGAAGGAATTTGCACTTTCACTTTTGTGCTTGTTATATATTGAATTACTTCAGAATTTTTTTGTATTGAACTGTTTTTAGTTTCCCTGTGCTGTATTTGACGTATAATTAAGGAATTGCACTCTGATTCATATTGCTTACAGGAACTATGACCCAAGAGATGTTTCCATTGAAGGTCGTAAATCAGTAGAGAAGTTACTTGTTGATCGTTCAAGTTCATTTGATCCGGCTACAGCCAAACGAGCATCAACAGCAGCAGCACCCTTAGCAGCCTGGGTGAAGGCCAATGTACGATTTTCTTATGTCCTTGAGAAAGTGAAGCCTTTAGAAAAAGAGCAAAATATATTACAAAGGTAAATATTGCAGAGAAGGTGTTGTGTGTTGCAATTTAAAAAAATTTTGATATTGGTTACTCTATTTTCGATGGTCATTCTAATTATTATTACTATAAAAAAAGTGTTAAATTTAGAGATGGACTGTATGAAGGAGAGGGAAGACCGAATTGTAGGTGGAAGGATGGGGTGAAGAAGGCACTGGAAGTAAAAAGGATGAACACAAAGAAAGTATCAGGGGTACATGGATAAGTGGACAGTGTGGTATTAAGTGATTTTTGAAGAAGGATGTGTTGCTGGTTGATGTGAATGTGAAGTAACAGTGGTTTACAGATTTGGGGAGTTGTTTTGGAAGGAAGGGGAGAACTATAGTAAATTAGCTCTATAGTAGTAAGAATGAATAATTAAGTGGGAAGAAACATGAAAGTGTAAAAAAGGTTTTCTCAAGATGACTTAAGTTGATATATATAAATCAGCAAAATTATGAATTTTTGTTTCATATTGTCTGTACTGTATACTGTACTGTATTCTTCATGCAGTGTGATCCATGAAATCTTTAAGTTTGCATTGTAAAGTTAGCAGTGTAATGCTATGCATATTTTTTTTCATGTAGAAATTTGGAGAGAGCAGAGGTTGAGATTGGAGAACTATCATCTGGATTGGATGATGTGGACAAGAAGGTCGCTAAGTTGACGGAGAAGATGAATCGCTCTACTAAAGAAGCTGCAGAGGTAGAATTCCACTTAAATAAGGCCAAGGAGACAATCTCGGCTGCAGAAAGCTTAGTAACTAAACTGGAGGGAGAATACCAGCGTTGGAGTCAACAGGTAAACTGTGTTCACAGGATGACAAGTGATTTGTAAAAAGTTTTATACAGTATTTGATGGGATTAGGAGTAAATCTGATAATGAGAAAAGTTTGTTAAAGGGTAACTCCAGACCCTTAATTTTTTATTGGTAATGTTAATTTTTTCTTTTAAATTTAAAAAAATAACCATATACCTGTAGTAACACTCAACCTCTGACTACTGAGCTTGACATCATCAATGTCAATCCTTTTTAATTTGTACAAATTGACAATACTTACACACTACTTCAGGTCAGAACAAAAATTTTGATTTATCATCTTTATATTATATACACTTATCCCCCGTATTAGCAACTACTGAATTTAATACCTTCTGGAAAAAATATTCCTTGTGCATGTTTACAGCTGATTCATCAGGCAAGAAGATGAAGGTAGCAATGCGTGTGATGGAGGGTGCGGGAGGGGGATTTGAGAATTGCAATTAAATGCCAGGTAGCGACGTGTCCTCCTAATATTACGTATTTAAGTAATTATCAGATGTTTTAATTGCCTGTATGTTGGCCTGGTGAGTTAATGCTAAGCATTTGCATACTTAGGTATAAAATTAGACGTCGCATTCTGGATTGAACAAAAATAGAGTATGGTGTCATGGCTACCAAGATTAACATTTGTCATAATATTTTGGGTTAGAAATGATAAATGTTTCGTATATGGTGTTGATGTAAATGTAGTGAGTTTTTGTAATACAAATTCATAAATTAAAATTTTTTTACAAATTCTCTACGTATAATTCAAGTCTTGAGTGTAAATAAACTTGTAACTTATATTACTCGCTATAATAGTCTACCCTACTAAAACTGTTTTTTAATACAGAGTAAAAGAGAAAAAATTACAATACTGTACTCTAATATGGCTAAGAAATAAAGAAAATGCAATATAAAACTATAAAATAAGAAAAATGAAGAGCATGGGTGTGTATGTGTGGAGGCAATGAGCTGTCCTGCATAGCTGAGGACCGCCGACTCGCTTGTGTCCCTCCCCCCAGTGTAATGTCACAGCATACACACACAAGTTTCAGTCAGTTGAACTGTGTGGATATTTTTTTTTCATAAAATATGTGCTATTGTATAGTATTTTATATCCTATGTATCAATTTTATTGTTTATTATAGCAATTTTTTTAACAAAGCGATTATAGCGCTACTGGTGGTAGACACGCGAATGAATGACTTCAGTTGCGTTTGGATTGTTGGGCTAAATTATAATTTTTTACTGAACAGGACCAAAGGGGACAAAGTTGAGATACTGTACCTGGAAGATTCAGATAGTTGGAATTTGGATACTGTAAAAGGAATTGTACTGTTGATTAAATAAAGTCTACAACATTGGATTTACCATAAAAGTGGAGACGTTCTGCATACAGTGACCTGACATGAATGGGAGAGGTTGTTGGGTTTTACTAGGTCAGTACCACAGGGACCATTTTTTAACAGTGGGTGCTAAAAATTAATTCTGGTGCCCTAGATACTTTATGGTGTGATGTACAGTGCCTTATACCCAAAATATTTGGGTGCTACAACAACCTCCCTTCCCCTGTCCATGTACTGGGTGGAGTGAGGGCGGGAGGACTGTGGGACATGCACGAGAGAACTGACTAACCACGGAGTGTGTGTAGGAGATGCGCATCTGCCAATGGTTGGTCAAAAATTCTAACAGCCTCGTGGATAGCTGAATTTCGATTGCAAATCTTGAATAAGCGTAACTAATAATTTTTTCTGAATATCCCTGTAAGTGAATTCAGAAATAAAGAGTTCACAAAGATGAAGGGATACTTTCCTCATGACTGTTTGAAGTTTACTGAACAGATGTATGGACACATCCCTAGACCCTGTCTGACCCAGCCAGAGAGTTATCAAGATATCTTTTACAGTAAAACCCCCATAATTTTAAATGATATAGGCTTTAGTCCCCTACTAATTATGAGATTTTACAAAATATGAGTGACACCTTCTCCCAAGAGGAAAAAAACAATGTTACTTTTTTGTTATACAGTATGCCACAATCAAAATTTAAACGTTTATAAGCACAGTACCAGAATTAGGTGCTTAGTCCATGGTTATCAGACACAATGGCTCAAAATATGTGGAAAAAGCCTGTGCAGTAGACCGTAGTTATGCACTCCACAACTGATCAACATGAACGTACTGTGAGCGACACACGTGACGTGTACGGTACTTGTCTTTCATAATCTGAAATTTTACCAAATATTTCAAAAAAAATTTGAGATACAGTATATTTTTTGTAACAACAAAACTTTACGAATTAGGAGTGATTTTGAATTATAGGAATACAAATTATGTGGATTTTACTGTACAGTGGTCCCTCGGTTAACGAGCACAATTCGTTCCAGAAGGTTGCTCGTTAACCAAAAAATTCGTTAACTGAAACCATTGTTTCAATGGGTTTTTGGGTAATTGGTTCCGGCTCACCGAAAATTGCCTAAAGTCAACAAAAAAGTACACTTACTTTGAGGTGTGTATGTAGAAGGCTCCTGGATGATGATGATGATGATGATGATGGGAATTAGAATGGGGGTGGAGGAGAAGGGAGAAGAGAAGGCATTGGGGTGGAAGAGAAGTCATCCCATGGTGCCATTTCACCCATAAAATTTTAGTTCACTTGGTGTAATTCAAGATTATTTTCTTTAAATCAACACTGTACTGCATTACATATTGTCACTATGTAAAATAAATTTCAAAATGACCAATAATTTGCTTGGAAACATAGAAAAAAAGCATTTAAGTTGAAGAGAGACTGAAGCAAGATGTTACCTGCACTGAAAAGACACAGAGACTGACGCCTGTTTAGTGTGTTGACACGCTGTTTGGCGTGCAAAAAACTAGCTTCCTATACTTCAATTATGTTCAATAATTGTTAAAATGACTAAAAAATTTAATATAAAACTTTTAAAATTATTGAATAGTACAAACTTCTTGATACTTACTAAAATAGTAAGGAATTTAAGCCCTAGAATCGATTACTGTATTGGCGGACTAATACTACAGCTGGTGGACCGCCAAATGCAAGCAAAAACATGTGGAGGGGCGCTCGTAAGAAATTCGTTAATCGAGGGATTGCTTGTTAACCGAAGTTAAGAATCTTATGGAAGGTAATTCGTTAACCGAAATTTTGTTAACCGAGGTGCTCGTTAACCTAGGGATCACTGTATTAAAACAGTTTATATGAATAAAAGAATTAGTAAACATAATTTGACACTACAGTACTGTACAGGTATTTAGTAGATATTCTAAATTAAGTAATTTCCTTTACAATTACATTTAACAAATGAAGTTTGAAACTAAAGACTACAGTATAAATTAAATGTTGGTAAAGTAAAATTGGCACTGATTTTCTCCACTTTGCAGACATAGCAGTCTGGTCTGTAGAAATGGTTGGTAATGATTCCTAAAGCCTGAATTTATTCATTCAATTTCTAAAAAATTAGCTATGTTTCATGATTTTGTGTGTGTGTAAAAGTATTATGTTAATATCAGGCTTGAAACTTATTAGTACCTGTACTGTATACTTAAAAGAAAATAAAAATCTTCAGGATTTGTCCTTTAAGGATAAGGATTGTGACCCATCTTTGAACTTTTTGTTACAATGTCTTGAAAAATATGAATGAAACTTGAGTGCCCTATGATCAAATGGATGCTGTCACTGTACTCCAAAGCCATTAGCTAATAGAATGGCATTTGGTAACATGCAGTGTATAGGAGTTCCTTGATTAAGTCCAAGAGTAAGCTACAGAAACACTACTGGTGGAGGTGATTAAGAAAGTTCTTTGAAATCTTTTATAATAAATGATAAGTGCTGTACTGGCATATAAATGTAAATATAACTTTCATATTGACATTTTGTACAGGTATCAGAGTTGGATTCAGGCCTAAGCGGTCTTCCACGAGAAGCTCTTCTGGCTGCATCATTCATCACATACTTGAGTGAAGCTCCTGAGGACAAACGCAAGGCTACGATGGCCCATTGGAGCCAGTTGTTGGAAGTTTCTGACTTTGACCTGAGAAAGTTAGTGTTTTGTTTAAAAATTTGAAAGGTTTCTAGTCAAATGGGCCATCCTAATTGGTCCCATTCCTGGTGGACCCCAGTCCTGGTGGATTAGATTGGTAGTTATTTGAGCTGAACATTTAATGCAAAATTTAGAGAAGTTCAGGTACATTTTGGCTATATTTATTCTTTTAGATACTGATGGGTGATGCTGGGTTGTATGAGGTGAGTGGAATATTGGGCACTTGCAGCTGTATAGATCACATGAACTTCTTGTGATTTGTTTGCTCTTTTAGATATGTAAATGTCCCTGTGAAATGTTTCTTGAGACTCCCATTTTACTTTTTGTATGAAAATTAGAAACAAATTTTGATTATTTTTTGTCCATTACCCATTTTTATGGCTAACTTTGGTACCACAACATTTCAACACTTGTTGTGGAGATAGTGAGTTTTTGTTTTGTATACAAGTTGAAAGTGTGTTTATAAATTGTGTACCTAGTGTTTTAGCCCTTTTCTATAACTTTCTACACTTTTCTTGTAACACTTCCTGCCATAATCCCTCCTTTGTTGAGGATTCTGTTTCTCTAAACCAAATCCACACTTTTGGTTTTAGGTAGAGACTCTCATCAACACATTAGGAAGCTGTGCCTAATTCTGTATCTCACACAGGTTCTTAAGTAGTGAACGGGAACAACTTCAGTGGAAAGCTGAGGGACTCCCATCTGATCAGCTCTCTATTGAAAATGCTCTGGTCATCCTTCAGGTAGAGTTTAAAGCTCTAGTGTTATGTATGTTATGTTTATACCAAGTTTCATTTATCTTTTGCTCAATGAATAAGGGAAGGTTTATAAAAATGGATTCTGTCAGTTTGCCCATCTGTCATTACAACCATCTAAGTTTTGTTTCTAGAACATAACTAAAAAACTGCTTCAAATATCTTCTACCGAGTAAAAGTTTGTTCACAAATTAGCTAGTGGTAAATAGGTGCTTGTTGCTAGAAAGGGATAGAGTACAGTACACTTATTTCAGTATTATTCTGTGAGGATATAGATAACTATGTCTTATGTTCTTTATATTTTATTACCTATTAAATAGTCTGATTTTGTTATGTATAAAGTAAATTATACTTTTCTTCAATGGTGACGTTTCCTGAAATTTTGAGTACTGTATACTGTTATTAAGTTAAGAGTGTGTGATGGCAATAGACATTTTAATAGTTTGAGGCTTTGAATTTTAACTACAGTACATTGTAAAGTAAAATTATACTCTATAATTCATAATTTGGTTACTGGAGTACTTGATGAATGAAGGCAGTTCTTGTCCTTATATGCTCAGGATTTGTAATATACTGTACAGTACTAATGAAAATGGAAATACAGCTCCTCCCCGACTTATGACGGGGTTAGGGACCCAAATCCAGGTCGTAAGTCGAGTAGGTCGTAAGTTGGGGAGGAGCTGTAACTAAGTTTGAGCACTTACTGCCAGTATGCAACAGAGAACTGACAGACCTCCTGACCAGCTAGTATGCTGCAAAGGGGAAAAGAGGAGAAAGTAAGATATTAATAATGGTGCTGTTAAAATCATAATGCGGTAGAACCTCATAAACTTAAAAATCAATCTGGGAGTTACAGAAAAATGACACATTGGAAGAAAAATAAGAATCAGAAAATCATCTTGACTTTTACGGACAGTGTTGTTTATAGTACTGTATATGGCACACATACCACAGCGGTTGCTTAGAGCTGTATATTCCCACACTCAATAGGCCCACTTCACACAAACTTCTTTCTTTTCTTTTTTCTCTCCTCTCTCTCCCTCGAGCGTACGAACCTGTACTGTTTTAAAAATTATTGAAGTTCAATTTTAATTCTTATGGGGAAAATTGTCCCGATACTGTATTTGCAAAAATTTTATTTGAAATGACTTTTAGGAATGCATCCGTTGCGATAATTGGGGTATTCCTGTATTGGTGGTGGCCAAATAAAATATTTTAAGTGGCATACCCATAGTGGAAGGTTTTATGTGATATTGTGATAGGACCCATCATGTGGTGCCTTGCGATATGAAATATATGGTCTTCTGTGCAGAGAATATGTGCATGTGATTTCTTTTATAGTTTGGGAGTGTTCTAAAAATATAGGTTTCTTAAATATAATGTTGAATTAAGGGAGGCACACTTGATATAAATCAGTTTATATTTATTAATACAGTAATAGGATGCTGTCCTTTATAATATTAATCACTACTGTATTTAGAAAAGTTTCAAGTTTAGATATATTTTTCTCCACATAGACTGAAATGAGGCCATTCCTTATTGACCCATCCTCACGTGCTACCACTTGGCTTCGTGAGCATCTCCGAGGATCTACAGTAGAGGTCACAACCCAGCAAGATGCAAAGTTTGCAACAACTCTTGAACTAGCTGTAAGGTGAGGTTATGGTAGATTAGACTTGATTGGTTTTCAAAGTCTAAAAATCCTAAACTAGTTTAAGGTTTGTATCTTGTACTGTACTGTACAGTAGTTTGAAAAAGAAGTTCAAGGATAAAATCAGGAGAGAAGTAGTTGTGATCATGTTTCTGCTAGGAGCATAGTGTTCTCTGGCTTCGGGGATCCAGTGTGGTCAATGTATGCTGACTTTCTCCAGTATCAGTGAACACTTAAATGAAAATGTATATGTGCCTGAATTATGTAATTATGTACATGAGGTACTAGGAATCTATAGTTAAGTTTGAAATTGCCCCTTACATGTTATGGTTTGATTGAAAATATTTTGTTGGACAAATGTATTTTGAATTCTTTGTACTGTATACCCGGTATATTTACCATGTATTTATACTTTTGTCAATAAACTACTACTACTACTATGAGTACAGTTGCAAACATTCTTTATGTGCTGGTGTGAGTTGGTCCTTGTGCAGTGGATCCCACATTCATGAAGGCACCATCTGGCAGCCAGGGGATGGCTCCTGCACAGCTGTCACAATATGGGCATCCATCCTGTTGCTGTTTTATCTCATATGGGGTTGATATTGCATCAGTTTGGAAGGTCCAGATAATGGATAAACTTTTGTTTGCAACTGTACATGTCATATTTTAGTCATCATTTATTGTATTTGTATCGTTTTCATTTGGAAGAAAAGAGAGAATTGTTTATTAAAGTGTGTTTATGTATTACTTTTCAGGTTTGGGAAGACACTCATAATCCAAGAAGTGGACAAGGTGGAGCCATTGCTGTTTCCTCTTCTTAGAGGAGATCTTATTAATCAAGGTATGTCCATGCAAGATGTTTAACCTTAAAGGAAGCATCTTGCTTCTGCTTTGTGAATGTGTGTGTCTCTTGATTTACCCTTCAAACATATTCTACTAAGGGGTACAGTTATCCCTTTCAGCTTGTGTTGTAGGTGTATGATGCTGTGTGATTGTGTGTTGTTTAGTGCAACTTGTCTTGTAATTTTGAATGGACTGATATATAATTTGATAGGAACCATCATATCATTAGTCAGAAAATGTGTACAGTATATGCTTCTTTTTTTTTCTTCACAGGGTTACATCTTGTTCTATTGCTCTCATATGAATACTGTATCTTAATAATGCTTAAAACTTTCTACAGCTTTTAATTAGTACCTCTATGGATAATTGTTTCAATGATTTACAGTTCAATGTTTGAAGGAGTAGGAGTGTTTTGTAATGTTTAACTGAGAATTTTGTTTGTAGCAGGTGTGAACATGTCTACTTGTTTGTTTGCTAAGATGTCAATTTTTTGTTTCACATGCGTGGTTATCACTAATGCGATTGGTTGAAATGTGACCATAGTTATAGCTTATGCAATTGGTTGAAATGTAACCATAGTTGTAGCTTATGTGGAAAGCCATGGGTAGTGTGGGTAGCAGTATAGCATTAATTTAGTGATCTTTTGCTTATTTTGCCCCAAATTTAGCAATTTTAGTAATTTAGTTATTGGATATTAATTTTATCCTGTATCAGTTCTGTAATGAATAAATAAAAACAACCTGGTGACCGAGGCAACAGCCAGTCCCCCTCTTCTCCACCTTAAGCACGTTTATACCTGGTGTCATCTCTTTTACCTATTAGCGTTATTAGGCCTATATCAAATTGATTAGACCACTGTACAGTATCCCCATTGAAGACTACAGTATGTATTTTAATAATGAACTGGACTAAAGTACTGTGTATTACTTTCGTCTTTATTCAAGACATCTTCAGGTCATGAGACCCACTAATTCCCCACCCAACAATGGGTGACCTGACAATGCATCAGAAGGTCAGTAATATGAGACCACTAATCCCTCATCTGATATTGCATCAGGTCAGGTCAGTAACATTAGAGAATGAGGAGAAATTTACTTTTTTCCACAAACATAAAGTTTCTCTCTCATCTCTATTTTCTATTTATTCTTTAATTACTCTATTTCTTTCTCTCATTTTCATTTTATTTGTTTCTTAATTTTTCTTACCTTATCTCTTATTCTTCTTCTTATTTGCTTAAGATTTTGTTTTTTTTACCTTGACAGGATAAAACAGTCAGTTTGTCAAAAAAAAAACTTCTTTGAGCCATTTACACATTTCAGGCCCGAGGTATGTTGTTGAGTTAGGGGAGAAAACCCTCGACTACAATGAAAACTTCCACCTCTTCCTGGTGACTCGTAACCCCGACCCTGAACTTCCACCAGACGCTGTTTCAATTCTCACCTCTGTCAACTTTACCACCACTCGTGCTGGATTAACAGGACAGGTAGGGAAGACCCAAATAATATATATATAAAAGAAAAATAATTGAATAAGCGATATATATTTATAAAAAATAATGAAATTATGAGAAACTTGTGAAACATCAATGTATGAAAATGCTAATCACTCATGTTCAAAAGTTACTTCACAGGAAAGTAAAAACAATTTTATGCATGTAATTAATCACATAACCCCTCAACAAATGAAGTGCTTACATCCCTTCTTAGCTGAATATAATCATCTGGCGTTAGCCAAATAAAATATTAAAAGTGGAAGAGTTAGGTTAGGTATTCAATACTTGATAAGTACGATAGATGAATGGCCACTATATTATTGGTGCAGATTCTGAATGTTCTGGCCTGTAGAGAATGTATGAGAAGACATGATACAGTATAGGGTTTTCTTTACGATTTAACTGTAGGGAAAATGGACTGAACCAACTGGTGTATTGGTCAGTCCAAATTCTTCCAGGAATAAAATGTTCACATACTTCATTATTGAAAACTTATCAACTCAACATAGTTTATTTCTAAATCATTTTAGTTTATTATGTTGTTTTAATGATGTATAGTACAAACTGTCTTCTTGATCCTCATGTTCTTATAATTTTTTGGGGGGGTCTTCTGCCTGCATACAGTATTTGTAAAAATCCTTTGACATTTGTAGGTCAACACTAAATACCAGTTACTCTCCACTAGCTGTTGGCAGCCACACTGCAGGTAGAGAAGCCTGAACTGGAAGTACGGAGGACTGACCTCCTGCGGCAAGAGGAAGACCTGAAAATTCAGCTTGTGACTCTAGAAGAACAGCTGTTGACAACACTTGCTGAATCACAAGGCAACATCCTGGAGAACAAGGTTAGAAGATTAGTTTCATTAATATCTGTTATAACTGAAATTGTGCTTCTCCTAGGATTCATATCTTCCACTACTTCTTGTAATACTGTAAAGACAAATTACTCAGGGGCAGATTCAATGGGGAGTCCTGGGGGTCTGGACCCCCCTCCCCTTTTTCATCAGAAAATCCCAATAATTTTTCTCTAATGCAGTATTGTACTCAGGCATTTTAGTATAGTAAAAATTACAATAATTACTATTGACCTCAAAATATCTCTTAATATCAAGTGCACATGGCTTCAAATAAGCCTTAAAATGCCCTTGATATTGGTCAGATTTTAAAAAAAAATTCTGGGAGCTTACAGTGGCACCCCCCCCCCTCCAAAAAAAAATTCCTCAGCTGGGTGGGCTCGCTGTGCTTGCCATGTTCCTCCACTCCTTCTTGGTCCCCCCCTCTTTTGATATTCCTGGATCTGCCCATGCTACTTTCTTGGCTATGTGACAGAAGATGTCTTTTATCACAAAAATTTTTTGTTAGGAAGGTACCGTAAGCCTTTTCTAACTGATGTCATATTTTCATCCCTGTTCATTGAAGGGAAAGTTGGAATTCGAAATGGGTCCCTTCAATCCATATTATCCATCTGTCAGTATGTCCATCAAGTTGTACATCTAAGCCTAATAAAAAAATACTTCAAGCACAGTTTATAATGGAAGTTTGCATATAAATCAAAATATTGATAAAGAGGTGTCTGTTGCTACAAAGGATACTCTGATTTTTCAGTGTAACTAGCAAAATAATTTTGTTTATGTAAGGAAATAGTGGACTGTCTTCTTGTTATGTGTACAGGAGTTTCAAGAGCTATATGTTTATAGATTGGTTTATTCTTTTCAGGAACTGCTGGCATCTTTAGAGCAAGCCAAGTCTAGTGCTGCCACTATTGAATCGTCACTCAAGGAATCTGGTTCACTACAAGAATCTCTCGAAAATGAACGGAAAGCTTACTTGCCCCTGGCCCAGGCAGCTTCTAATCTCTACTTTGTCATCACTGACCTTGGCAAACTCAACAATATGTATCGCTTTAGTCTGAATGCTTTCCATAATCTTTTCCACAAGGCTTTACAAACACCTCAGGTAAACTATATCTATTATTATCAGGAAAGAAATTTTTTTTCATTAGAAAATCAGAAATATTTATTAGTTCAACACCAGTGATAGAGGTGTAGGGATCACCCAAAAAAATTAAGCATGATTTAATTTCTAGCACTGACACCATTTTCATTTGCCATATTTCAAAATTCACATAATCAGCATGTTTATGCTGTAAGAAGTGCCATGATATTACTGTACAGGCATTCCCCGCGATACGGAATCCCAGGTTACGTTAATTCTCCCTTATGGAATTTTTAAATTATAACCCAAAAATTTGCTATGCAGATAAAAAAGGCTCACCCTTAGGGAATTTCGGTAATTTTTTTTAAATATTGAAAAAAAAAAAGATTTCACCCAAATTATACAAAATTTTGTGTGGGTTCTGGTGGTAGCTACAAGACGGTTAGAGGGTGGTTCGCCTCCCCAGTTGCCAGCAGCCACCACAACAATTGGCGCTGCTCAGTTTGAATTCTTTTCCCAGTTTGTGTTCAGTTTGTGTTACTGTGTACCCTTATTCAAAATGAGTGGAAAAAGTCCATCACGTTCAAGTGAAAGCAGTGATGCTAAAAGATTCCATAAAGGAATTACGTTGGACAATAAATTTGATGTTTTAAGGAGGTAACTTCCAGTAACTGCGATCACACCACCTCACCTCAACACCTCTTGCAGCACTCAACATCATTTCTGGTGAGTTAAATTCAAGTGTGCGCATTTGTTGTCATCTTACATCATGAATGATTGATTGTATGTGTTTAAAACTGTCTATTTTCATTCATATACAGTATGTGCTTGTGTTGCGTTTTGGGCCGAAAAAAAATCCGTAAGAATGCATCTCAACTTATAGAATGGGAGTCAGTGGGAAAAAAATTTCACAATGTGGAATTTTGCGATGCAGAAAGACTTTCAGAAAAGGAGCCCTTTCGTAACCCGGGGGATGCTTGTATATGCCCCTGGAGCAGAATAAATGCATTATCATCACCATTTATTAGTTTGGTTACAGTATCTTATGCCTGTATTATATCCTAGATGTACTAGACCACATGAAGAGTAAACACTCAAAACAGTTTTCAAAAGGAAGACTTTTGGCTGTGGCTGGGAACATAATCCCTCTTTTTGCTTTGGAAACCTGTTTCACCAAAACCAGCCTTTTTTTTTATGAATGCAACCCCTGGTGAAAGCAAAGGTAATCTGGATTGATCAATAGATTGTGGGATGATATTTTCCAGTTTTACATTTTTTTTTAAGGAGTGCTTTTAATAACCTTTGTAATTGAATGAAATCCAAATAGAAAATATTTAGGGGGTAAGTATAGATTCAATTGCTTGGTGACTTTACAGCAAAGATAAACATAATGTGCCTTCGACAGTGATATTGAAATATGATTGTTTACTGTATGTAGTAATAAAGCACAAGACATTCCAAAGTGCAGAAAACCAAAATGTATCATTAATGGTGTCTGCAACATATTAGTGGATAGACAGGATATTTTTTTTATTATACATATAGCTAATTCTTTTGCCATTATAAATTAATGTGATTTATATGGCAACATATTTCCATTTGGATAGATAAATTCTGGAAATGCTGGAGTTTGCAAGGCATTTGTTCCTGTGTACCCTGAACTGGGCATTGCCTCCTGGATCACATCCCTGGTCTACCATACTTGTATATTTTTTATTCGTTTATACCCCATTTTTCACATCTCATTCTTGCCACAATACTGTACACCTCATCATGTTGCCCAATTTATAATTTTTCTTTGGTGATCTCTGAAATGTAACACTGTACAGTATACTGATTGATAGATGGTATTCAGAAGTGTCCTTTTTACGGTTGAAAACAAGAAAATTCTACTTACAGGATGGAAGTAACACAGATCAACGCATCAGGTCATTGCAGAGAGCATTGATCGACCTGGTCTACAGTTACATAAGCCGCTCTCTCTTCAAGGCAGATCGCCTCATGTTTGCCTTACATCTGGTACACGGCATGTACCCAGAACTGTTCCAAGCTAATGTGAGCAGTCTCAGTTCTTTAATGAATTATACAGAGTATTTGGATTTGTGGAAATATTTGACTGAATTGAATTCAAAGATTATTATATTTTTATGACCAAATATAATTTGTGAGGATAAGTAAAGGTTGAAGTGTATTAGATATAGATTTAGAATCAAATGCTGTATATAAACAGATGGAGTGAAAGCTGCCAGTACTGTATTTGTGTTGGCCATTGCAAGAAATTAATCATGATTGAAGTGTGTAGTACAGTCCTGAACCACTGTTTAAGAAAAAGTACAAGATGAAAATAGTTCTGAAGTGTGAGAGAGACCTCTTTTCATGATAAATAGGTCTGGTCACAGAAGCATTTCCTATATTTAGAATACAGCTAGTTAGCTTTATTTAAAGATGGAATTAAAAGTATGTGAAATTATTTTTCCTGAGTGAGAGGTCATTGGTTCTTAGATAATGAGCTGAAGAATTTTTTTTTTCTTCTTCAGGTAGCTGTACAAAATTTTGGTATAAAATATTTTAAATATATACATGTACAGAATGTGATTTCACAAAACACTTGGTATTTCAGGAGTGGGAGGCTCTTACTGGCCAGTTGGTGACAGATATCAGGATGGACATAACTGAGATCAAAAAAGCTCTTCCCAAGTGGGTCGATGAAGAACGTGCTTTTGCTGTTGCTTTGTTGAAAGTTAGTTGGAAGATTAATAGTGTTCTCATCTTATTTTTTTTTTTTTATTCTTTCTTTATATACACTCCCTTCCCTCTTTGTGTGGGGTACTTCAATGGATACAGAAATTTCAGACTTTCATCACCACCACCACCATTACTGCTTTATGGTCATTTTCCATGCTTACATAGATTATTCTTTACACACACACACACACACACACATACACACTTGCTTATACCATCAACTTAAACTCACTCATAGTATACAAAATTGAGTCTTTAGCCTTTACACAGATTCATAATTCTTCTTATCTGTTCACTGTACTGTACATACTGATTTGATAACTTACAATGGATATATTGTTACAAATCATTAATGTGAGATGAATTTTTAATTATTGTATAGTTTGTTTAGGATTTTTAAAACAATTTGTTATTACTTCATCTATTAATAATAAATCATCATTGCTCATGAAATAGTGGCATTTTGTTGATTTTCTCTACCTGTAACTATAGTATACTACAACATTTCTTAACATCTTACTTTTCAGCAAACTTTCCCCGCTATGTATGAGGTTCTACACTTGGATGATCTGTCAACGTGGTCAGGCTTTGCCAGATCCAGCCACTGTGAGACTGACATACCAGTTCAACTTAACCAAAAGTTATCTGGGTTCCAACAGCTGCTGGTCATTCAGGCAATAAGGCCTGACCGTCTTCAGTCTGCTATGGTTAACTTTGCAAACAGGGCTCTAGGTAAGTAAATCTCAAGTGCCAAATTTATTTAGCATGGAGTTACAAAACTTGCTAAGCTGATATTTTACCTTTAATAGGACACAATATTAATAAGTATAGGGAATATATGTTGAATACAAATATACTTGCTAGGAAGATGCTAACCCTCTTACAAGGAAATGGTATTTATTACCTATTCATGCATGGTAATTTATTTATTTTTTTATGGGGGGGGGATTTATTATCCCATTAGGCTGGAGGAGGCCTTTTTTTATTATTCATAAGTGAATGAAATTGTATTATAATTTACCTTAATTCTTTTTGTCACCATATTGCCTTTGGGGGTCATTTACCTATTACGACAGTAAAAGTTATTTAGTTAGCTGTTGATATAAAAACACCCCAAGAATGGTGTACTGTTGTAGTTATCTTAACATTATATCAGCAGATATTGTTTGTAGATATTGGATTGAGGGCTAGACATATATTTTTTCATTACTATAATGAAAACTTCAGTCATAAAAGACTGAGAATTTTCTAATATTAGTTTGTGACACATTAGATGACTCACATGAATAGAGTGTAGGAGTAAGGACCAGAGCTAACTATTGTAGTGGAGCGAGGAAAAACAAAAACATTTTAAGAGCTATAAGATATGTTTGGAATTACATCATGTGTGATTGACCTTAATATAGCACTGGAATACAGATAAGGCAAATGTAAGTGATCAGAATGATACAGTAAAATAATGAAAATCTACCGTATATCTCGGCCTACAAGACGGAATTTGAACAAAAAAAAAATCAGCCCAAAGTTAGGGGGTCGTCTTAAGCACCAGAGATAAAATTCTTACCTCTTAAATTTTGCGGTTTAGCGTGTCAAGAGTGGTGATGGAAACATGGTAAACCACTCACAAGGTCCTACCACTAATTATTTTATACTGAAACTTACATTTGGGAAGCTGGATTAAAATGAAGATTACCGGTATATTAAAATAATAAAAATGTATTATAAACCAGTCTAACATACCGTAAAAGAACAATATACCCCGGTAATAAACACAGCTGCTATCATCACCCCCCCCCCCCATTTGCCAGTGACGAGAAAGGGAAAGCGACCTTGACAGTGACCGCCTGTGGCTATTTTTAGCCGTCCTTGTGTTCGGAGGTGGTCAGTAATGCATATCTGTATATTTACTGATCATAATACTTATCTCCTATAAATAATTAATTTAAAATTAATTTTTTTACAAAGAATATTCAGTAAATGACTGCGTTAATTCTTGAAACTACCGACAGTGGTAAATTTAGGATGAGAATGATTAACAGAAGTCACGTCATGGATTCGGAGTTTGGTCCTTAATGATCATAAATGTCTGGTCAACTTCACCTACCAGGTATAATGGTAGCCTTCCTTTTTCGCGAAACAAGTATATAATTAAAGAAAATACTTGCAGTGTGTTTAATGTATTACAATATATTATAGCTAAATAAATAAACAAATAAATCGGCAAATCTATTTCAAGTAAATGGAAATATTTTACTCACACCAACATTAGTTCCAGTTAAATAACTGACGCTTAAGTGAGTCACTAGTGTATACCAGCGGGTAAAATTTGATGCCAATACTTGAAGTGAATTGGCATTATTTTAAATAACCAACCATAAATAAATGGAAAAAAGATCAAAGGTGAAACATTATATTGTATGTATGTTGTGTTGTCAAAGGAAGAGAAACAATTGAAACTCAGCAATTGTGTGTAAATGAGGCAGTAAGATAAATCAGCAACCTAAGACTTGGTCACAATTTTCGTGATGCCATATGGAAGTAGGATCTACCATTAGACAATACTGTACATTATGCTTCCAATATCTTCCCAGGCGGTAGTATCTCCCTGTTTGGTAGCTGCCTAAAACTTTTAGTAATATTACTTTGATACAACATGATAAATTAGACAAACAATGAAAATAAACAAACAAAAGTTATTTACCAAGACCTTCTCTCTCAGAACAGAGGGGAGATAAGACGGCTATTTATAGCCTGTCTTTGTGTAGGAAGTCGACCACACTAGAAATAATTCATTTAAAATTTATATTTTTTACATAGAATATTCAGTACATGACTGCAATTATAAAATATTGTGAATATATATATATATATATATATATATATATATATATATATATATATATATATATATATATATATATATATATATATATATATATATACAGTGACCCCTCGTTTAACGAACACCTCGGTTAACGTAATTTCGATTAACGAACTGCCTTCCATAAGGATCTTCAATTCGGTTAACGAAAAAAAATTCGCTTAACGAACTTCTTACGAACCGACCTCAACATGTTTTCGCTTGCACTGACCGGGCAACCAGCTTTAGTATCAGTCCGCCAATACATTAATCGGTTCTAGGGCTTAAATTCCTTACTATTTTTGTAAATATCAAGAAGTTTATACTATTCAATAATTTTAAAAGTTTAATATTCAATTTTTTAGTCATTTTAACAATTATTGAACGAAATTGAAGGTAAAGTGACTAGTTTAATGCGCGGCATCCAGCCTCTTAACACAGCAAACAGGCGTCAGTCTCTCTCTGTTTTCACTGGAGGTAACATCTTGCTTGAGACTCTCTTCAACTAAATGCTTTTTTTCTGTGTTTCCAAGCAAATTATTGGTCATTTTGAAATATATTTTATATATTGACAATATATAATGCAGTGCAGCATTGATTTAAAGAAAATAATCTTGAATTAAACCAGAGAGCTAAAATTTTATGGGTGAAATGGCACCATGGGGTGACTTCTCTTCCACCCCAATGCCTTCTCTTCTTCCTTCTCCTCCACCCCCATTCTAAATCCCATCATCATCATCATCATCCAGGAGCCTTCTACATACACACCTCAAAGTAAGTGAACTTTTCTACCATTTTTGTTGAATTTAGGAAATTTTCGGTGAGCTGGAACCAATTACCCAAAAACCCATTGAAACAATGGTTTCGGTTAACGAACGACCTTCTGGAACCGATTGAGTTCGTTAATGGAGGGGTCACTGTATATATATATATATTTTTTTTTTTTTTGTGTAATAAATGTATGTAGTAAGTATGTACAGTAATCTTTTTCACTCAAATCCTAATGAAACACTATTGAATTAGAATACTGTAGCTGGTTGAAGCAAGCTTATAAATTAAAGAAAATACTTGCAGTGTGTTTAATATATTACAGTATGTTATAAATAAATAAACAAATAAATCGGTAAATCCATTTCAAGTAAATGAAACAATTGTATTCGACACCGACATTAGTTCAAGTTAAATAACAGACTTTTAAGTGAGTCACTAGTGTTTACACTACACCAACCTGTAAATTTGATGCCATTACTTGAAGTGAATTGGCCTTATTTTAAAAAACCAAGGATGTGTAAACAGCACTGGTCAATGGGATGGTTGGTAAAGGACTACTGGGTCAGTAAGCTCCCAATGGTAAGTGTCACATTTGGGGTACCGGTCTTATACAGCGAATAGGGCTCAAAAGCTACTTTTTAAATGGAAATTTTGGGGGCCGTCTTATACACCCCGTCGCCTTGTAGGCCGAGATATACGGTATGCATTTTTTTAATCAAATGTCAATATTTTTGTATGTTTATTCTTCCAAAGTGAAATTACCTTTCATACATCATGTATACATTACCCATACATACAGTAGATGAGAAAGGAAGGAAAGAACACTCTTCCTGCACATTTGGTCCGTTACACCTTGGTCAGTTCTCTATCCATCACTTCTTTCACTTCTACATTTCTTTATAGTTGCTATTTCAGTCTTTGTATCCTATTCATCATAGTTATTGTTCTCAAGATATTTTCATTGAATTTAACTTGGTTCTTTCTCATATGTACAAAACAGGGTTATGTTGCACTACCATCCTTTGTTGTTGGTAGTTTATACAGGTACTACTATTTATTGATAATAAGGGAGGAAGTAGATGTTATCAGTAAGCTGCTGAACGTGATAAATCAGGAGGTCAGTACAGTATCTGCTTTGTCATTTTTTATCATAAAATAAAATGTTTGCTTATATCCACAAAGAAAAATAGGTTGGATATTTTTTATTTAATATTGATGTCTTTAATCATTTTCAAAATACTGTACTTATCTTTCCTCTATTTCATATAATTATTAGTTTTGTTTCCATTTGCTACTCCAGGAGAAGTTTCTTCGGGTAAATTATGGCACATAGATTAAACACTTTGTGTATAGATGTTGTAGCTAGGATGAAGCTGTTGTGTAAACAGCACAGTAATATTCAGTTTAATGTTGCTGAGAGTTTGATATGCATGAAAACAGATGTTTTAATTTTGGAGATATGTTGTCCAACTTCCTCATATATTTTGCTTGGTAGTAATGATGCACCTTAGCCCATCTCCTAGAATAAACTTAATATTGTTTTTTGTAGTATTATGCTAAAACAAACACTCATAAATCAACTCAGCTAAAATTAAAGGATGCAAAGTGGTCTGTATACTAGCGATCAGCTGATGTGAGAGGGTGTTGTGCTGGCGCCACTCTCCACCCGCCTGACTCACCAAGCACTTTCACTTTCCTCTCAACTTATTTTTTCATTACATTATGCTGGCCCTCCCTTTGCCCCAACTGAGAGTCTATCCAGATGTACCTCAGCCCATCTCCTAGAATAAACAAACACTCATAAATCAACACAGCTAAAATTACGGGATGCAAAATGGTTTGTTTACTAGCGATCAGCTGATGTGAGAGGGTGGTCACGCTGGCACCGCGCACCACCCGCCTCTCATCCGACTCACCAAGCACTTAACTTTAGTTTGGCAATTCATCCTCTGAAGATGCAGAGCCCAACTCGACCAGCTCATTATCTACAACACTGTCCAAATTGGCGCCCCACACTTCCTCGCTGCAATGCTTCCAGCACCTTGATTTTCTCCTCCAGTGTAATTGCTTGCCTTGATTTCTTGGTCTTTGGGGTAGTTATGATGTAGTAGCTGGCCTCTTGGACATAGTGTCGATGGTTGATGCACGTGGTAGGAGGAGATAGTGTCACACAATATGTCAGTTCACTGGAGCGTCAATGCGAGAACTGAGAATGCGTGAGGGTGTGGGAGGGTGGAAGGCAGCCGTGTAGCGTGCCCAGAGACGCGTCTGGCGGTAAATATTAGGCCCAAAATTTAAAATAGTGTGTATTTCCATATGATACGCCAAAATGACTCGGATAAAATAGGAAAGATGCGCTTTAAATTAAAACATTGTCTTTAATTGTGGGTGTCGATTTAAGTCAATCATTTTAAATTTAATCGCTTTAAATCGACATTCTACTGAATTTAAATTGTCTCAATATTGTTCATTGGTATCTTTCCGCCTCCTTCAGCAGTAAATGTTAGCTTAGTCCTATATGTCAGTATGAGGAGACTGACCGACTTTGTGAAAAATAATGTGTACTTGTTAATTGTTGTTCCTGCCTCACATAGATCCCATACTAAAGTGCCCCTGTAATGTGCTGGAACATAAATGTATCTCACTCCAGTACCTTAACAGTTTTCATCTTGCTCTATTATGGAGTAAAGCTGAATTGTTTCTCAAATATCATTCCATTATATGAATTTGTACATGTACTGTACTAACTAAATGTAACCTAACTTGAGTTTTGAATAGTGTATAATTATCAAATACAGTTCAATAAGTCAAACTTGTACAATACATTATTGATAATCATATACTGCACTGTACAAATCTGGTCATATGTAAATTTGTTTCTTGTTACAGATTACTGTAGGCCACATGCAGTGTTTTGCAAATACTGTATCAGGGTCACTCCAACCCTGCCTGCTCATCCAGGTTCCCCCTTTTTTAACAAGTATTTAGCTTACATTCAAAGTAGCATTTCTATTTCACTCCCAGAGAAAAGCTTCAGTTTTACTCCTGCTTAACTATATTTATGTGTAGAAGTTGTTCCATGAGGTAGCTCATGTAAATGTGTACATCATGCTGTCAGGCTGGACCTAAGGTACACTGGCAGTGACTGGAGACCTCCCAATATGATTAAAGTGTGTTTTTAAGTGAATTAGCTGGAGAACTGAAAGATTCCTGGCTTGAAATCTTCTGTCTTGTGAGACAACTCCTGAATCTTGAAACTAGATTTGAATCTGGACCTTGTAAGGGTAAAAGACTACATAATTGCTTGTTACAAAACATTTCCTACTTTGATAATGTATCCATACTAGCAAGGCTCTGGTGGTGGTTGTCTCACAGCAAGCTCTCATCTCCTGGGCCATAAAATAGGATTTCATACCTCAATCCTCCATTTTTAAAAGTAAAATTTTGAAATAGTTTGACTTTGATTTATTAGATCCTAAGTGTATTTAAACTTTGTTCATTGCTCATTAGTTGATTAACAAAATGTTTAATATTGATGGAAGTTTATCATGATATGATACTGATATCTTATAGGAATGAAGGAACTATCTCCTCCTGCTCTGAACCTTCGCCGTCTGCTGCCAGAGACAACAGCTGGTGAACCTATTTTGATAATCATCTCCCCTGGGGCTGACCCCTCACAGGAGCTTCTTGATCTTGTCAAAAATACTGTAGGAAACGACAGCTACAATGAGGTAAGATGCAGCTGGCTATATCTGTTGTGTAAATTTTAATTGAAAATGGGAGAAGCATTGTCAGTCCAAAAGGCTGTACACATTTTTAATCCTGTAACTTCATTTTATTTTTAAAAATGATTTGCTTTAAGTAATCATTCATTTATTAAATGTGACTTTTCATGACAGGTGGCTATGGGTCAAGGGCAGAGTGAGATAGCCATTAAATTCCTGCGAGAGAGTGCCACTGCTGGCCACTGGTTGTGTCTCAAGAACCTCCACCTGGTGACTGCATGGCTTCCTACTTTAGAGAAAGAATTGAATTCCCTTCAGCCACACTCAGACTTCCGACTGTGGCTGACAGCAGAACCACATGCAAAATTCACACCCATAATACTGCAGATAAGCCTGAAAGTCACTTATGAGGTCAGATGTTTGGTTTTGTTGTTGTAATACCTTGAAAAGATATACATTAGGAAGGGAGGACTGAAAACGTTTTTTATTCAAGCTTTATTCTATACTTTTCATAGCTTTTGATGTTAATATGCCATTGTTAGAACCCTTGAAACTTTTTTTTTATTGTAACAGTTGATTCAATTAATGGAAAAATGCTGTTTTAGCATCGAAGACATTGAATTGGTGACACTGAATATAAAGAGTAACTTCAAGTCAATGAACAAGTGGTAAACAAACAAGTCTTAAAGATTGTGTGAAGTGACTTTCTTTTAATTTGGAAAAGAGATAAAAGATTTGAATCAATGTCAGTAGATGCAAATTGTGCATTGCTTGTTCAGTGGTAAACATTGACATTGTTGATAATTCCATCATCACCGTCGTCATTTTACAGTACATGTACAGCCATTTTCAGCGCTTGCATGGGTTAGCTGTGATTACCTGATAGTCATTTCTCACAATCTCTCCCCCCCCCCCATGTCATTCTTGACCTATTCCTAGTTCTCCTCCCTTCCACATTTAAACCCATGCATCTCTTGACCAATTAATTGGTCTCCTCCATTCTCTTCTCATGCTCAAACCATCTCGGTCTACATCTAGGCAAAATCTCCTCGGTATTCTCAATACCCAGCTGCCCTCTTCACCCTGAAGTGGGATTCCTATCTCTGTGTCAGGTTAAACATCCTCTCACCATTTTCATTCAAATTCACTCAAGCTTACAAATATTATCCTCTTTAACTGTTCATGTTTCACTACATCACACTTCTTAAGTTGTCTATGTACAACTTTCAACAAAAGCAATAGTTCCCTTAACCTTTTTCAGCCACTTCTGACTCCAGTAACTGAGCTAGCTTTGGCACTGATCACGCTATCCAGGTAGCAGAACTCAACACAATTCAGATAAATGTCACTGATGTTGAGCTTTTCCAGCCTTGCCAAGACTAAGTGATTACCTGCATATCAGTTACTTACGTCACCACCATCCTGCTGTCTGCTACTTACACCACTGCACCTCTTGTGTACCAACTTTACAAACTACATATTATTAAGTTTGTCAACACCATTCTTACAGACAGCACATGGCCACTTTCCTTTTCAGGTCCTTCACTCATGCCAGTAATCATCATTCTTGTTTTTGCCATATTTATTCTTATACTTGTTGATTCCATCCCATCCTTCCATTTCATAAATTTCTATACTATCTCTTCAATACTATATGCTATCAGCACTAAGTTATCAGCATACAACAACTCCCAGGGGAGACTAGTCCTAAAATCTTGTGATACTGCCTCTAGTACTATGATGAACAGAAGGGGGCTCAAGACAGACCCTTGATAGATTTCCACTTCATATACTGTTCTCATATATAATCTGTACAGTAAAATTAAGATAGTCTTGATTAAATTGCTCTAAAACTTTAACTCAATAAATTATAACATGGTAAGAGTCTGAATTTCCCATAGCCTCTATGTTTTCTCCCAGGCACCAGCAGGAATCAAGAAAAATCTTCATCGGACATACGATTCATGGTCTCCAGAGATCATTGCCCGTGGGAATAATGTTAACCGTGCTCAAGCCCTCTTTGTCTTGGCTTGGTTCCATGCTGTTGTTCAGGAGCGTAGGACCTACATCCCACAAGGCTGGTCCAAGTTCTATGAGTTCTCCTTGGCTGACTTGAAAGCTGGTGCAGACATTCTGGATAGATTATATAAACAAGAAGGTTAGTTTTCAATTTATAGAATGTTTAATCAAAATAAGTATAATGAAGTAATGAAAAACACCCTTCATTATCTGGAACCATTTCTTTGTTAATGATGTGTGACACTAATTGTTAAAATGTTCTTACATGTAAATAATTCCAATTTTAACCCTCGACTAGAGTGGAGGGCTAACTTGCCACCCTTGTAGACAAACCTTTCCCCCCACTCAGCAGTAACACATCTACTTCATCCTACATTACACAACCTGGGAGGCCACCCATACCATGTACATAATGACTCTGGAACCTTCCAGACTCTGAGAGGCTTCTAGAACCTCGGGGACTCTTGCAGTTGTCCGAGTTCGCCCGTCCATTTCGGATATTGTCAGGGATGGATGGAAAGGTGTCCAAGGCCAACCCCCTATCTGAGAATTGCTGGGGTCTGAGTTGGTGAGGGTTTACTGTACAATTATTTCTTTTACTATAAAGTGCTTGTATTGTCTTTTTTTTTAGGGACTGGTGATATCAAGTGGAACTTTATTCATGGCTTATTTGAAAATGCAATCTATGGTGGACGAATAGACAACATTTGGGACATGCGGGTTCTCAGTGCATATCTTTATACTTTCTTTACCAATGATGTAATTGGTGGACGCAAGCCAGCACCAACCTTGCTGGCCCAACACATGACTTTACCAACTACTGTGAATTTCCAGGTATAGTAAGTTAGTTTAGAAGGATAAAAGTTACCATATAGATTACTTCACACTGCTAATAGGCAAGTTTTTCTTTTTGTACACTCATAGTTATGAATCACAAGAAAGATAAATCCGTGTTTTACTGCCATCAAATTATCTCTCTCTTGATCTTCTACAAGAAGAACCATGCAGTTGGGATGTTCATAGTTGTCATGAATATCCCTCTTGTGATTGCCAACCATGAGTTTGAATGTGAAGGATGTTGACATCCAGCATTACTTTGTGTGGCCCTCGGATCTTTCAGTTTGGATAATACTTTCTGTGGAGATGTAGTCACTTGTTTAAATGATTAAATAGATTTATAATTATTAGGATGGTTAGTAACTATGGTAAGTATTGGCTCATGTACGATATCTGTAAACCATCAAATACCCACAGGACTACACTGCTCTCATCAGGAGTTTGCCTGAAGAAGATGATCCAGCATACTTTGGTCTACCAGCAAACATTGAAAGATCTTGGCAACGTATTGTCAGCTCACAAGTTATTGCTCAGTTAAAGGGTAGGTGATGAATAGACATCATGGAGCTAATTTTTGGTTGTTTTGTTGTGCAATACAGTATTCTAGATGAAGGATCTATGTCCGAGTTATCAGAACCTCCTCTTATTTGTTTATAGTGACCCCCATTAGTGTGTTGCTCAATACAGGTATCCTTTGTTTAGGATGCTTTCTTTTAGGAATGTTTTTATTTTAGCGGACACCCTCATTTAGGACTGTAGCATCTTCTGACTCGGGACAGTTCGGAAATGTTGAAAAAATCTTGAGATGCAATCAATCTTATGATCCATCTCAACCCCTGTCCACCCAATCTGTGCTTACATGTGGTGCATCCCATCCCACCATGTGATCTGCCTATTTACCTCATCCCATAACCATTGTTCTGTATTAGTGATGTAGATTCTCCAGCAACTACTGTACTGGTAGTCCATTGCATTACTAGGGATGCGAGTGGCAAGGCACTCCAATATCCTCCCTTCAACAGTTACTCAGCAAACCCAGCATATATGCCAACTTCATTAAACAAGATTCTCCCATGTCATTGGGGAGTGATACCTCAAATTCATTAATATTTATGAACATATACAGTACAAAATCTTTTTGCTTTTTTTTAGTAGTGCTGTCATTTTAAGGTCTATTTCATGTGTTATGTGCCGGAACTACTTTTATGTTAGAATATCTAAGTTAGTCCGTAAAACATCTTAAGCTTTTTCTCAGAAAATTTTACTTCTTGAATGCATCCCCCTTATTACATGCACTCCAGATTACAGTGGGAAAACACTTTCCTCTCTAGATGCTTAAGTTTAGGACACCATTTTTCAGGAACATAATAACTGTCCTAAACAAGGGGCACTCATCGATAATGATAAATCATTAATGTTCAACAGATTAATTTATACCCTGAAGCAGGTGGTAATGTAGTTGCCTATGTCAGTTGTTCACAGCCAATGTGTTGTTAGCACTAGGAAGGGCACCCACGCCATAAAATAGCATACCTGATGACAACCAGGTAACCTGAGCTGTGCCCATTCCCTGATTGCTGCTGTATTTATCTGGGATGGTGCATTAGGTTTTTAGTGGTGAGCCAGACTTCTGCTTTTACCAAACAGCTGCTATCACAGAATTGGAATTGCAGCTAATCTACTCAAATGTGGATAAATGGCCACAAAACATGGATGATAATGAATTAAAAAAACACAAATGTGGGCACAAGTTGTAAAATCTGTCTTCTGCCACTCATCCACCACCTTGAATATGCCTAACATTCACTGTCTTTCATCCATTGCAGGGCTAGACCCAGATTGGGTAGTCTAGGGGAGGCACGTGCACCCATCCTCCCCTGCTGTGACATTCCCTTATGACATTAGAATGCTCTCTTATCAGTGTTTAATAACAGAATACAGTATTTAAAAACTACATATCGAATTTCAGTTCTTATGAGGTCTCCTGAGCTGGCAAGCCGTTTTGATCGTGAAAAATGGCATACACAGTTGTCACCGATGTTGAATTTATGGAAGAAATTAAATCAGGTATGTACTGTACCTGTTATGAAAGACAACAAGATTTTGTTTGTCTTGCACATTATTCAGTAATAACCCTTTACAGTATTTGTAAGAAAACACAAAAGCCAGTGATTTTCACAATTCAGAATTAGTTAAGAGCAGAAAACTACAACTGAACCCTTTATGGAAATGACAGTATTTAAATTACTCGTTCACACTATTTGTTCCATGTGCAAGAGTAACAATAGGTAATGTAAAAAAAAAAATAAAATATAAGATTCAAGTTTGACTTGGTATTAGATTTCAAATCCCACCCATTCTCAATCAAGAAAATCAGTAGTCTCAGTTACCACTTGTACTGTACATATACAGGCAATCTATGAAAGGACTTAGTTCTTGAAAACCTATCATCTTGTCTTTTTATTTTTTTTTTTAAATCGGATCTCATTTTCTTATCATAAAAGCGGAGATACATTCCTACAAAAAAGATAATATGTATATATACTGTACTCATGTATAAACCTATCTCATTCAATATGTAACTAGGTAAAAAAAATAATAATAACGATATCTAGTGAGGAGTCTTGTGTTAATATTACAAATACAAAACTAATAAAATACTGTACTGAAAAACAAGAAAAAAAGGGAATATTATCACAGACATAAAGTAATGGCCTACACAGTAAGCCAAAACACTGAAGTAAACTCAGATTCCCTGTATAGTACGTACCTCCTTTCCCAGCATTTATAAACCATACCACCTAGCAATGGTGCTCCCAAACTCCGCTCCCGCTCCCCTGCTCAGTGTGTTAACTCTCACACACAAAGAAATGTTTTTGACCCTATGACAATTATTTCTTTTCCTTTTTTGTAAATTATATATGTAGGATTGTGCAAGTAAAAATTTTAAATAAATAAAAAAATTAAGTCACATACATTGAAATTCCCACTGCTTGGGGTTATTTAAAATATTTACCAGCAAGCAATTCCTTGGCCTCTTTCCTCCTCTTATACCCGTGAGTGAGCAGTTTATTCCCCCCCCCTCTTGGAATGGACTCGCCCATAATGGTGCACTGTGATTGTTTAACTTTAAGTTAAACGCACATTCCGCCACAGAAAAATGGTAATCCTCTCAGGAAGAGAACAGAAGACGAACCCATATTGCATCACCCATATGACACACACACACACACACACACACACACCTGGTGCAGTCCATCTGAGTCTCCATTATTTTGAAGTCAAATTACAAATTATATATCTTTTTTTTTTCTATTAATTAATATTTTATATTACTACTGTATTAATGAAACATACACCATATGAGGCTTATCATACAAGCATACAGTATAGTCTCGGTTTACGCGGATTTTTTTTATACTCGGTTGGTCATTTACGCGGCACCTGTCCAGACGCGCCAATTATTAGTTAAGCGGTACATTCCTGAATTTATGCGGGAAGCGCCACGGACAAGCTACGCTCTAGGTCGCGCTGACGTCAGATGACGTTTCGGACTGTGATTAGGCCACGCATCCCCCCCGCTTCGAGCTGTGATTGGTCTATTTAACCTTGCTTGCCCAGTCAGCAAAACATTACCAAGTTCTTCACCCGCCACCCACCACAGCCAGCCCAAGTCAGTGATAGTGATAGTGAGGATATGGACTTTGAGGGGTTTGACAAGGAGGCCCTGCTAGCCTCTGTGGTGGATAGTGATACAGGTGATACAAGTGATACAGGTAAGGGCCAATAATCTGCCCTCTGCCTCGGAACCAACCCCCCATCCCTGTGTGCCCAGCCACCTCTTCTACTGACGTAAGTGTTAAAAAACCTAATATTATTGATATTTCTCTTAAATATTAATTGTGTGCATACCATCATAAAATTAAGATGTTATTTTTACAACAACGTATGTATTATGTTGGAAAAAGGGTAGTCTGGCAGTCGACCCAGTCTCTATTTCAATTAATCCCATATGTTCTGTTATTTCGTTGACGCGTTTCGCGTTATACGCGAACCTCCATGGGTTTAATTGACCGCGTAAAATGAGACTATACTGTATAATAATAAATAAATAAAAACAAACTTGAACACAGCAACAAAGTCTCCCACCTACCTTTAAGGAGGGAGGGGATGAGATTACCTTCTGATTTGGTTTGTCCTTTAACAGTGGCTCCCAGAAACTCCACTTGGTTAAAGTCCAGACCCCATTTCCCCCTTTTCCAGACTTTCAAGGGTTTACTGTACATATATCTATCTGAAATTACAAGTTGAAGAATAAATGTAACATAGATCTCAGCTCAGCCTAGTAGTGACAGGGCTAGGGGGGATGTGGCTACAGTGTCAAGTCTAACTTGACAGCAATGCCACCAGCAGGGTTAACAGATACAAATGAAAAGAAAATTATCTGTAAATCTTCATTTGCATTATGTATTTCTAGATTTAGAGCAACTTATATATTGAATGAGGTTCTACTCTTCATGTAGCAACATAATTAAGAATCTAGGAGTATCGCAGGCAGTTCCAGGATAAAGCAGCCTGCTGGTAAGGTTAGCCTACCGGAAGCAAATACCAGGTAGCTATCGTTCACTGTAAATAACCCACGGAAATGCATGAATTTTAACCCCCTCAAAAATATTACTTTTTGCATCAAAATTTATTCATAAAAACTTGAACTATACTCGACTATAAACAACATAATAAGTTAAATACATGCAATACAGTACTGTACTGTACAGTACAATAAACCTGTATTTACAAGAAACCAGATGAACTTGAAACTAAGCCAACTAAATATATCACAATAATAATACATTGATTTCCAATTAATAATTGGAGCTGCTTTTGCCAGAAGAAAAAAATCCTTGACCCTTGATGAGTTATTGCATCATAAATTTCTATTGCTTTGTTAACATGCCGTGAATGCTGCTATCAATGAGCTGCCATTATACTGTACTGTATTCACATTCTCACACTGAAAATGTCCACATCTCCAAACTTTCATTCACTTCCAAACTTGACTTTCTCTTATAATTGCACCTTTATTGTGCACAATTAACATGAAATTAAAGAACAGAATAATTTTCTTCTATATAATTTACCACATATTTTAGGAGAGTAAGTAAGGAAAAATTGGATAATTAGACAACTGGCCAAGTAACACTGGTAGTGGAGACGAGTCTACTTGTCCCTAATAAGTTTGAGGAGTTCAATTATATGGTGGTTGTAGGAGAATGATGACACATTGAAAGCTTATTTGTAAACTTAATACCCGAGTTAGAGAATAAGGAAAGAAGTTACCGAAATAAGTAAGAAAAGGTAAAAAAAAAATGCATGTTTAGCACATTTTCATTATTACTTAGGAAATAATTATGAAAATGACCCCCCAAAAAATTGGAACTTCAGATTTATTATTCATAAATTAAATCCTGTTTGTTTTAATAAAATCATGGGACACAATATATTTTTATTACCTCATGATTCAATTTAAATGAACCTTTGGAAGTTGGGGACCGTCTATCTCATATAATAATCGTGTTCCTACATTCTTCAACAGGGTACTAATCTTATTCAGGCCAAAGTTGCTTTACCTGGTGCATCATCAGAACCCCCAGTCAGAGCATTCTTACACCTGGAGCACTACTCTGTCATCAGTATCGTCCAGACCATCCACCGTGCTCTGGCCCAGCTGTCAAAAGTTATACGTGGAACACTCCTCCTCACTGCGGATGTCCAAAAACTTGCTGATTCTCTCTTAAGGCAGGAGGTCAGTATATATACAGTATGTACACACTATATGCACACACTCACAGAATTAGCAATGTATACTTCTTCAACCTCAATGCAATTAATGATAAAAACTATTAGAACTACAAGAAATTCAAACAAAAAATTTATTATTATTTTTTTGCATTCTGTATGAACAATTGTGTGTACCCTGTACTTGCAACAGAGTAAAAAAAAAAAAAAGTTTACCCAAAATTATGTTGAAAAATTTTTTTTTTTAAACAGTTTTTGTGATATAGTCCAGAATGCAACGTCTAGCTTTATATCTAGGTATGTAAATGCCTAGCATTAACTCACCAGGCCAACATACAGGCAATCAAAACATCTAATAATTACCTGGGTACGTAATATTAGGAGGTCAGCTGCGTGGGAGTCGACAGCAGCCCGTTTCCACCAACACTTTTGCCCCAAGTGGAAGAGGTTGCCAAAATGGGGACAGGATGAAGTCAGTCTCAACAGGTTCTCCCTGCTCTAGTGACTGAACACTATGATTAGTGCCAACTTCCTCATCCTGACCCTGGAATCTACTAAAATCGGGCTGACTAGGTCGAGGTTCTTGCAACCTTCCTACTGCCTCATTATCTTGAATATCCAATAACCTACTTTTCTTAGCAGAAGCAGGTTGGTCTAACTGGGGATTAAGTCTCTTACCTATCACCCATAATTCTAAACTTTCTGCCAACTTGGGATCTTTCCAGTGTTTTACATTTAGAAATTACTCTTTAAGGTCTTATTCCATCTATTTTTAATTTGGATCTTTGATAATTTCTTCGTTTCTCCAGCAGCTTGATTAATTTTAAAATTTTGATCATAACAAACTGCACAATCCAATGGTGAAAACAGGTTGTCTGAGACACAGCTGCTATGAATTATGCATGCCAAATGAGGATCTAACTTGGTAATCCAAGTGGCTCTACATCCTTGATAATTACATGTAGTATGGTCCCCTTGGGTCCTGGGTGAAACTACTACTACCGAATTCACATCCTCTACTAAAGGACACTTCCTTGTATGTAGTGTAAGATCTGAGCTCTCCAGTCCTTGTAGCTCCTCACTCAACACTAGTTCCCCAGGGACAGTTCCATGGTCTCATCCATCATCTAGCAGTTCAGACAGCTGTCCTTTCGCAAGTTATTTCAAAGCTAGACATCGCATTCTGGATTGAACAAAAATAACCATAACATAGGTCATAGCTAACTTCTGTGCATTTGAGAAATTTTTATTCCCTTTATGTTTTTGACCTTATATTTTTTTTGGCTTCTTCTGTATGAATGATTGTGTTCATATGGAACAGAGTAAATTAGAAAAACAGGAAGAAAATTACCCTATGTCTGCCCCCCCCTCGCTTTCTGATAACTCCCGCACATGGTTATTTCCATTGTTTTTCACTTTATATATTTTTTTTTCATGTTCTGTATGAAATATTGTATGTGCATGTAACAGTAAAAAAAAATAATAATAAATAAAAAAATTAAACATACCGGTATGTCTACCCAAAAATGTGAATTGAAAAATAACCACTCTGAGTGCTAATTGGCTCTTCAGGGTCTAAGGAATGGAACCTATTTTTCCCCAAACTTTTTTTACAATATACAGTGGTCCCTCGGTTAAAGAACACAATTCATTCCAGAAGGTCGTTTGTTAACCGAAAATTTTGTAAACCGAAACCATTGTTTCAATGGGATTTTGGGTAATTGGTTCCAGCTCACCGAAAATTACATACAAAGCAAAAATAAATGCAGTAAAGTACACTTACTTTGAGTTGTGTATGTAGAAGGCTCCTGGTTGATGATGATGATGGGAATTAGAAGTGGGGGTGGAAGAGAAATCACCCCATGCTTCATGCCGTCATTTCACCCATAAAATTTTAAGTTCACTTGGTGTAATTCAAGAATATTTTCTTTAAATCAACACTGCACTGCACTATATATTGTCAATATGTAAAATAAATTTCATAATGACCAATAATTGTACTTTAAAAATAGTTTATGTTCAAGAGAGCCACAAGCAAGATGTTACCTCCACTGACCAGAGATACAAACTGACGCCTTTGTGGGAGAGTCAAGTGGCTGTTGGGCGTGCCACAAACTAGTTTCCTTTACTCCAATTATGTTAAATAAGTGTTAAAATGACTAAAAATTTCAATATAAAACTTGAAAAATTATTGAATAGTACAACCTTCTTGATATTTACTCAAATGGGAACGAATTTAAGCCCTAGAACCGATTACTGTATTGGCGGACTAATATTCCAGCTGGTGAGCAAGCGAAAACATGTTGACATGATTTCGTAAAAATTCCATTAACCAAATTGAAGATTCTTATGGAAGGTAATTCGTTAACCGAAATTTTGTTAACCGAGGCATTCGTTAACCGAGGGATCACTGTCTTGATATACAAATGCAATCAATCACCTTACAAATGACTCCATTAGGCCGATGCATCACCCAAAAAAATTCTGACCCATGCAAAGACAATGTGCATCGGTCAAATAATTGACCTATCAGTAACGTGATTTTATTGTCAGTGTTGAGCTGCATGGCCCACTAGCTTCTGACCACAGCTGCCAGGTTTGACAAAACGTCCCCAGGGATAGAATAATTGGAGTGGGGCCTTGGGGTGAGGTAAGGTCACAGGTAAGCTTACACTCACATCACCTGAACTCCAGCTGGGATACCCCCTTGAGGCATCACACAACAGTCAACTTTGACAATGTCAGATAAGTTAGGTAGCATATTCACCATCATTATTCCTTACATGGAATTCTGTACCCACCTGCAGTAGAATCAGTAATCGTTTTATTTTTTACCACCATAGATTTAAGGGTGGAAGTATATCTGAAGGTAATATTTACATAGAAATTCTGGCTGACTGAATTAATAACACTGTGATTTAATACATAGGGCAAAGATATGCATGGTTTACTCACATCCGAAGGCGATTTAGCCTAAATCAGCAAATGTATTACCCGACACTGTCAAAGGTGACCGCGGCCAGGGCACAGTGATGCCTCAAGGGGGAATCCCAGATTGAATTAAGGTGATGTGAGTGTAAACCTCTGTGACGTGACATTATGTGGGCTAAATATAAGGAATATACACTATATTAATGGACTTGCTCTCGTGAATGTTCACTATTCCATGAAACTTGACGTGAACAAGTTTGCTAAGGTACATCCTCGTAGGACAGAACTATAGTTGACATCAAGAAGAATTATGACATACTGTACTGTATTATAATTATCTTGCTATGTACCTTTAATTTTTATTGATGTGATTGATGTGTATGTGTGTGAGTTTGTGTCAGTGTCTGTATATATACTGTATAGGTGTCATCCCACTTAGATGAGTGTCTTTACTGTGCAATTTTTGCCATCCCACTTTGAATGATTCCCAAAAAGACAGTTCCCAGAAAGACGATTATAGCTAAAAGTCAGCCATACATAAAAAATTCTATTAGAAATATTGTGTTTATTATAAGAACATATTATCAAATACAGTAGAGGGAGCCCCCCAAATTTGCGGAGGTTAAGTTCTCAAAATGGCCGCAAATCGACAAATCCGCAAATAACATTTGCGGACCGGGGTTTACTTGTATACAAAGAAATGTTTATTCCCTTTATGTGTTTGTTCTTAGGACAATTATTTCTTTTACCTGTATTGTATATACAGAATGTGTGTGTGTGTGTGTGTGTGTGTGTGTGTGTAGACACAGACACACACACAAAACACTTACAAATAATAATACCCCTGTATTGGGAAAATCCTCTCATAAATAATTAGAAACAAATTTACTGTATTAAAAATGTGAGTCTTACTTTCTTTTATTCTATGAAAAATATAGGCTGAAATATATGGTTAATCATACATTTATCCAAATAAATATTTTCATAGTTAATTACTACAGTATACTGTATTGATTAAAAATACAGTGTTGTGGAATGCTGTGTAAAAATTACATATATTTTTTTTAAAGCCCAGGCTAGCCGCAACTACAGAAACTGAAATAATGAATCAGTCAAATTTAAGGTCTGGATCTGGCCATGTTCTTCATCCAAGAGTTCAAATGAGTTTGATTACAGACATATAAATACATAAAGACTCTGGTTGGTTTTCTTTGTGATTGTTGCAGACACCTGGCAGTTGGCAGAAACTATGGGATGGACCAGAGGACCCCTTGGAGTACTTGAGAAGTCTTATCAGGCGAGCATTGGGAATTGAAAAATGGGTACTTAAAAGTGACCAGAGCACCCTTCTCAGAGAAGCACTAGACCTATCTGAACTCCTTCACCCAGCTACATTCTTAAATGCACTTCGTCAACAGACTGCAAGGTTAGATAGAGTCTGAGTGACTCCTAGTGTTTCTGACAAATTGTGAATGCTAGAATATTTATGGCATGGCCAAAGAAATATACATACTGTACTGCACTAACAATTGCCTTTTATTAAACATTCAGAGAATATGGGACCTCCATGGATAATCTGGAGTTTATTACCTCATGGTCACGTGGTGGGATTCCTGATGCTAAGGTTGCCATTAAATGGTCTGCACTCCAATTGGAGGGAGCAACATTTGATGGATCCCGATTGATGCATAACAACCATGATTCACCAAGTATTACTGTTGCTCCAATGTGCACAGTAGCATGGATGCCAAAGGTGAACATTTATTTGTGAATTAAACCATGATATATAAAACTGGAAAAGATAAAAAAAAAATTATTATTTATTGTTGAGATTTTTTTAAAGATAACCATTGTTAGCCCCCAAAATTTAATTGAAAATACATTTACAGGATCTACAGAGTCGAGTTTACCAAGAGGAGCTTTTATCTATACCAGTCTACTCATCCTCTGACCGGGAGCACCTGGTTGGCAGCATAGATATACCTTGTCATACTCCTCACTATGAGTGGCGTCAAGCTGGTTTAGCTGTCTTCTTGATCACTTAGATAAATGAAAGTTATAAACTCTGCTTCAGGAACTTTAGTTTTCAAAGAGAAAGCTGTAGGTTGATGAAGATGGTTATGCTGTAGATCAATAAATCAATCAGAGTACCATCCTCATATGTGAGGGTTGGCAACCAGAGTCCTCCACTCTGAACATTCTTGGGCTGTCTTTACCAATCCTCTATGGTGTTGTATCTCTTGGGGGGACCTAGTTTTTAATTTCATTCATCCATCCCAGTCTCTGTCCATTAATATTTCTGTTATTATCCCCTCATCCCTAATTATATGACCACAGTATCTCAGTACTTCATTTGTTTTCCTATCAGTGTAGCTTATTTTTATCATTTGCCTTTAACATCAATTTCAAAGGCCTCCAACCTCTTTCTGATGTCTGCTGAAAGTTCCATGCTTGTAACCCATATAAAGCCTTTCAGCAACCCTTTTCATTAGATCTTTTAGATTATTAAATGCTGTTTGTGCTTGCCTTATTCTTGTAATTGATTTCTTCCGTACATCTACTATCATAGCTAATGTTGCTTCCCAAAATACACTCAATTTTCAACTTGTTTAGGTTCCCTGTTGCCTACCATAATTTTTATTTTGGGATTTATTTCCAATCTGGAAAAAACCATTACTTTAGTCTTTACATCATTAATTATTAAACCATATTTAACAAAATGTAATGATTGTACTGTCTCAAAATTTTAATAGCAAGCTATTTTATGAGTTACTTTGTCTCATTAATGTACTTGACTGATATAAACTTTTAAAATTACAAAGAGATACTGTATCTTATATCTGATTATAATCCTAAGTGATCATATTGAATTCATGTGATCATTTCTTTTAGTGTTCAGCTTAACTGTACAACCCTGTACAACATCTCCATCTGGGTGACACATAATGTGTCAGTGATTTTGGTTCACATAGGTTTCTATAGTCAGTTCACTCAAACCTTGCAACTGGGGGCCTAAGTCAGTTTGTAGCAAGGCAGCGGATTGGCTGTCAGACTGACAAGCAGTAAGTGTCACTACAGGTCTTCAATATTTAATCTATCGTATTTATATTATTATATTTTAAGGGATAATAACTGTGTTCATTTGTGACAATTTTTGCGCTTGGGAAACCAAAAATTAACATATGAAATGCTCTGGTAACATAAATATCTTGAAGAGAACACAAAAACAATTAAAAAATTTCATCAGCACCTTCCACCTCGCTGTGTGATGTCTATGATTTATTTTATACCGATTCTTTTCACATGCTAATTTTTGCTTCCCCAAGTGCAGAAATTATCACAGATCAACACAAAATATTAATTATCCCTTTAAATATCATAATATAAATATACAGTACATTAAATACTGTAGACCTGTAGTGCTTCTTCATGTGTCCGTTGGCCAACCAATCGGCTGCCTTGCTACAAACTGATCCTAAGCCTCGGTTACAAGGTTCAAGTGAACAGAATATAATCAAGTATACAATAAAGGTAAAATATATACTAAAAAAAAAAATTCTACATTTGTACCAGGTAAGCTAATTTCCCAGATTGTCGTGGTTTAATGAAAATGTGCAGATATAGACTTCATGTCAAAACAGAAGTGTGAATATAGGTACAAGTTGTAAAGCCAATAGTTCATTCACTTGAGCACCATGTAATGTTATTTATTTGGAAGAAGATCTGGACACAGGCATGATTCTTTCATCCAAAATGCAATTAAATCCCACTGAAAGATATTCTTTAATTCCACCAAGGCTGAGGGGGAGTTCTTATTTCCAACAACAGTACAGTACACACAGCACCCCAATTTTTGGTCGGCCACAAACTCTTAAAATTTCTTGCACTCCCTCAGATATTCATTATGATGAATTTCTTTTGTAGCTCCATGATATACTGAAATGGGCCAAGTGTTTGAGGAAGCTTCTGTCAACTATCCACAGCTGAGTCAGCAATTTCTTGGTGATTTAATGTACTGTAGTAGATATACAGGTGTCCACATTGAAATTAAACAACTTTCAAGCCTTATAATTTGAATTGCATAATGCAAACAGGAATATTCACACAGTTCATAGTCAGTGTACTTGAGTTTCATATGGTGTATGGGTACATATCATTCAGGTATACTGTATTAACACTCACAGTCGGCCTGTAGTTACACTGAGAATTAGTATTTACGATATGCAGTACATATTCATAGACCCAACTGAGCAGCAAAAAATTACCAAATAAGCTTTTACTTTCATCTTCTTCGCCACTGATCGGCTTGTTAGCCGCATGGGTGGTCAGTCACATCTCTGTTATGCCCTGTTGGCAAGAACTGGGCAAGTACTAGCTCTTGAATGTTTCTGTACCTGTGGGAGTGTTAGTCAAGTCTGGTCTTGAAAGAGCTCACACTTGGTGCTATCACAACACACACTGGTAAGTATTCCAAGAGTTTACAATTTTCACTCAAAGAGTTTGCCTTTGCAATTTTCTGGGTTTGTGGCTTCATCATCCTTGAGGTGTGACCCCTTGTGGGGCTGGCATCCACTAGCTCCAGGGTAAGGACACTTGACACAGTAGTGCCCTCTGAGAAGTTTATAAACTTCAATTGGGTTACCCCTTGCTCGTCTATAGGACAGTATAAGCAAGGCAGTTGCAGGTGTTCTAATCTCTGGGTAACTGAGGTGCCATAGTGCAGGCACCAGTCTGGTGGCCCTCCTTTGGACATTTTCAATCAACTGACAGTCTCTAGCATATCTTGCGGACCAGACGGGGAAGCGCTTCACTCTTGAAGAGCATTAAGAAGGACAGACCATCTAGATATTAGAACTACCTTCTTATAAGACCTACTAGTTTAGTTATTTGCTTCACCTTCTCACAATGGCCCAAGAACTTCAGTTCATTGTCAACATACTGAACCAGGTCCTTTTCACATTCAGTCTCTATTAATGCTGTTTCTTCATCCCATTGGAACATGTGATATACCTCCTTACTTTTGGTACAACCTAGGTGCAACTTCTTACTCTTCATGACATTGAATTTTAACAGCCATTTCTTCAACCACACTTGAAGATGACAAGATCTTTCTGTATTTCTTCACAGTATGTTTGGTTCTTAATTTCCCTGAATAACTTAACATTGTCCACAAAAATTTGTATGGAGGTGTGTATAGCTTCTGGCACATCATTTATGAAACAAACAAACAACAACGGGACCAGTACATTGCCCTGTGGTACCCAGCTCATCTTGGGTGTACATGCCAATTTTGTACTATTATCACCTCACACTGCTTGCTAGGACACTTCCCCGAATCTCATAACCTTCCACATTAATTCTCAACCTTTCATGGAGTATGCTGTCAAAAGCCTTGGCAAAATCCAGATATACCTGTACAGTGGTCCCTTGGTTAACGAGTACAATCCGTTCCAGCAGGTTGCTCGTTAACCGAAAAACTCGTTATCCGAAACCATTGTTTCAATGGGTTTTTGGGTAATTGGTTCCAGCTCACCGAAAATTGCCTAAATTCAACAAAAAAGGTAGAAAAGTACACTTACTTTGAGGTGTGTATGTAGAAGGCTCCTGGATGATGATGATGATGATGATGATGGGAATTAGAATGGGGGTGGAGGAGAAGGAAGAAGAGAAGTCACCCCATGGCACCATTTCACCCATAACATTTTAGTTCTCTTGGTGTAATTCAAGATTATTTTCTTTAAATCAACACTGCACTGCATTATATATTGTCAATATGTAAAATAAATTTCAAAATGACCAATAATTTGCTTGGAAACACAGAAAAAAAGCATTTAGTTGAAGAGAGTCTCAAGCAAAATGTTACCTCCACTGAAAACAGAGAGAGACTGTCTGGTGTGTTAACAGGCTGGATGGCACGCCAGAAACTAGTTTCTTTACTTTCAATTATGTTCAATAATTGTTAAAATGACTAAAAAATTTAATATTAAACTTTTAAAATTATTGAATAGTATAAACTTCTTGATATTTACTAAAATAGTAAGGAATTTAAGCCCTAAAACCAATTACTGTATTGGCGGACTAATACTACAGCTGGTGGACCGCCAAATGCAAGCGAAAACATGTTGAAGCCGGCTCGTAAAAAAACTCGTTAATCGAGGGATTGCTCGTTAACCGAAGTTAAGAATCTTATGGAAGGTAAATCGTTAACCGAGGGATCACTGTATATTGTCGACACTGCCACCCTGTTCAAAAATTTTAATCTAAACATCCAGCACCTTGAGTAATTGTGTGAAGCTGGAGCATCCTGGCATAAAACCATGTTGGCAGTGATATGATGTGTGCGCTGCTTGAATATAGGAGTCACATAAGTCATTTTCCAGTCACTGGGGCCTTTTGCTTCTCCAGGCATTTACAGAACAGGATCTTAAAAGGGCTCAACAAGCTCTTACACAACTCTCCTAGCACTCTGAGATGCACCATGTCAGGGCCATGACTGTTACAAACCTTTAGCTTTGATGATTTATTTCTTAAACCCTCTTCTAAGAACACAATGTGGGTCAGTGCTGTGTCAAACCGTCTTTCTTCAAACGCAGGAAGATTGTTTGTATCCTCTCGTGTGAACACCAAGGAAAAGAATTTGTTTACTGCCTCTGCCTTGTCCTGATCTAAATCTAGGTAACTATCATCATTAAGCCTCAGATGCAATACACCTACACTTTTTTTATTTCAATTTTGCATAACGGTATAAAGCCTTTGGGTCTGACTTGACTTCGCTTATAATCCATCTATGAAGCTCTTTTTCAGCCCTTCTATGCTGAATTTGCTTGGTTCCTGGACCTGGCATACATCCTTCTGTCCTGCTCATCATTTGTCATGACCCTTCTCTTGAATTTCTGAGATTTATTCGTAACTCTGTCAACTGCCACATGGTTCATAAGCAGTGGTCTCCTTGTATTCCTGGAGCCAATGGGTTTGGTCCTGGGTATATACGTATTTATTAATCAAATAGTTCACTTTACTTGCCATGACATTCAGCGTAGTGCCTGTTTTTTCTATCTCATGAGTCAGACCAGTGAATACCCCTCATCTCCTCCCTCACAGTATCGTGATCGCCTTTGTAATACAGGTTTCCCTGAACATATGAATGGATTAGGTTAAAAAAATATATTTGTGAGGTAAATTTCCATATCTCGAATAGAAAAACATATGGGAAAAGTAGGCTTCAGTTCCCCAATGACAAAAATATGAAAATATCATACCCCTAAAACACAAAATCAATTCATAAAAAAAAAAATATTACCTAACTTATGATAAATAGTACACAACTACAGGTGCTCCTCTACTTACGAACGAGTTACGTTCCTGAGGCTTGTTTGTAAGTCCAATTGTTTGTACGTCCATCTTTACTCTTGTAGACACCAAACCAATTGTAAAAAACGAAAAGATTATGGATATTTAGTACAGCTATACCCTTTAATACAGTCTTACAACCTGGCTTACTCTTCTCCTCTCAGGTAATGTTTGTTCTATCTGGAATTTTCTTCAAAATAATCCAGTCTAATCCACATTAAACACCTGTTCTGCCAGGTAACCCCCCCTCAGTGATGATGTTTGTATCTCTGAAAGTTTGCAAGCTGAACGTTCTTAAGCAGAGGAGCACCTGTACTGTAATTTACTACCTAACACATTAAAAACATTAATAAAATGTTATCTAGATGAAAATAGTGCCCAAGACCGTGAGAATATTAAGGTACGTTAGGGTAGACATTCAACATGTTCACCATTCATAGCACAGATTAAGTCACAACAGCACTCAGTGTGGAGGGACCACACATTTTTTTTTTTACATCTCAGGTTACGGATGCCACCGCCGCTGTAATGATACAAAACTGGAGCAGCACTAACCTGCTCGATGAGCTGCAGGTCTACAATGAGATCTGGGCATCTCTAACTTTCCTAGACTCATGGAGACTTGTGCACTTAGGCAGCCGATACCTCCAAAAGAACTGTGTGGTCGGATGGTTCTTGAACAAAAATTCAACTACCCAGCAAACCTCCCATCAAGCGGCAGTGCTTTGTAGTCTTGCCAGTTGGCCACTAATGTTTTGGTGGTGCTCCAATTGCTCCTGCCATTCAGTTCATTTGTTTGAATTCACAGCTGTGGATGGTGGCGTGTTAATTTAGGTGTTACAGTTTTATTCTACCCTTATTGAACTGCACCAAATAAGCACCTGACAGCCTTGTCAGCTATCCTTGGTCAAGTTGCCTTACTGTTTACCACTGCCATTTACTTGCACACTGGAAACTGTATACTGTACAGTACAGTAGTATTGTACTCCCACGGCCTACGTGCACCTAGGGTGGCCACTTCCATGACCCCAAAACAGAGGACGCTGTGCGTGGCACCGATTCTCCAGACCCAATATGGAAACCATAACCTTTACAACAGTAAATAATCTACTATAAATTACAGATGTTCATGACTGAACTGAAACTTTATTTTACATCTGGAATTTATCATTTTGAAATGGAATTGATCCCACACCTGCAACACAAACTGAGAACTAATATATGCTCTCACTATTGCTGGATGTCTATTAGTGATGCCAATATTTCAAAGCGGCATATTTAAATAAGAGTTGGCAACCCTTATTTGTAAAACCACAACACAGATGACCCCCAGTAACCGACGTCCCGTTGACCGCCAATTCGCATAACCGACGATTACATATAGAGGAAATACCCTGCAAATTTCATTGATACCCCGGAGATCCA